GGGGGGGGGGGGGGGGGGGGGGGGGGGGGGGGGGGGAGCAGCCCAGCAGCAGCAACGAGATCGTCCCGTGTCCAAAAAATAAAATAAAAAAAAACGCTGCTCATCGGCATTGAAAACACACACTCACACACACACAAACAAAAACAAGCCAAATTTGGAAAGAAACTATGACTAATTAACCAAGATGAAGGAGACATCTACGCTCCCCTTGTTGGACCCCTCACTCACATCACAGCCAGTTCCCTAGTCAGTTAGATGGATACATACGTGGAACCCCCCGATATCATCATATTCAGGGCCCAAAATTCTCACATGCCATTTCTCTCTCTCTCTCTCTCTCTCTCTCTCTCTCGGCCCTCCCGCCAGTGGCTGCCTCTTCTTCATGCAAGACATATCACAAAAACCAAAAAAAACCACGACCAATACGGGCAAGCTGCACAGCCCTGAAAAGAACGCCAACGTAGCAAGTTTGACGACGGTATAGAGTTCGCACTGGTGCCGTTCGGAAAAGCCATGCTAGACTGACTAGCTCGCATCGCTAACCATGGCCAACACCAACAAAATGCCTCAAGACCGTCATGGTCCTCGCGCCAACATGTCAAACTTGCCGTTGACAGCCGAGTTACTCGACTAGAATCTGCTGCCATGCGGTTTACCCGCCAAAGTATACAAATCCACCACGCCTGCACTTGCACCAAAACGCAAACTTAGTCCGACAAGCTGTGCCGCTTTGGTCCCCATCCTGGCGTGTGATCTGCAGATCTGCGTGAACCCCCCCCCGCAATATCTTGTCGTCAGGAAGCACTAATGTCGTGATGCTAATCCAAACGCCTATTCCGCCTGTAACGCCGTAATCCAAATACCGCCTGACCGCCTCGACTCCATCCTCGTATCCCTTTTAGTCGACGGGAGCGTGCTTGAAGAGGAAACTAACACTCTCGCCGTTGTGCGTACGCCTACAAGCCTCGGCAAGCTACCCATCATAGTCAGACTTTATCGCCGATGCCGTCATAGAAGAAAAGAAAAAAAAAGGCACTTACCGTTGGGCTGATGTCAATCGTCTCAATGCGGTCGCAAAGCTCCTTCTTGTCTTCATGAGGCACAGTGTTGGTCACGACAATCTTCTTGAGCTTGCTGCCATTGAGAGCTTCAATGGCGTTGCCACTGAGAATGCCGTGAGTGACAATGGCAAGCGCGTCCTTTGCACCCTCCGAGATCAGGACATCAGCTGCCTTGACCAGTGTGCCACACGTGTCAGCCATGTCGTCGACCAAAATGGCCGTCTTGCCCCGAACGTCTCCGACTAGCACCATGCGCGATACCTCATTGGGCCGTGTTCGCTCTTTGTGGATAAGAGCAAACCCGAGATTCAAGCCGTCTGCTATCGATGTCGCCCTAGCACCTGGTTAGCACTGACACCTTGCCTGTCCCGCCTGATGCCGTGCTGTTTCAGAGTCTCCGAAAAGTGCAATTACTGCCGAATGGCGCTCTTGGACACTTCTGGACCTAGCGCCACTCAAGGGAAGCCTTACCTCTTCGCACCACCTGCATCTGGGCTGACAATTACACAGTCTTTGACATCCAGATTCTCACGGATCCACCTCAGCGTACTGGGTTCTGCGTACAGGTTGTCCACAGGCACGTTGAAAAAGCCCTGGATCTGGCTAGCGTGGAGGTCCATGGTAATGACATGATTGCAACCAGCCGTCTGGAGCATGTTGGCCATGAGCTTTGCTGTGATGGGCGCGCGAGACTTGTCCTTCTTGTCCTGGCGAGCATAGGGAAAGTTTGGAATCACAGCGGTAATCCGCCGTGCAGACGCTGTCTTGCAGGCATTGATCATGATGAGCAGCTCCATGAGGGCATCGTTGATATCGCCTGGCGGCGTAGATTGTAGGATGAAGACTGCAGCATGGTAAGCTGAGGCTTGCCTGACTCGGCTATCCTCTGGTACAGGGCGCGGTGCATACCATCTTCGTCTCTGACAGACTCGCCAATCGTCACAGAAGTCTCCTGGTTCGAGTACTGCAGCACGAGGATCTTGGTGAGTTCTATTCCAAGTCTGCGGCGATATTAGCGACACCTGCCCGGACACGTTTCACCACCGCCGTGATGTCTACTCGGGCAACAAAAAGCAAAGAGTTGCATGGGAGTACTTGATGCCGTAGATGTGAAAGGCAGCATAGGTGTGCTGCTGTTGATATTATGACAGACGAGCATGCCGATGCCGACGATGCTGATGCCGTTTTTTTTTTTGGCGGAGACGTGCACACGCCTAGTTGTAGTCCCAACTAAGACATGGTCAGACGAGGACTTGAACGTACCGGTCAGCCACGAGGCGGGCAAGCTCGGGGTAGCTGTTGCCGGTCAGCAACTTGATGCTGTTCGTGGCCATGGCTGGTGTAGGTATGGAGACGGTGGAGGAGGATGCTGCCAGCTGGGAATTGGCACGTTGGTCGCACCGAGCCCAAACTTTTTCGCGCGAAAAGCCGGGCACGGGCCACGCGGAGAAAGGTGTCGCCGACCTTTGCAGAGGGCGCGCGAACACGAACAGTCTGGTCGCGGTAGGCGCCGGCCCAACCCTCCCCCGCCGTGGCCCAACTGCAACATGTGCGCCCGGCCCCCGAGACCATGAATCACCGCGGCGTTGCCCGTCTGTTGTAAGTAATGGAATGGCGAGAGAGCCTGGGTGCTGGCCAGCACTCCCCTTGAACACATGCGGGCCAAAAGTGGCCAGCGCGTGCCGTCTTGTCTTGCTATGGCGAGGTTGCCCGCACCTAGTCCTCTTCTGAAACTGGTAGCGGCCAAAGATCCGGCTCTCGAGTGTTGGCGCTCCAGACACCAAGTCGCTCACGCCTATTGTTACGAGCAACGCACCAATATTCAAAAGGGCATGCCGATCACTGTGACTGCTGCAGCCAAATGCACACGGCTAAGTACACTGTCCCCGTCGTCTCCATCGAGGTACCCTCGTCCTCGTCGTCCTCGTCCAAGAGGCCCTTTTCCTTAGCACCGTCATCTTCCATGCTCCCGCCCCACCAATACCTCCGTTTTACCGACACTTCCCAAGACGTCACGGCGCCGTTGAAACAGGCTATAGCAGCTATTTTATAGCGTCAATGGCAGGGGCTTCAGCCTCATCGTGGCTCGGTACCTATACCCCCCCCCAATGAAACATCCTTGGGCCTCGACGGCTCACTCAGCGGCACAGACGCCGCTGGGCCGGGCGGACTTGCATCTAGAGGCAATTAATTCAAGACCATTGCTACAGTTGATGTCACAAACACCCTCTACACGGCGGACGCCCAACACCGCAGCCAATCGTCTCCACGGCGTGCTCACTGGCCATCCTTTGTGACAACACTGTGCTTGGAGCACCACGCTGTTTCGCGTCTTGCCTCGGGCAGGCAGGGCGAGAACGCCACAAATGCATGTTTGACGAGGCACGAGAACCGCTTGGCTCAAGAAACCGTTCTTGATTCATGTACCCCTGTAGGCCGAAGCTGAATACATACATGGTGCGCCACAGTGACACCCGTCTGCCGTTGTCCAAGCTCCAAGCCCCAAACACGAAACAAACCCCTGACAAACTCATCGCCGTTCTTTGAAATTGCGATGTGAGAGAAATTATTGATGTGCAAAAAAAGTTGCCTGAATGTATACAGTGATGTGCAGAAAATTGGGTATTCATGCCAGCCGTGAAAGAATGAAGGTGAAGCGCTGGCATGTCGAAGTTGCCTGTGAGAGGCTGAAGATGAAGAAGAAGAAGAAGAAGAAGAAGAAGAAGAAGAATAAGGTGGACCAGTCTCATGAACGAAAGAAGGAATATTAGGGAGAGGGGGGTATGAAAAGGCCGTTATGGTACAAACAAAGGAAATCGTGTGATGTAGGCTGCAGAATTTGGAAAACCAAGAGAATGAAATGAAGAAGAAAAAAAATGAATGAAGAGAAGGAAAAGAAAATCGACAACAACGTAAAAAGGCAATGCCGAGGGTATCTTTGGGCGAGAATAGAAAGAAAGTGTGGTTTGCGAATCTTAGCACGTTTGCTCGCACATCTTGCCAATAGCCTTTTCAATGTCGGAGAACAAGTTGAGGACGTGGCCATCTGCGTAGATTTTGATGGATTCCGTCTCCTTTCGCTCGGCGGGGGCCAGGCTGTCAACCTTGACAGGACTCCGCGGTGGTGTGGCTTCGGCAGCTTGGTCATGCGAACTAGGATCCAGCACAATGGCAGCAGCAACGTGCTCGAGTAGCTTTTGGCGAAGGCGAAGACGGCGGTTTTCGGCTTGCTCCAATTTTTGAATGAACTCATCTATAGAAATGTCCAGCTCGGCCAGGGCCTCTTCTTGTTTGAGAAGAGATTCGCGCGAGAAGATGACCGTCTCTCCACGGCGCAGATAGGCAATCATACGGCCATGAAGCTTTTGGCGACCTGCGCGCAGGGATTTGTAGGTTTTGCGAAGGTAATCGCAGCGCTCATCAAGGGCTCGAAGTTCCTGTTTGGCGCGTTAGCAATGCCTCATCTACATGTACGGTCGAAACCACTCACCCTTGACAATGATGCGACGTCACGCTTGTTGAGCACCTCAAAGTTTCCAGCTTGATCGTAGGCCTGCTTGTGGAGCAGCTTCTTATCGGCGTCACTGATGCGTCTCGAAGCTTCGGATACGCGCATGCCCTGGGGAAGCTTCCAGGAATCCGGGATAGCCTTAGGACCGCAGGTTTCGGACATGGCTCGGCCTCGATCCTTACTGTTGCGGCGTTTTGGGCGGCCCCGGTCCATGATGGAAGGTTCCGACATGTTGCGGTTGTGAGGAGAGGGTTGAACGGACATGGGGTCCCTCCTCTCGGCTCGCGGTGAGCTCCTGCTGGATGCTGGCGAGGTTGCGTGAAAGGGGTTGATGAAAGCAGAGGGTGGCGTGGGAAGAGGAATGCTGCTGTTTGGCGATCGTCGGTGGTGGTCCATGGCGCTCAGTGGAGTGGCACCACCAGAGCTTATCGACGCAGGCGTTGCAAGCTGTGGTTTGCTCACTTTCGAGGTCAAAACCAGCGGGGCGGGCGAACATTTGCGCTCAGCAAGCGGCGACTTTGGGGGCACTCGCGGCGGAATTTCTGGCTCTTCTCGGATGCCGCCCGTCTCGAGCCTGAGCAAAGGCCTAGGTGTGGCACCAGGGCTGAGGATAGGAGACAGCGGCTTGCCACAAACACTGGGTGGTTCTGAACAAGGGGGGAAGCTGCAATATTGGGTTTGCACGGGAGAAGGACCCGTCACGCAAGCCATCATGGCATCGCCGAATGGACCCGACCGCCAGTTTGTACCGGGAGCACTGCAAGAACGCTCGTGGCCAAAAGCTTCATACGAAGGTCTGCGGAGAGGCGGCCTCCCTGGAATGGTGGCTGAGAAGCCCCTGTCAGCCTGTTGCTTGGACATGCATAGACGCATTTAGACGGACAAAACAAAAAAGAAAAGACAAGACAAGAAAGAAAGAACGAAAGAAAAAAAAGACTTACGAGAATCAATGGGCATTTCTTGGACGGTAGTCATGGTATTTCCCAGCTCAGGTACACTGACTTTACGCCTCCTTGACAAGGAGCCAGTTCGTTGCCAAAAGGGAAGGGAGCTCTCTGGTGGTAGGGCCGTGTCGCTCAGAGAAGTGGGCGAACGACCTGCAGAAAGGGCTGCCAGCTTGTCCGAGGCGTAGCTTGACTTTGAGCAGGTTGGGGGGCTCTTTGCCGCGGGCCAGAGTTGGTACTTTGACGAGGCGGGGGGCTGCGAGGGAGCAGTGGGGGCGGCGGTGTCTTGGGAAGCCTGGGTTTCTCTGAGTGAGCGAGAGCGCCTGGGCAAATGGTAATTCATTTGAGGGGGGGCTGGACGAGGTGGTGGTGGTGGAGATGGGAGGCGTACCATGGAGCAGCAGGATTCGTCCAAGGTTATATAAAACGACATTTGGTCGGGATCGGAGCGCATGCAGTTGGCTATGTGTGTCATGGCGGGATGTTTGAGGCTACCGTAGGTCTCTGTCTGAAGTGCAAGGTTGATGAGACTCGGGACGTGGGCACGTCAAACATGGAGGTTTTCCCTGCATGTATGTGGTGGTAAAAAAGGCAGTGCAACGGGTTAAGGGTAATTCGTCGACGCTAGCGGTGGTGGGTGCAGCAACGAGGAAGGCCCCTGCAATGGCGACGAGCATCCAATACCAGCGTCCGTGTCTAGGCTGTCGGCAGCGCGTCCCAGGTGGGCCTGGTGGGCGTTGGGATGAAACGAGCACCGGACAGCTGGACAGCGACGGCGACGGCGACGGCGACGGCGACGAGCGGCCGACATGGATGCAGCGACGAGCGCGCGTCGTGGGGGGGAGCCGGTGGCGGGCGTGTGCGGTGCGGTGCGGTGTGGTGTGGTGTGCAGCGTCAGGATGCGCTTGCGTGCAGTGCAGCTCGTGACAAGGCGCAGGCGCAGGGCCATCCTTTTTTGCCTTGCCATGGTCTGCCTGTCAAGCCATGTCATGACATTACTCTTGCAAACCAGGTGTTCCTACATTACACAGCATGCTTGACGCATGGTGGGGGAGGCTGGACCGAAGCGGCATGAAAGCCGGCCCACCTGGGCGAAAACAGGCTGAGGCAGCAGCTGGAGGCCGGGTAAGAGTCGCTGCTGCTGACCCCGACCGACGACAAAGAGCCGGGCCGGCGAGACCAGGGCCGGCGATGGAGTTGGAGTTGGAGCTGGCCTATAGCGGTCGCGGCAGGGGGGGTGAGAGAGGCTCTTGCGGACGGGAAAGCAAATACTGGCATGAGGCATGTTGTGTCGTGCTGTGTCGTGTCGTGTCGTGGCGCGGGCGAGGCGAGGCGAGGCGAGGCGAGGCGAGAGGCGCGAGAGGGCCTTGGTTGCCCGAGTCCGGGCTGCGGAGAAGGAACGACTGACGGCGACGGCCAGAGCTGGAAGGTGCAGGTTGGTGCTGGTGCGCGCGTCAGGAACAAGGCAGGAGCGAAGCGAACGTTAGGGCCTAGCAGGGATGGCCATTGGGCGCGGAAGCGGCCTCGTGGCAATCCTGGCCGCCCACAAGGGGGGGGGACAGCCACAGCTGCTGGGAACAAAAAAAATAATACTACGATACTTCTAGACGGCTGCGCCTAAAGCTTATCGTAAGCCGGCGGACGACCCTTCTTTTTTTCTTTGGCCTCTCTCTTTCTCTGGGTGCACATACACCGGTGCATGGCAACATCCACTATGCCATCCCCCCCCGGGTTGCGGGGGCGCCGCTGGCTGCTGGCTGCTGTGCTGCGCTGCTGCTAAGACTGCACCTACTCGACAAACCCCCCCACCTGCCATGCGCGAACCATGTCGACACCACCACCACCACCGCATCCACCTTGACCTGCTCCTCCTCCTCCACCGCCTCGTCGCCCACGGCCATTCGCAATCAAGGCCACGGCCACGGCCACGGCCACGGCCACAGGCACAAAACAAATTGCCGTGGCCACGGGCGACCACGTGCTACTACCCCTCTTCATTTCATTTCATTTCCTGCACCGTTGCGCCGAGCTGACGCTGCCCATCCACACACATGCACATGTACCACCATGTACTCGACCACATGGCTTCATTAGCAGTCCCCGCACCCAGCATTGCACATATAGGTGGGCGGAACAGGCCAGGCAGAGCCGTCGTCGTCTATCGCTTACCGACACGCGACACGAGGCGCGGGCCTAGGCCGGTGCTGCCGCCACTGCAAGTCGCGGGCGGGCTCGCTGTGGCTCAGGCGGGTAGCAGGTTGTAGTGGTAGTGGTAGTGGCAGTGGTAGCGGCAGTGTGGACATGTACATAGTAGTACATGTAGGTCCATGTACAGTGCAGCACATGGCCCAAGGCGGGGCCTCGCACGCACTGCTCCATATGCCTGCTGCTCGCTCTACCACTACTACATGTACACAGGCACACGCACACGGCGGGACGTGGCCATCGACGCCAGGGTGGTGGCCAGCGCCTCCAATCACGCCCCCGGCCGGCTGCTTGCCGACTGCGCCAAACGGCTGCTCGCCATGCCATCACCATGACGCTCAAGCACAGCCAAGCGCGGGTGGGGCCTCAACGCTGGTTCCGCCATGTCCAAACTTTGTGTGCCATGGCCGCACCCATGCCGCCCTCCTCTTCATCACACAAGAGCAGCGCGAGCAGGCACCCAATGCCTCGCCAAGCCCCGCACATGGGAATGGGATGCGCCTTCCGGCCTGGCCCAAACGTCGCTCCCCTCCTCCCCCCCTCCCCCCGTGCCATCCCGACCCCTGCAGTGGCTGCAAAACACCTGCGCTGCCTGCCCACCACCACCACCACCACCGCCGCCGCCGATGTCCTCGTCCACCCCCACGAAACATCATGCGAAGCTATACTTGTCCCTGCTTTGTCACACGTCGCCCTCAATGCACACACCCGCCCACACACCCACACACCCACACAAACACCCCCAGCCATGGCCCGCTGTCGCTGCAAAGGCTCCCCCCTCGACTGGCCAATGTCGGCATCCCGCCCGCCCATGCAGCCTCCCCCCAAGGTCACGCCAAGTCATGCGTCCTGTATCCAGCCCAGTTGAGCTCCCGCTAGCCCGTTGCGCCCACTCGACATCACCCCATGTGCCTCAAACTCGGCTAGCACATTTCCTGTTCCTTGTCAAAATCCGCCTTAGTGCGCCCTATCTTGGGCCCACTCTTCGTCCCCGACAAAAAGGCCTCTGTCGTTTCATTTCACGCTGCCTCTTCTCGGACGCGCCTGCATCCAGTCACATTCACGCCCTCTTCATCCGCCAGCGACTGCACCACCACCACCACCCCTTGGCCTACGTCTGCAAGACGCCTCTTGCTCCAAGACGCCTTGGGCATCACGTATTACGTCGCGCCAATCGCCCGGCGGCAAGAGTTGCGCCTGCCGACACCAGCACACTGCCTGCTTTTCCCATCATGTACTTGTCGTCGAAGTGTTTCAACCCTGCGCCACCGCACCATCCACTTGCCTCGCCCACGCGTTTGATCTCCGCGCAATTTCTCAAGTACATCCAGTACCTGTCGCTGCCTGCCGACTTGTAGGGCTGCTGTGTGCCTCGGTAGCCCTCGCCTGCGCTGGCGGCGCGCTGACACACGTCATTACTCGACCGCCGTGTCTACACAGGCCGCAAGACAGGAGCCTATATGTCTAGGTACTGTTATCACGCTTATCGCCTCCCCTTCGTATTCCATGCTTGTAGCGATAAACCCCATTTGCCATGACAAGCTGGCCATGCCAATTGTGCATGTAATGTCTATCAGGACACAGCCTTGATGCACGCATGGCGCGGAAAATATACCGAAACGCTCTGGACTCTGCGATTACTACATATTACGCCCGCATTACTGTCGCCTCACCCAAGTTGCAGGAACATTGGTCATCTAGCCTCACTGCATCTGGGCTGCTATGCCTACTGCGGCAAGCTTGTCACTACCCCAAGACACAAAGACTGTTGCAGGTACTGCTGACGTCGAGCTCACCATTACTTTCAAACGTCGGTCACGGCAATGTCTACCTTTGGGCGAATTTGCCTCACGTTGTAAGTCGGATATTTTGCACGCATGGCCCGGGGCATTCCACACACTGCATCAAGCGTCGTGTTCTTTCCGGCAAAGACGGACACTGACCCACCGTGGACAACCTCGTGAGGCCCCCCAGTTGCTTGGTTTCTATCCACATGTGCATTGCAACTTCTTCACCATTTGCAAGTTTGCCGAGTAGTGCGCCAGCCTCAAAATACTGCCTTTAGCTGGAATCCTCTCACGAGACACGTTGTGGCGACTAGCAGCCTGTCTTGGTTGTCGCTAGAGGATGCCATGTCATCCTTCCACCACCCCGCAATCTGCGCTATCTGTCGACTGAAATTCACTGGTACAGAAAAGGCAAGCACATTACAGTCTGCGACGTTCCAAGTGCCACCTATTGGTTATCGCGTCCATACCACATGGTTCAAACTCCTTCGTCTCCTCCGCAGAGCTGAGTAAACCGTCGCGCATATATGACAATGACCTGGTGTTGCATCTAGGTGTACGCTTCGGCTGCAAGCTTCCATTTCATCGAGACAAAATATGCAATGGTCCATACGCGCGTGTCGACACTTGCATATGCCCTCGTTCGACATGCGAGACCCCTCAGATTGATCAAATCGCCCCTCGTTGACTGGTAGTCAATTTTCCAGGCAGTCGGCTTTGATAGTGTGCAGCCTTGTTCCCTTGAGCCATGTGCGCTGTCACAGGGATCCCCAGGCTGTAAGACATGGCAGCATATGTAAACGTCGTTCATGCGCTGGACGTAAAGAGAATGCCCAATGCCCAATGCTCGGATGCCCGATCGCGATCGCGATCGACGACCAACACCAACTGAGACACTGGTGCAATGTGTCAGTCTAAATGGCCATGACAACGGCATGAGCTTTCCAGGCCGCCTACGCTCAAAGTTCACAAGAATGAAGCTATGCCATGTACACCGACCAAGTGCGATATCAAAGGGCCGATGTGCACGGGCGGCCTACCAACCAGCTGGCTGATGCTACTGTGCCAACCAACAAACTATACATAGCGCAAAAGAAGATGGCGCAATCTACCGCCCACCCCCACCCCCCGCAACGTCTTCTCCAAAGCCTCAGGGTCCATTTGCACTACAAAGCTTTTCCCAACCTCAACGATTCGCCACCAAGCGAGCCATCTGAATCAAGAAGAAATAAGAATAAACGAGGAACAAAAAAAGATTTTGCTTAGAGTTTGCTCCTGGCGCCAAAACAACTGACTAGAAGCGCTGTTGGCGCCTCGCCTCGCCTAGCCCGAGTATGTGCTTTTCTTGTGCCTTGCTAAATTTACACACACAGTTGGGCGCTAGCCCATGGATTCGGGAAAGATCTTCAAAAACCAACGACCGACGGTTCCAGAGTAAAATTCGTCCGTGTATACCAGGCCTCTACATCTCCATCTGGTACAAAAAGATGCTACAGCTAGTTTTGCATGTTGCTCTCCCATGCACGTGCCTACATACATGCAGCCTATGCTGTATCCTGCAACGCACGCGCCTGAAGAGAACAGGCTATACTGTAGCTGCAGGCATGCAATGCACATGTATGTACGGTACCTGTTCCTTTGCAATGCATCCATCCTGCGACAAAGCATGCAACAACCCACGTGCAAAGCTGGGGGTCCGTTGGGTACGTCCGAAGCCAGCAAAACGTTTATGCAGGCTAACCTATGTAGTACATGGGTTATCGTGATAATGCCTAAGTCTTTTTTTTATTCCCTCAAAAAATAAAAGAACCCGGTCGGCGGGGTACCGTACCAACGGGTAACTAGTACTACGACTCTGCTGCCTCCGAGCGCCAGGTAAAACGACTGTTTCGAGACGGCTGCGCCGCATCCGGTTATGCCTTGATTTGCGTTGGGCAGCCTCAAGGCGAGGTGTTTTTCACTGCAGCGCAATTATTGTCAAACTTGCATGATTTCTCAGATTCATTGACGATGGTTAAGGCAGATGACTTGCGCCAAACGATGCGCACACACGAAACAGGCCGGCTCTGTATATATATATGTGTGTGTGTGTGTGTGCATGCCTTAGCCTTAGCCTTAGCCTTAGCTGTTGTCACTTGCACGGACGGAACAAGCAACAGTCAGCAATGCCCGTTTGGGCCTAGCAGCCACAGCACAAAGTCTCATGCATACACATCTCTCTCTCGCTCTTTCTCTCTCTTCAGCCCATTTGTGGCTACCACTATGGATAATGTACACGGGGCGCTTTCCGACAAGATGAAGCCGGCATGCAAGACACCTTAGTACACCCAACTATTACTCTCTCCTCCGTCCTTGGTTTTTCGTCTTCCGTCTTGCTCCGAATGTACCACTTGGAAACTAAGCACCCACCCTCCGTCGTCCGTCGGTCCGTCGTCCGTTTCAAACACCCGGCCTACCTTTAGCTGTGTTTCCCATCTTTTGTCCCCTCTTTTATTTTCTCTTGGGCATATCCTATGGATCTGACATTTTGCACTGCATCGGTCGATTGCTTTTGCTGCTAACTGTGCCCCCCTCCCCCCCCTTGCCAACCTTCTTTTTTTTCCCCTTGACCCTGACGATGTTGAGGATGAATATGATGTGCTTTTTTCCAGCATCATCCCGGTATACCACATGGCGCGGCCCGAAGGAACCAAGTCAAAAAAAGAAAAGGAAAAATTAAACATGAAGGGGGACCTTTGAAGGTTTCATCCCTGGTGCCCCCCCCCTTTCCTCTCCTGACTTGGATTTCTGTTGATGTTTTTCCGGTCAGAAAAGGAGGTATAGTAGCATGTACTAAAGTGTCGTGTGTTGTATAAGAAAAAAGATTTTGTATCCAGGGACTGTTTGTGTTTGTGCTTTTCGGGCAAGGGCGTAAGCAACAACCAAAGAATTAAAGGGCAACGGGATTTTCCAGGCTACTTCTTCTTGTCTGGTTGGCTGGTACGTGGGCGGGTAGGCTTGCTGGTTGGTTGGTTGGTTGGTTAGCTGGTTAGTCGCAAGTACTGCATGGCACAAAACCAACACCCCTCCCCCCCTTGCAGCAAAGCAAACATCAAACAGAAGATCAAATACATAGCCGATAAAATAAAGTGGTGTTGCGATCTTTTTTTTATCTTTCGGCGGCTTGATTGCTTGATTGCGCGCCTCAAATGCTTGTACCCTGCATACTTTTTTCTTTCTGCCCTGTTACAATGTCCCCCCCCCCCCAATTGCAGGTTGCGCGGGTTTCAACGCTAGCCAGCATCTCATGCAGCATTGTGATAGTAGTGATGGTGATTTGTGATGGGAATCTTAGTCGGTATACACGGCTTCAAATCCTGACCTTTAGGTACATACAATGTGTATACGCGTGTCTTTTCTCATGCCCTCCTATCTTAGCTCGACGCCAAGGCGCGCCACAAGCAAGTTCCTCAAGCGCGCATGCAGCTCGTTGGTCTCGTCGTTTGTCAGCGTGCGCTCCAGGCTGCGGTAGTTGACGCGGTAGCACAGGCTCCGGCGGCCTGTCTTGGGATGCACAAATGTGTCTGTTAGGCGCACGTCTTCGACTAGGTCGCCGCACACCTCGCGCGCGATCTCCATGACATCATTTTCGTGGAATGAGGGGGGTGTTGGCGGGGCCGCCGCGGGGGGAATGGGCGCTGCTGCATTGTCTGGGGTTCCGGTATCAGATGTGGGCTGTTGCTCTTGTTGTTCTTGTCCATCTTGGAGCCGTGACTGCGTTGAGGCTGTGTCCGGGGGCGAGTGGGATGATACAGCTCCGCTTTCTTGTCGGCTGGCCTCATCAGCACCACCTGCTGCTGCTGCTGCTGCTGATGGGAGTGGTGCTGAGGGTGATGCAGTAGCAGCAGGCAAAGTGGGGGGGTGAATAGCCGCGGCACCGCCTGCAGCGTTTGAACTACTGCTTAGCCAGAAACTCACGTCCTTGAAACACGCAGGGTATTTGCTGAAGGGGACGAAACGGCAAATGGGCTTTTGCTCGCTGAACTGCGACAAGAAACGCTCGTCTTTTGACCAGAAGAGCCGAATGTCAGGGATAGAGTACAGCAGCATGGCAATACGCTCCAGCCCCAGCCCAAAGGCCCATCCGCTGCGCGTCGGCACCGAAGCATTGTCGAGAATCGCCTGTGAAACAATGCCGCAGCCCAGAACCTCGAGCCAGTCGCCCTGCCAGAAGACCTCGAGTTCCCACGACGGTGACGTGAAGGGGAAGTAGGCTTCAACCCAGCGCACCTTGAGGGGCTCCTCGGCGCCACTCTGCGGGCCTGAGGCCCCCTTGGCTGCGTTGAAGATTGTCACCACCATGTCTTCCAGACTGCGTTTGAGGTGCGCAGCAATGGCCTCTGCTTCTTCCGGTGAGTGGCCTTGTTGTAGCGGATTCCGCTCAGCATTGAATGTCGGATTGGGGTCCTCGACGGCCACATCGTGCTTTGGAATCTTTTCGACATCCTCCCAGATGACTCGGGCGAGCGTTTTGCCCTGTCTTGCTGCTTGCTCGCGATCCCACGTCCGCGCGCCTTCCATCTGGTGGAAGACGGGGTAGTGACTCCGGTCAATGGCGTCTCGGCGGTACACATCGGCGCTGATGAGGTACCCTTCGCTTTCGTTGTTGCGGAATGTGTCAGACTGGTGGGCCGACGTGTGCGTTCGCAGGACCGTGGACTTGTTCACGTAGTACGTGTCAGTTCGACTGCGTCCCACATGGTCCAGAGGAAACCCGAGGGAGTCGAAATTTTGGGCAGTGCTGACAATGGGGAACAGGCTGTTGTGAGTCTTGTAGCCCGGGAACCGCGACTCGATGAGCTTCCGGGTAATGGTGAGGGGGTGGTCGGGCTGAAGATGGAGACGTCGAGGGATTGCAGACAGAATTGTAGACGGCGTGTTCATCCATTCGTCTGTCGGGTATGTTTTCCCTTCTACCGTGATCTCTTTTGGGAATGCTCCTAGTCTAGTTTAGATGATGGTTTGGTATTCTGATAGTGACGGCAGTTTGGGCATTGGCCTGAGCTGGAGCGACGGTGGCTATCGTTCGTCTTGTGCCTGAAACTGAGCACCTTGGGGAATCTGCTCAATGGTCCTCTCCCCTCATACCTGGCTGTCTCGCACTAGAAACGAATATCACATGATATCGACGTACCGGACGAATTGTGTCTGACATTACGCAGCGTCAGCGGGGACTTCAACCTCGGCGTCCATATCCGCAGTCGGGCACTCGAACTGATCTGGCGGCATACGGCAGCCGAGCACACAGGTATGCGCATACTTGCTGTTCAGCGGAATGGACCATTCTTGGTTCGTGGTTGGCCGCAAAACCGTTCACGCGAGCGCCAAGCCGCAGACCAGGCAGCCCCGGATTTAACTCCGAAAGCAGCACGTTTGACCGATGACGTCCGCGTGTGCCGAATTCTCGGTCTCTTAACAACCACCGAAACTCTCATAGGCTTATCGTTTGTTTTAAAAGGCTTTATACGGTTAACGGCGTCTTTGCCCGCACCGCAACGCACCCATCCGCGCCCTCGACTGCTCCCTACGCCAGCCTCACATGCGGTTACTGTGCAGCCTCCCTCTGTCAAGATGGCCCACGTCATGAGCAAGGTGACTCTGCCTGAGCTGCGCAAAAGTGAAGATGTGAAGCCCATGCTGAAGAAGCCGGTACAATACCCGTTCTGGTTTGGGGGGAGCGCCAGTTGCTTTGCGACTTTCTTTACGCACCCGTTGGATCTTGGTGAGTAGTTGCACGGTTTGTGCATGGCAATTTGGACATTCCACTGACGAGCCATGTAGTAAAGGTATAAAATTCCAAGAAAAAAAGCCACCCGCGTCCCTTGAAATATACTTATACCCCCCCTCCCAGGTCCGCCTACAGACACAAGCAACACATGGCGTACGGCTGAATATGGTGCAAATGTTCACCCATGTTGTAAAGTCAGATGGCGCATTGGGTCTATATAAAGGCGTACGTTATTCTCTCGGCGCAAGTGGCACGACGGACGTTTAACCCGCCTTCTCCAGATCTCTGCGGCGCAGTTGCGCCAGGGCACATACAGCATGACGCGCTTTGGCGTTTACGAAGCGCTAAAGGACCGCGTGACGACGGCGGAAAAGAAGCCCTCGTTCTTCACACTCGTCGGCATGGCATCGATATCCGGGTTCCTCGGAGGTTTCGCCGGAAACCCGGGAGACATCCTGAACGTGCGCATGCAGCACGACGCAGCGCTCCCAAAGGAAAAACGCCGCGGCTACAAGAATGCAATTGACGGGGTAATACGCATGTCGCGCGAAGAAGGCGTAGCAAGTCTGTGGAAAGGCGTGTGGCCCAATTCGTCGAGAGCTGTGCTCATGACGGTGGGCCAATTGGCGACGTACGACGGGTTCAAGCGCGTCCTGCTCAACTACACACCACTGCAGGATAACCTCACCACGCATTTCACAGCCTCTTTCCTCGCGGGCTTTGTCGCCACGACAATCTGCTCACCAGTCGACGTCATCAAGACAAAAGTAATGAGTTCGAGCGAGCATGCGGGGCTCGTCAAGACCGTCTCGGATACCATGAGGGCAGAGGGCTTCCGCTGGATGTTCAAGGGCTGGGTACCCAGTTTTATTCGTGTTGGTCCGCATACCGTACTCACCTTCCTGTTCCTGGAGCAACATAAGAAAGTTTACCGCCCGCTGAAAAAGTTGGAGTAGGATGATGCACAAAGTAGAGGGCATTTAAAACAAGGATGTTGTGGTAGAAGATGTATAGACGCGTGTTATAGATACCACATAGGCGGGCGTTGGCGCAAGTCGCATTCTTGCAGCGCGAATACTGTTACTTTGCATATAGAGGCTGGGCTGGCTTTGGTTGTACATATGAGTTTCCGACCACATGGAAGAGGAGCATATTGGTAACAAAGACACTTGACATGCCAGTTTTGTTGAGTTGATGAGCAAGTTGGAGGCCATGCAATGATGAAGTTGAATTGGACACGCACTTCACCCCCTCAATACCCATGCTTTTTCAATTCCTCCTCAGTCCACTCCCACAGCTTCTTCTTTTGCCCCTCGTCTGCCGCATGTCCACCGCCTGTGTTCTTCTTCCCAACCGGCAGGTAATACGCGCCATTCTCCAGCTGCTCCTTGGCCACCGTCGCACACCACGTCGAGTTGAGGGCGCCACCCTCGGGGCCCCTAAAATGGCCGGGCAGCACTAGCCCAACCCATCCGTATATCCACAGCGCCGCCTTCATGAAGATATTCGTGCGCAGGCTATTAAAGAGATCCGTCAGGATGACACCGGGGTGCAGCGACACGGATGTGATTTCCGGATGCTGCTCTGCCAGGGCGCGGGCATAGAGCAGGTTTGCGAGTTTCGAGTTGCCGTAGCGATACGATGTCGAGACGTCTGCTAGCGCAACCTGGTCGAGACTGATGCCCTTTGTCGCGAATCTGCACGCGACGCTGCTCAGCGTGAGAATGCGCACGTCGGCGCCGGGCTGCTTTGCCGTATCCAGCATGACGGGGAGCAGGAGTTTGGTCAGCAGCGCGTGGCCCATGTGGTTGGTTCCAAACTGGATCTCGTAGCCCTCCTTGGTCGTGCTGTACGGCACCGCCATGATACCCGCATTGTTGACCAGGATGTCGAGGCGCGTTTCGCGGCTTTTGAATGTCGAGGCTGCGTCGGCAATCGACGAGAAGGAGGTGAGGTCGAGGGGGAGGAAGACGATTTCGCACGCATTGGGCACCGACGACTTGATCGCGGTGATGGCATCGCGGGCTTTGGACTCGGTGCGCGCCGCGAGGTAGATGCGCGTGGGGTTGTGGGCCGCGAGATATGCAATCGTTTGCTTGCCCAGGCCCGTGTTGCCTGGCCGGGTGTGTTAGGTTCGTGATGCCAGAGCGTTCAGAGCGGGTTGGAGATGCACACCGCCAGTCACCAGTATGATTTTGCCCTCCAGGCTCCCAATGTCTGTAGCAGGATTGAATGAGCTCCCCATTGCGATGCTCTTTACTCTTTCTTCAGAATTTCAGTGTGGCGAAGCGTTTATCTGAGCCGTGTTTCGAGTGGGGTGGTCGCAGGCGAGGTGCTGTGGGATATAGATGGAGACGTTGGTCGGCGTTCAAAAAAGTACTTATGTATGGTACTTATTGGGATTGAGTAGTGTCGTTGCTACCCCGTCGCACCCCAAAGCTTCTTAACTCTCTTATGTCCCGCATATTCCGTGTCTTCCGCGACACGTTATCTTGCAATATCGAAACCTAGTCGTTTGACCCTGGTCAGGGTCTGCTCGTGGTGCTTCGTACGATATGCCGAGGCTGAGAACGCGTTATAACGTAGTGCTTTTGCAGAGTACTATAAGCGTCTTTACTATATTTCCTATTATAGCACAATAGCTTACTGCTAAGAGCCTTATAGAGAGTATATAATTAACTAATAACTATAAGTATTTAAAGTTATAAGAGAATAGTAGCAAATGCTAGAATTATAACGCTTGAATGATATACAACGCCATACGCTAGGAACAATTTTTGAAACTCCTATAGCATAAGTTTGTGCCCCTAGTTAAAGGCAGCTAGGAGCACTATTTTTTTTGTAAAAGCCTGCCTTCGACTAACAAGAGAAGTCTTAGTTCCTCTAATTCATGTGTCGCTAGTAAGGTCGATCGCCCCGTTAATCTGTTCAAGTGTCAGGCGGGAGACAGGTTTGCGCTTTCTAGTGTTGGATCTTGGAGGTACTAAGGAGTTAGGTGAGCCTGCGGAAGGAGACGCCACTGCCTGCGTTGTTGTTGGAGCAAGAGACTTAGCTTGGAGAGGCATTTGTGGTGATGCGGGTACAATGACGCCCTCTATGTCTTCTTCTGTATGGAGAGCCGCAAAGGGACCTTGACTTGTAGAGGCAGCTGTAGCTGAAGCTATGGAATAAGCTGAAATTGCATTTGCTTTCGTTTTTGAGGCGAAAGATGCTAACAAGCTTGACTGTGTCGAACTTGACTGTGACACTGGCACTGTAGGTGGAAAGTGCGATGGAAAGCTGGATGCCGTTTGAGTCGAGAAGGGCTTTGTAGCCGATGCTTCAAGAATCATGTGCCTTTGAGCTGAAGCCACGTGGTTGGAAGTTGGTAACATGGCACCATTTTCCCTCTGGAATTTACCATGCTGCACTGGCAGGTCGAATGAGTTCGAGTCAGATCGCTGTCGTTTCAGTGGCAGTGTAAGTGGCAATACGCCATTTTGGATGACAGCCAAATTTTGTTGTGGAAAGATGTCCTCCGATATAGTCTCAGGAGCTACTCGTTTATTGGAAGGCACCTGCAAATTTGAGTTTGTTTGAGACGATTGAACTGCCTGTGCTGGCAAAACTGAGCTCGAAACTACCGTGGTAGAAGTTGACGGCTGCTCCTGCAGAGTGGGGGCAATAGCAGTGCCATCGGTACCGCGGATAGCCTCCAAGTCGGCGATGAACTCCCAGACAAATTTCCAAGTTGGCCGCTTCAGGCGAAGGTCTGAGAAGTGCTCGCGAAGTATTATGCGGAAAGATTTGATGTCTTCTAAAAGCAGGGCATGATGCCTTGTTTCAGAGTATTTCGCGAGCAGGACGGTAACACCTAGCATCTCCACTGGTGCAAATGTCTGCACACCACGTAAATACCCGCTTGCATTGGTGAAGATATCAGTATTTAGTCCCACGAGATCACTAAACGTGGTCCAAACGCCTGCAAGAAGGGATTTAGTTGCATCGTCGACACCTGCCGTGTTGTTAAGCAGTTTCGGAAGCGCGGCATGATTTGCTTTGAAGGCTGGTACCTCACTTGTGGCACTCAAGACCTCATGAATCTGATTGAAGCATGACAGAGTGAGTTGGAAGTCCTTTGCGCGGGTTCGGTCTTTCAGCAAGCCATAGACGGCGGGGAAATCTTCCACAAAAAGCTTCGCTAGTTCCTGCCACGGCCCAGACTTTGCTCGTATCTTCTCGGCTGCAGTGAGTTGGATGCCCATCTGGACCCTAGAAAACAAGTCCTCCTCTTGACCCAGCGTAATTTTTGAAAACTGGAACGTGATAAAGTCTTTGTTCAGAAAAATCTTCTGTGTCTCTTCGGGTAGCACCCTTGTGTGCTTGATTTCTGCGGTGTCGCAAAACCACCTAGTAATGTCAGTGAAGGTATGGACAACGACCCTCGAGCCAACTTACCATTTATCTCCTCTGTGATCATGACAGGGAATAATTCCTTTTACAAAAGCTTGAACAGAAGAGAGGCGCTGCTTACCATCCACACATACAAGGATGTCGCGCGGGTTCCCGTCATTTAGAACAGGGCTTGTCTTCTTGTTCAAAATGATGGGGGGAATATAGTAATTCTCTGCAAGAAATTTAGTAAGCTGGATCATGTAGCAAGGGCGGTACTTACCCATCAAAGAGTCTATCAGGCCTGTCATGCGGTCCGCTGCTTAAGATGAGTATAATTGCTAGCATTTCGGGCTTTAGATACGCGTACCTGGCCACTCAACTCCTCGTTGATATTCCGGGTTAATATCAATATTACCGCTGTCCAGATCCTCTATTTACAGTCAGCATACGATTATTACAATAATTTCCTGCTCCATCTTACTCATCAGACTTGCTAAACTGCGCATGTGAACGTGCGGTCTGGGCAGCTGCGGTCGCGGGCGATACGCGGTTTCGTCTACCGCGTCGCTTTCCGCAGAAGTGTCATCGGGGGTGGCTTTCACAACAGGCTGAGCTGTGAGGGCGTCGCTATTCTTTTTCCGCTGCTTTCGCATGAGAGAATCTTGTTTGGCAGCGCCGCTTCTCATACTGTTGTGGAACGTGTGCGTGTATTGGTGGCGGTTGGAAGGCCTAGGAGCAGCCTGCGTTGCACCAGTACCTAGTGGGTCTAGCTTGGTCTTCGGCTAAGTAAGCCTACGCCAACGTCACTACCGCGTCGCTATACTTTCCCTCAAAAGTAAATATGGAGGAGAAAAAATTTGGATCATTAGGCAGACATTCAGAAATCACCCTGCTATATTCTCACTTCAGGTACAGCAAGTTCCTTTACTTACCTTACACGTGGCATCTGCAGCAAACATGTGAGGAGGATATCACCGGTTAGCCTATCTAGCCTTGTGGGCCAATAAAAAGGCTTCTCTTCTTAAACTCTCTGAAGATCCCATTCATTAGCATCATACTATGGCGAATAGTGCAAGACTGAAACGCCGCTACCCTTATATGACTGCTTGCAACCATGGTACAGTATATCACTGCGGTTGGCACTCTACTATCACACAAAGCGGGCCACGAAGCAAAATTTGACACAGATTACGGGAGGCGAAGCTGAAAGAAGAAACTCTGAACTTTTATGGATGGGGCGTTATTTTAACTATGTCCACGCGATCCAGACGCCATTGTGGTTCATTACATTGGCGTAAATTCGTAAGATCAGACATTTCCTGTGCATGACTGGATAGTAAATCAGAACCGCTGTGCCTGTGGATAGGCAAAGCCACAGCAACAGCATGTGACATACTCGCAGGACATATGGCCATATCGTTTAGTCCGCGTATAGCGAGTCGCCGTCATCTTCCTCTTGCACGGCATGTCCAGCGGCAAATTGCTCTTGGAAGTGACTTCCCTCCAAATCTGTTGCCTCTTCCATCTCATCATCGTGATCCTCGACTTCGTCAGCAGTCTGTTGTGAAGCCATCACTGGCTTTTCTCTGGGCACGCTTTCCTCATCATCTTCGCTGTCTTCAGACTCGTCGCCATCGCTGATCTCAATGGTCTGTAATACTCTAGCCTTCTCGGATGGTTTGAGGTGAATATCTCCAAGATGCTCATGCTGCTGAACATCTAGCATTCCCTTAGTACCCAATGCGAGAACCATCATCAGACCTTGGCAAGCAACCATCTTGCTACTCTCTGCAGGAGGAAGGAGCTCTTCGAATGTGACTTCATTCGTGTTGGTGACGGCTTCTGGGTCGGCTTGGACACGATTGCGTTTCTCGGTTATCCGCTCAGTGATGAAGTTGATGAAGTTTCCTCCTTCAGTGGAAAGAGCTTCGCGGAATCGTGATGTAGTGTTTGCAGGGGCTGCTGGTTCGAGCACGTCTGAGCTAAGCCCTGGAAGCCCGTATTCATCATCGGCATACCCCGCGTCACTGGTAAGATGCTTCAGCTCCTCAAATGGAATGGACTGGCCTCGTCCGTGTAAGGGAGATGCGGATACTAGACGACTGCCCTGCCTGCCTCGATCTGCGGAACTGATCATGCCGATGCGTCCACTGCGAGGAATAGCCGACGACCCTCGGACAGAAGCGCTCATGTTCCAAGGCATTGCAGAAAATATTTGTTGATCATCAAGAACGGAGACAGCTTCGCGAGGTAGTTCGACCGCAACGTCGTCGTCCCCAACCGGCATGGAGAAAACATCATCATCAGCGCCACGAGCGGCCTCAAATTCGTCAGTCTTTTGGCGCACGCAGCGGGACTCTCCTTGTGTAGCATCGTCAATGCCACTATCGCGATCGTGCTTGGCCCCAGTGACCTCACGACTCATACCAGTGATCGACTCGAAGAGCTTGTCACCAATGAACATATCGAACGGGTTATTGCCTCGGTTGCTGAAGATTTGTTGGCCAATGGCTCCCAGGCCAAACCCCCAGACATAATATTCAGCGTTCTTTTTTGCCTGTGTGCTGGAGCGATTTTGGATCTTCTGTCGAGAAACAACCTTCATGTTGTTGAGATAGTTTGTATTCCAGTCTGCCAGATCCTTATTACGAAGCTCTGTTGTTGTATCTGCGGCAATGGCGCGCGGAACTCGACGACGGCGCATAGGAGCAGTAATTGTGTCAGATGACTCTACTACTTCTGAATGCTGACTGGACTGAGACAGGGCGCCTGAAGAAGCGGTCTCGCCTTCGGGAAGAGCATTGTCGTAGCTGGGAAGATCCATGTCTATCTCATTGCTAGGCAACTCGTAGATGTCAGTATTCATAACGTGAGATTGTCGAGTGTATGTAGACAAAAAAGTAGCGGTACTGGAAGAATGGGAGAATGAGATTCCGGATATATGTGAAGAGGTTCCGAATGCGAGGACATGGCGCAAAGTCATGATAGAGGTCCAAGTGAGGCAGGCAAAAGCACTAGGTAAGACTAGCGGCTAGGGGTAGAGTGCGGAGAAACGTGAAAATACACAGTAAAACTCACCTTATTACGTGTCTGCTGTCCTTCTTTGTGTTCCTTCCTTACCCGAGCACTTAGTGCAGCATCGCTGGGCATAGTCGCATCTGCAGGTATAGCTGGTGTTCTGGGCGCTGCAATACCTGGTGAAAGATGAATAATCTCTCCGTCATCCCCAAACATGAAGCATGGGTCTTCAATTTCGATTGTATCGCCTGCTCCGAGCATGCTGCTAGGCCGACCGATGCTGCCTGTCACTTGGTCGCTTTCCAGCCTGAACCCACCTGCGGCGACAGGGGAAGACGTAGGGAGAATAAGAACGCCGACGTTGTCATTGTTGGAAGGGGATGTAGTCTTTTGGGAGCCGAATGGGGTTAGAGATTGGGATTCGCCAGAGTGTGCTATATCGAGATTGAAGTTGGAGTCAAGGTCAGCAAGCGGTTCCGGTGGCGGAAGAGCAAGCTCGGGGATGAAAGCTGGGTCATCTTCGAGAATGAGTAGTTCAGGCCTAGGAAGAATTTGTCAGCAGAATGCCCTGGAGAAATGTGAATGATGAGTTCATACCTAGCTCTGCCAGCCGCAGTATCCAAAGCGGTGTCGTGCACCGTTCGTAACATTGTTCGGAGGGCAATTTGCGCATTCTGTGCGTCGGCGAGAAGATACCCGCATTGTTGCAAGTAAACACGCGATACTCCATACCTACATGCGTCAGTAACATTGCGCGCAACACGCTGCGCACAAGCAACTTACAACAAGTTACCCTGTAGCCGCAAAGCCATGGGGGCCACTGGGTCGACTATGGTCTCACATGCCTTGGGTACGTCGACATCGAGGATTTGCTTTCGGTTGATTCGCTTCAGGCTCGACTTGGAACCAAGCGTTGCAACGAGCCTGCCATTTCTGTCAGTGAAGGGAAGGAGCTACCCATCACTGCCATGACCCACCACACAGTCGCCACCCCATATTTGCGTGACGTGAGAACTGCCAGAGTCAGCTTTGCGTTGAAGTTCGAGTCTTGGAGGGAATCTTACTTTCGTGACTGTAGAACATGGTGGGAATATCAAGACACTAACGAAAGACTAGGATTAGGACAATACAAAGAAAAAGCTACAGCATAGATTACGGATGAAGAGGCTGGAGAAGAGATTGCAGCAACGAACGAGTAGACTGTTGGAAAAGTGCGTCAGGCAAGTGTTAGAATCGTGGCAAGGCTTGGCGCTTCGGCGCGTTTTCGCGACGCGGAGTGAAGTGAAGATGAAGATAGGGACGGGCGCGCTGTACCAATCAGATAACGTGTCTATTAATGCAAGTCTAGAAGTCGTGCCATCATTACTCATATGTTGTGAGTCGCTTCACAGCTCTTTTAGCAACGTCAACGCCAGTGCTATGCGTCATGTTCGCTCTGCCTACGCTTTTGCTTTCTTACATGGCGACTATAGTGTCTGAAAATATCCTCCACAGATGGAACACCAAGTCACTCTATGCCTCACCCATCTGCACATCCTCGTCAATCGATGGGAGAGGGACTGCTCGGTAGAGGAGGATCAGAGCAGAGTGGCTTTGTCCTGCGACAATGTCAGTTATTGATGGTACCTGAATAGCGACAACACTTACCACCGCCAGAAAGAGTCTGTATCCGCTCAGCATCAACCTCGGAGACCTTTTCGTCGTTGAACCACCACCACTTGCCGTCCTCCTCCTTGCGCTTGCCCGTGACCGGGTCCTTGGCGCCTTGCTTCTTGACGAAAGACGTGTAGTGGCCGCTGTCAGCGCTGGCGCCCTGGTGAGTAATGACACCGCGTAGCTCGTAGAGACCCGTCTGGTTGGCACCATCATCAGCGGCCATTTTGGGGTCGACAAGCGCGAGGAGCTCCTTCTTGGCAGCCAAAATAGATGCCGCACGTTCAGCTTCAACTTGAGCGTCGGTCTTGTATTCGACCTCTTCCATATTGGTATCCTCGGACTTGCTGGCGTCGTCCTTCTTTTGCGCAGCCTCCTTCTTCTTTTGCAGAGGCTCCTTCGGGGCAAGAGGGTCGCTGTCATTGTCTTCGCCAGCCCTCATGCGCTTTTGTCGCTTGCGGGCGCGCTCGACGTCCTCCTCTTCCTTGCGAACATCGCGGATCTTGTCACGTATGGGGGCCAGAACCTTTCTCAATTCCTCGGTGCAAAACTCGAGCGCATCCAGTTCTTCCGGGAAGGTGACCTTGCGCATAATCTTGGCCTTCTTGTTGGTGTCTCGTCGCCAGTCAAAGCGGACAAAATGGACGGGAAGGTGCTTGGGCAGGCGTGCAATCTTCGAAGTCTTGGTGTACATGGCGTTTCGTCCCAGAACCTCCGATCGCTTCTCAATCTTCTCCTGCAGACCAGCGGCCAGACCATCCCTGAGGTGGTTCGTCTCGACGTTGATGTGGCAATTGAGCTTGAAAAAGAGGTCCTCGCTGTGGACTGGCTCCTCACCACCTTCCTTGGCTGCAGGCTCGTCGCACTCCATGACTGACTCGAATCTGCCCGACATGTATTTGTCAATCCAGGACATGGCCTGCTTATCCGCACCTGACGCATCCTTGTCGCTGATTTTCAGCTTTTGGCGCAGTTGCGATACAATCTGTGACCAAGCCTCCTCTGCGTCCTGTTGTGCGTAGCCATGGCCATCCTTTGCTTTTTGGGCGAATTGCGGGAAGGCGGTTCGGAGAGCATTTAGGAACATGAGCGGCGGGAATCCTTGCTGCGTCTCGGACATTTGCTTGAAGAGGTCGCGGAGGGCGCCTGTGAGATCAGTCGAGGCACCGAGACCGCCGAGGCCGAACTGGCTGAGCTGCGCCGCGGAGCTGGATGAACTGGCGTCGTTGCTGCAGGGAGTCAGTATAGTACAATTCAACGGTCGAGAAGAGGCGCACCTGGCAGAGTACCGCAAGAGCTCGTCCTGAAGCTCGGGAATGGACCGTAGCGTCTGCAGCGTAGAGTTCATGTAGCAGGTGTTGCCCAGGTTCTGCAGACCGGCGGGCGTGGCGCCTTCGAGTTGCGCGGCCTCTGCCTCGTCCATGTCCTCGAGGAACTTGGTAGGGACCTTGGGCTTCTCGATGACGGTTCCGCTGCCCGAAGGCGTTCCCATCATCATCAGCGTCTGGCCGGGCTTGAGGCCCAGTTTGGACATGTCGGCGTCATCTTTCAGCTGACCGCCCTTGACGATGACCTTCTGGCGATCTGGCTCGACGCCCGTGATGGAGAAGAGCTGGTACTTGAACGTCTCGCCGGTGGACGTGGTGTCGACCTCGACCTCGTGCTTCTTGCCCTGGTGCTTTACGATTACTACAGACAGGCCAGTCAGTACTCAGACGCTGCGGGCGTGGGCGTGTGCGGTCGCATACCTGGTATAGACGCCATGATGTATCCTCGGCGAGACGACGAGAGAGGTGCAGAGTGTTTGGGAGGGCGGAGGCGAAAAGATGGCTTATACGGCGGTCGTGGGGCGGCATGCAATGGGCGGCGGCCGAATCATGAGGAAGGCATGCGGCGCCAAGCACAGCCGCCGCCCGGAGCTTCCAACCCCACTAGCCACCACCTGCAGGCAGCGCCAACTGCCCGTGCTGGCATGTCATAGCCCGCCCTCCCAGACTGCAGCCCCAACCTCGACACTCCGAGCTGGTGCTGAGCTCTACCCGCCATGGTATGCCGTCCTGTGCTTCCGACAGCCCGGCCGCCCGTGTTTGCTAATGTCGCCAGTCTCAATCCCTCCGCCCGTACCTCCAGTGCGTGCGCTCGTCGCTCACGGCTGCCCTATCGCTCTCCAACTTTGCTTCACAGGCCTCGGAGCGCCACAATGTCCCCGAGATCGAGGCTGCGAGCTCCCCGGAAGTCATCCTGAACCCCCTCACTGTGTCGAGAAACGAGAACGAGCGCGTATACATCGAGCCCAGCATCAACAGTGTGCGAATAAGCATCAAGATCAAGCAGGCAGATGAGATTGAGCACATTCTGGTCCACAAGTTCACACGGTTCCTGACGCAGCGAGCCGAGTCATTCTACATTCTGCGGAGGAAGCCTGTCAAGGGCTACGACATCTCGTTCCTCATCACCAACTTCCACACCGAGGAGATGTTGAAGCACAAGCTGGTCGACTTCATCATTCAATTCATGGAAGAGGTCGACAAGGAGATCTCGGAAATGAAGCTCTTTGTAAGGAAGACGAGACACATGACGGCGAGCACGAGCTAACACCGGCCAGTTGAACGCAAGAGCACGTTTCGTTGCCGAATCTTTCCTTACTCCAGTACGTGCTGCTCCATCCGTCCCGAGTACCGCCACTAACAAGAGACCAGTTTGATTAAGCGCGCGAGGAGGGTGTTTATATATATGGCGACGTACGGCCATCGAAATAGAAGCAGCTTCACGAAACAGACCATGGTCGAGGGCCGAGCCGTTTGCTTGCAAACAAGTGTGGGCATGGAAAAGTTGCGATCCAAGCTGAGCATTCGACCAGCAATGAATACAATCACGAACTTGAAACACCTTGCCGTACATGACGCACTCCAGCGATGCTTCGAATATGTCTGCAGAATACGAGCTACTTGATCAATTGACGAAGACCCGGGCAACACATGCACATCCGACTTGACATGTGATTTGTTGTTTATTTATTTCATTCTACAGAGTTGACTAGATGCATTACCGCTCATGGCAATTCCCCACCATGGAGCCACAATGGCTGTCGGCACTTACAACTTAGCCAGGACGGCATCGGCGCTCGAGACCTGCATTCTGTCAGCCACAAGAGACATAGTCGTCTGGGTCTGGGGCACTCACAGTAACCTCACCAGGGCTCTTCTCGTTCTCGGCGTAGACGACCTTGCCGTGGTCAAAGACCATGGCCCAGCGACCGTTACGGTCGCCCATACCAGCGGCCCAGCCGTAGTTCTTGCTGAAGAAGGTCTTGGTGTCGCTCAGGAACAGGACCTCGTCGCCGTTGACGCCGTTGACCTTGCCCCATGCATTCATGACCCAGGCGTCGTTGGAAGCAATGGTGGCGATCACGTCAACGCCCTTGTCCTTGAACTCCTTGGCCTTGGCAATGTAGGGAGGCAGGTGGTATGCTTGACAGCCGGGTGTGAAGGCGCCGGGGACAGAGAAGACGACGACTTTCTTGTCTGCCCACTCCTTGCTGGCGTCGTATTCTTGCGGGCGGCCGCAGGTGGTGGGGTCACTGTCAGTAATGGGCGCCCATCTATACACGAGGAATGGTGGTTAGCAATGGCTCTGGGCAACGAGTCGACTCTCCATCAAGCCCGGCAGCTTGAGATTGCAACACCAAAGAGTAGAACCTACTCGAACTTGACGCCCTCGGGGAGCTTGTCACCGACTTGGAGAGGAGCCATGTTGTTTTCAATTGGTGTGGTAGGAATAGTAGGAGTAGTGTTGGGGCAAGAGGTCTGAGCAAGAGGTCTGAGCAAGTATGAGAAGAGAGAAGAGTGTCTGGAGAAAAGGCAGAAAGCGCCCGACGAGGAACACGCGTTTATTTGGCTCTCAAAAGGAGGGGCAAAAAATATGCGCCTCTCGCCCACTGCCGCAATCGCCGACCCCCTAACGTTAGTTACCTGGCCTTGCTTCACAAGCTTTCCAGCTTCGAGATGATGGTGGGGCAGCACCGCCGTCCCCTCCGCAGAGCTGCGCCGAGGCTGCACAGCGAATGACGCCACGGTACCTCGCGGAACAACGCATCGCATTGATAATGCAATCATGCAACGCATATATGCTTTTGACAAATTCAACAGGCCTATGATGGGCGTGCACCTCCATGGCCAGCTGCCTTTTGTTGTTCCACGGCACTTGTGTCCGACTGGGAAAGCCTGTGCCGGCGAACTCCCACGCTTGCTTGCTTGCTTGCTGCTGTGTGAAGCTAGGTTGCAGGGGGGGCAGGTACTAGACCCTCTGCCATTACATGATACACTAATGCTGCCGCTGCCGCTTTAGTAATTCACTCAAAGCATGCAACGGGCTCGCCATCCCATGTCTTGGGCGTGCGTGTACCTCGGGACTTGAGAGAGACACACGCTGTGCTCCGTACGTACGTTAGCTCTTCGAGAAGCTTCCCCTACAGTACGTACTTATCGATATCGACGTGGGTGGATTGCGGGGCTGGGCTGGGCTGGGCCGGGTAGGTATCGGATCGGGAGAAGAACATGGCTGCAAGGCACAGTCAAGGCACAGTCAAGGCACAGTAACAATGACACAGCATTTGGGTATCTTCCTTCGACATGGCCGTGGGTGCAATGACTATGTCAGGCGCACCGTCATTGGAACAGGAAAATTTCCTGGTTCCCACGGCAAACTTCAGGCCATGCCGATACACATGCCGAGACGAAGCAGAAATCGGCATATGCGACTATAACATCACGGCTTCATGGCTGCATGTTAGACATCCGACGCTCGCAGAACCAGAATTCAAATCCTCGATTGTATTTGCGTAGCTAAATTTGCTTTGATCATGTCTCTTGCACCGCCATTTACCCACGAAACCGCCCATGCCAAGGTCAAGAAGGCGCAGGACTTGTGGAATACCCAGTACGTTGCCTCACACGTGCATTTGCGCACCGTCTGATTGTCCCAGAAACCCCAAAGTAATTGCACAGGCCTACACTCCCGAAAGCATCTGGCGCAACCGGTCATCCTTCCTGGTAGGCACGGCAGCCATTGAGGACTTCCTGACCAAGAAATGGGAGAAGGAAAAAGAGCTACCGCTTGCGCAAGGAGCTCTTCGCCTTTACCGAAAACAAAATTGCCGTTCAGTTCTGGTACGAGTTCCAGGATGCTCACGACGGCATGAAATGGAAGCGCTGCTACGGCCTCGAAGACTGGACCTTTGCCGAGGACGGAAAGATGCGCAAGCGCCAGATGAGCGGCAACAACATGGACATTGACGAAGCTGGTGAGTGCTCATGCATCCTGTATCCAAGTGGGGACAGCCTCCAATAACATCTGCAGAACGATGGTTCAAAGACGGAGTTGATGTCAATCAAGTCGACATTAGCGAAGCTCATTGGTAAACCAGTCTATTACGCTATTCAAGGTAGTTGGGTATCGTAATGCTTGCGTATAAAAACAAGGCGCGCCTATGCAGTGAGCTTGCTGGATGCCCTAGACAGGAGGGGTGTCGTGGATAAGGACGAGAATGAACTTGGGATCTGGTCCGTAGATTAGTGCATATCCTATGACAAATATCGCACGGGTCGTACCCGGTACAATGACTAGCTCAGTCTTCTTGGTCCGTAATCGCAGTAGCTTGACTTCGTCCTCCTTATCCAACTCGTCGACAAGCGTTCCTGCCGCGGCCAGGAAGGACCATACCGAGCTCGCAACATCTTCCGCGCTATGTATACCGCTGTCCTTCCTGCCATTGGCGTAGTTTTCCGACGCAGCTTCTCCAGAAGCAGGCAGGGTGCTGTTTGGATTTGCCGACGAGCTTTTCGAGATGAGGCCGGAGGTGCGTATTATGGTGCCATTTTCGCGCGACAATATGAGAGTGCTCTGCACGCCGGGCTTCTGGCTCAAGCGGGTGAGCAGCGCAAGTGATTCGTCTGGCTGTCAATTCGTTTAGTCCATCGCAGGTCCATACGCAGCTAGAAATTAATACATACAGCGTTTTGGGCCATTTTGGGCGAAACGGCGAGGAGGTGGGGTAAGGAATACTGGTCGCACCTTGGAGATTGCCAATGACATCGGCAGACACGTCCGCGACTGGACCCTGCCAAGCAATGACCTCTTTAGGCTTCTTTTGCACTAGCGGCGTCGATGCATCTTTAATTTTCCTGCCATCACCACCGAAGCGCGTACTTCACCGTCGTCGTCGGTTGGAAACGGGTCTTTTCGCGATACCGGAATTTTATGCGCGGTCGCCTACTCGTGCCAATATCAGAGTACTAAACAGGACGCGACCCTAACGCCACCATGACCACAAGCTCGAAGAAAAAGAAAGAGAGCAAGAAAAAAGACTTCCAGGTAAGACCACGTGAGATTGATGACTTCAGGAGCCGACTCTGAACCATTGCAGAAACCAAAGTTGAAGGTTGGCAAAGCAAAACCAAAGCCGGTGAACGCTACAGACACCAGTTTTCGCGCCAAATGTAGGTTATGCGACAGCATACGCTGCGCAGACACTAACAATTACCAGCAATGGCACTGAAGCAACAGGCTCTTTCTACTAGCGCCCCCACTCTGGAAGCGCAATGTGCCCATCATTTAGGTCTGCTGAACCACAAGTCTGATTCGCAACGCAAGGAATCTCTGGCCTTCTTAACCTCAGCAATCATCAGCAACCCGCCTACAGTCCCATTGCCACAGCCGTCGTCTGTAATCATACCTGCCGTTCAGCGTCTCATCTTAGATGGCACAAAAAGTGTCCGCCAACAGCTCCTCAAGCTGTTGCAAATCTTACCACAGGTAGACATTGCCAGTCATGCAGACCAGCTATTACTTCACACAAGAGCGGCAATGACGCATCTATCCACTGAAATCCGGTTGTTTGGGCTCGATGTGCTTGAATGGTTGCTCCAAGTTGCCGGTGACGAAGTGGTCAGTTGCGCCGGTGGCTGGGTAAAGATGCTGAAATGCTTCTTGAGTCTACTTGGCTGGCAAAGCGATGCGTCGAGCAAATGGTCGACGGGGAGGTCATACGGAAAAGCTGATACGAAGATGCAAGTGAGGCAGATGAGCGTGCTCACTTCATTCCTCCGCGCTGGGCTCTCACATACACAATCCGTACCCTCTATCGACACCAACGAAAACGATTTCCCACTTTGGCACACTCAGCACCACATATTGTCTGAACGCTCCAATGTTTATGCGCACCTCAACCTATTTGGAGCTGCGAGAGATGAGGAAGCAGAAATGTACGAAGACCGGGAAGACAGACAAAGGGTGTTTCATGACCGAGCCGAGGCTGCAATTGTTGCAGGGTTGGAAGAAGCCACCAAGGCAGGCGGAGAGTTGGGTCGTGCAGGCGCGCAGCTTCGAAAGGTCACCAAGGAAGGCATGGCGGATTTTTACCGAGAAGAACTGAATCCTTGAATACTGAGGGCTCTACATGGCGATCCAGGATAAAAGTTGATCCGGTCACAGACATACCAGTATAGGCCAGATGGAGCAGTACTGGCTGATGACTGAAAGACACTTACAGCGTAGTGTCTGTCAAGCGATTGCAGTGCAAAGGACTCTGTTATCGACTTGAGGAAGTGCCTCTCCTACAACTGCGACAACCACTTTTTCTTGGGCGAAAAATCTCTGAATACGGAGCCAGACGCATGCGGTTGATGTTGTTCGATCTTGAGTAGCATTCGGAATTCTCCTCAGGCCTTCTACTTGGAAATGTTCGGTACGGATATCGTGTCTTCCTTATGGTTTCAGACCATAGCTTTCTAAAGGGCAAAACCTTGATCGATTTGGATTGTGGAAGAGAGCAGTCAATCGCTTGCCCGAGACACTTCAACTTGGTTAAACCCTCTCGAAACACATAGACGGAATGCAAAAAAGGTCAATGGAAGAGTGCCACAACGATGCGCTATGGATAGAAGGGCTGTACGGCGTACTGCCGAAATATCCAGGACTTTGGGACTTGGGCAAAGGTGTTCAAGACGTATTATGGGCGAAGTTCAGGGCGACAAAGGGAAGAATAGGATTGTCTCGGTTTCATGTGAGAGCGGAGCAGACCCGCCTTGTACGGCACGACACACTCCAGATGTAATACAAAGTAGCACATGATTCTCACCCTATCTGCTTAGTCTAGACGACTAGTAAGTCTTGGAAGCAGATGCTCAAGGAGGAATAATTGGTATGAGATAGTGCCAAGGTAGTAAAATACCAGCTTAGTGGTAGTGCCGGCTCTACCATATCTTGTGAATAGATACAAAAGTCAATCTGGCCAAGGCGGACCGACAACGCGCAAATCATTCGCGTGGAGCTGCAGATTTGATTGACGTCACGGCGCTAGTCATCGCACGCGAGGCACGCGCATTTGAAACACAGCTGCAACTTTTCCGATGCCGCCGAAACTAGGTTTACAGGACACATTGATATATTCCTACGACTTCTCCTGTCGCCTGCGCCTATCCTAGCTGCGGTACTCTTTGCTTTCTTTTCTCTACTCTGACAAAGTCCCCAGCACTACCCATTGGCCACAGAAACAGCGATATACGCAACCGCAACCATGTCGATGGTATCGCAGACGCTGCAAGGCGCAGTACTCAGCCTGACGTCCAACGTTCTCGCACAAGCTATAACGGCCTACCAAAACAAGGTGCGCACCATTGGGCAATTCTGCATGCGCGGGGCTTTCCAGCTGACATCTGTCCTAGACGCCCTTCAGCCTCAACTACACGTCGGTATTCAAATTCGTGCTCTTCAGCGTCCTCAGCAACCCGCCAAACATCGTCTGGCAAGGCTTCCTCGAAGACCAATTCCCCACAAATGTGCCCTCGGCGCCAGCCCCGACGTCGACCGAGAAGCCCGGTTCCAAGCCCGACCCCACAAAGACAACGCTCAGCAAAACCAATGTCTTGATCAAGTTTGTGCTCGACCAGACGGTCGGTGCCCTCGTCAATACGCTCATGTTCTTGAGTTACATAGGCTATGTCAATGCGCTGGACAAGCCGGGCGTCAACGCTATGGATGTGGTCGTCAGCGACTGCATGAACAATACGTGGCCGATGATGAAGGACGGATACAAATTTTGGCCGGCGATAAGCCTCATTAGCTTCTTGTGGGTACCCGTCGATAAGAGGGTCGTGTTTGGTTGCTCGGTGGGTGTGCTGTGGGGTATCTACCTGAGTTTGGCTGCGGACGCATAGTTCCGGCCGCGCTGTGGGAGGACGCCCGCGACGGCTTCGGACGGATAAGCTGTATTCAAGATGAACGTATGGTCTAGTAACTACGCGCGACATGCACCAGCGCTGAATGAATTATTCAAACCTATCTGGCTCTGGCTTTGTCTGCACGCTTCCCGGCGACCACCCTCTATTAATGGTATACTTGCTGAATTATTGGTAGCGATACTGACTTTTTACCTAAGCGCCACTCCCTACTCAACGACCCTCTCTTCTTACCTTTCCACCACTAACGAACCTCGAGAAAGTCATCCTGTACGTTTAGTGGATGGACCAAGATGGCGTGTATCAGCGCATATGCGTTCACAGTGCAGTCTCGATGGATCTCTCACCCTGAGAGAGAGCTAGCGTACACCAGACTGTTCAGGGTCATCAATGAGAACAGCCGGAATCCAATCATTTGGACCCATGACGAATGCGCGACCCTAGAGCAAGTACAGAGAATCGATACAAACACAGATGATTGTCAAATGTTGTTGGCTGAGTGGCGGATTTCTGTATCGCAAGAGCATACTGACATGGGAGCCAGTAAACTCGCACAGCGCATAGCCTAAGAGAATTTGAAAAGTGGCTTTCAACCACTGCAAGTTGGTTTGAGCAGGGTCGAAATCAGCGGTAATGGTACGGTGAGTGGGACCATAAAAGTACCATATCTAGGTGCCTGCTCTGTCTCCCACCACCCATCCGTGCATCGCTGAATTCTTGTCTTTTTCTTTTGTTTCAGCATACAAGATGGATCAGCCTCCTTCGCAGGCCGTCTCTAGTTACCACCACCCGGGCCAGGGCGAGTATTTCCGTTCACGGCGCGTCAAGCCTGAAGATGTCCAGCAGCCGTGGCTCAAGAAGAAGCATCCGCGGCAGATATGGGTTACTATATTTCCCCTTACCGGTCTCTTTCTGGGTTTGATCGTAACGGGTATTCTGATCTGGGATGGAATCAGGGCTGTTGCGCAGCACGAGTACTGCGAGGTGCTGAACGAGAATTTCACTACTTGGAATGACAACATCTGGGCCAAGGAGGTCGGCCTCGGTGGCTTTGGGTATGTTGCGGGTTTTTAGCTTTGACGCGACCAAGTAGCTGACTATGCCCTGCAGTAATGGCCAGTTCGAAATGACGACTGCCTCTGATGAGAATGTCTTCATTGAGAACAATGAGCTCGTCATCAAGCCTACTCTCCAGAAGGAGGAGTACATGATGCAGAACCACGTCATTGATCTTCGCGGCCACGGTTGTAACGGTCCCGCCTGGACTGATTGCGTTGCAGCTACCAATATAACCAACGGCACCATTGTCAATCCTGTCAAATCCGGCCGCATCAGCACCAAACCCGGCGCCTCGATCAAGTATGGCCGCGTGGAAGTCGTTGCCAAACTGCCTGCTGGCGATTGGCTCTGGCCAGCTATTTGGATGCTGCCCAGAGACAATGTGTACGGCCCTTGGCCCCGCTCGGGCGAGATTGACATTATGGAATCGCGTGGCAATGCGCCTGGGTATCCTCAGGGCGGGAACAACATCGTTTCCAGCACGCTGCACTTTGGCCCTGACTCCAACCACAACGGCTGGTGGCGCAACAACGTCAAGCGAAAGGCATTGCATACGACATATGCAGCAGGCTACAACACCTTTGGTGTAGAGGTTTGTCTTTCATCACACTTGTAATAATTCAGAAGTAGCTAACCCGATGTCTAGTGGTCTGAAAAGTACATCTTCACCTACATCAACACTCGTCTCCTGCAAGTCATGTACACGCACTTTGACCAGCCTTTCTGGGACTACGGTGGCTTCCCGCTCGCCGACGCCAACGGCACGCGTCTGAACAATCCCTGGGAGCACACCAAAAGCAACACGTCGCCCTTTGACCAGGACTTCTATCTCGTCCTCAACGTGGCCGTCGGCGGCACAAACGGCTGGTTCGAGGATGGCAAGGGCGGCAAGCCCTGGATCGACAAGAGTCCCCGTGCCAAGCTCGATTTCTGGGAGGCAAAGGATTACTGGCTGCCTACGTGGAAGGATGGAGCTGCAATGCGTGTCAAGAGCGTGAAGATGTGGCAACAGAGTGGGCACAACGGGTGCAAAGCTTGATTTTCCCTGCCATGTGCAAACGTGAGCACGGGAAATAAGAGAGAGAGAGAAAAGGACGCGTTTTCGGGACGCTTCTTTGTGTTGTTTGTGGCTTTTGAGGATTCGATGTTGGCAGAGATGCATATCTCTAGGCTATATATATGCCAACTTAATACTTATTACCATGTGATATATAACAAAAGTTTGCTTTTGAAGATAGTCTCATCTCCCATGTCTTGCTGTACTCTGGGGTTTGTACAAGGAACAAAGCGGTTCTGATGGCCCGGTGATACTCACATTACTGGGAGCTTGGGGGATTGAATATCGCACGTATACGCTTTCAGTCGAGCAAGCCTGTATCTGAATGCAGAAACTACTCCTATCCAAAGTTGTCATGATGAGAGAAACGCGAAAGAGAGCGTGTGCAGCATCTCCCTGAAGATCTGGTAGAGACTAGGTTCTCATATCTGGAAGGTGGCTTGAGTCTCGACTTACTACTTTGGGCCTAGCACTAAGTACCTACGTGGGCAACCCCTCCTCCCTCGGTAAATCAGTGAAACTGAACCCGGGAAAAAAAAAGAGCTGCCAGGTACGAAGTTGTCTGGACACGGAACCAAAATAAGGCCTTTACGCATATCTCAAAGCTTGATGTCTTGACTATATACCCCAAGTAGCAGTCGGGAATTTATTGTCTTACAAGAGGATTTCAAAAAACTTACATGTAGTACTATAATCTGTGTTGAAAGAACATGGGCGGAACGTCGCTTGAAGTCTAACATGGTCCGGCTTAACTGGGCAGTTTACCGAGCGGTTAACCCCCCCCCCATCTTCGGAAAGCTTATCGCCTCCGAGTCCGATGATCGCAGTCCCTTTGGGGGCCCATAGATACCAGGAGTCAGAGCCCGAGAGGAAAACTTGGTAGATTTACTATCGAGCCCACTGCACACCGCATTCCTACAGTCAGACACTCAAACCCCCCGGTTTCTTGTGATATATACTTGAATACATATATACACCCACACGCAAAAGCGCAAGCATGCCGTACGCACCCAAAGTGGGCGACTCGCTCGACTCGCTCGACACGCCGTCGATGATTGTGGACCTCGACCTCATGGAAGCCAACCTGCACAAACTCGTCTCGCTACTGCTGCCGACGGGCGTGTCGATACGCCCGCATCTCAAGACGAGCAAGTCGGCCATTGTAGCGCAGAAGATGGTCGACGCAGGTACCAAAGGCGGGTGCGTGGCCAAGCTTTCCGAGGCTGAAGCCATGTGCGCCAAAGGCTTCACCGATATCCTCATCACGTGCGAGGTTGTGGGCGCCGTCAAAGTGAAGAGGCTTGCTGAGCTGCTCGAGAAGCACAGGGATGTTCGCATCGTCGTCGACAGCGAGGCTGGCGCCGCGGCTATCGATGCTGCACTGGCTGAGCGCGGCTTCGAAGGCAGGGCATTGACGCTGATCGATCTGGATGTCGGAACCCATCGCACCGGTGTGCAGCCTGGTGCTCCGGCCTGCGAGCTCGCTGCTTTCGTGGCAAAGTCGCGCCATCTGCAGTTGATGGGCGTCCAGGGATATGAGGGCCACGTGCAGCACATGCATGGGCTGGAGAAGCGCAAGGAAAAGTGTCTGGAGAGCATGCACATTCTAGTCGAAACGGCCGAGCTGCTGCGAAAAGACGGACATAAAATCGACGTTGTCACCACGGGCGGCACTGGCACCGCAGAGTTCTGCGCCAGTGTACCCGGTGTCACGGAGGTCCAGCCGGGCTCCTTTCTCTTCATGGACACCGACTACCGGAATGCTGTGGGATCGGAGGATTATGCGCAGAGCTTGACGATTCTGTCCACGGTCCTGAGCAAGCAGGGTCCGATTGTCGTTACTATTGATGCGGGGCTCAAGAGTTTGACGACGGATTCGGGGCTGTCCGAGTGCAAGACAAAGGGGTATGAGTACAGGGTTATGGGCGATGAGCACGGAAGCCTGAGGTGGGAGGAGGGCAAGGTGCCCGAGTTGAAGATAGGGGATAGGGTCGAAATGATGCCCAGCCATATTGACCCAACCGTCAACTTGCACGACGTGTATTATGCGCACCGCAAAGGTGTGATTGAGGAGATTTGGCCTGTAGACAGCCGGGGACGCGTGCAATAGTGTCGAATACTGATCTACAATCAGAACGTTGCTTTGAGATGACGAAACTTTTGAAATAACCGAACTTGTTAAACACCACTTCCCCATTCATACCCAGAAGCGCACCCAATAACTCAGACTATCACAAAATATCAATCAAGTTGTTCTTGAGATCCTTAACCGGTATGTCAGCAAGAGGATCCTTGCCATCGTATGCCGCCTCTGCTCGGTCAGATCTGGACATCTTTGTGATGTCATAATGTTCACCACCCATCACTGGCCAACGTCCCTTTTTGTATTTCTTGAAATTTCCAGTCCAATCCCAAACATCGGCTTTCTTTTTGGTTGCGCTTGTTTCACCCTCAACGTCATCCTCGTTCCTCTTCCTCTTGCCCTTGCCTTTGGCTTTGCCTTTGCCCTTGGCGGGTGTTGACGATTGAGATGCTTGTATGACCCCCGATCCTGTATTCTCCTCGGTGCTCTCCTGCGGTATTTCCTCATCATACTCATTCACTTTCTCCAGCTTTTCCAATCGCACTTTTGTAGTAGAAAGAGCTTTATCAGTGTCCAAGTTGCCTTTCTTGAAGTAGTTTACGACTTCTTTGCGTCCGCGGATACAGTCACCCTCGATACCATAATCGGGGAGGTCGTGCAACAGTTCAAGATAGTAACCAATGACGAGTGTCAGGTCCAGGAAACGTGAATCAGGCTTGAGTTCACCTGCATCCTCTATAGCTGCAAGGACTGTGAGCAGCGCGCAGACAAGAAGACCAATGAGCTCGCATGTGGTGTCGCCATCTTCGTTGTGGATGAGTACGTCCATGTAGTCTTCATTATTGAGCCACAGTCCTATGGCACTAATTATGACCCACATGTCTTCAATGCGCATGGGTCCTTTGGAACGGAATGCCTTGTCGAATGCGATCATCTGAAGACTTATTAGCTTGAAGCTAGGGCACGTATTCATGTTAGCAAAACACGTACCTCTCTTTCCAAGATTTCTTGCATCCCCCAGCCTCTCCAATCAGTGTACATGTTCATGTTGAAGTTGTCAGGGTTGCAGTACTCTGCTTTTCGACCAAGCAAATCCATTTTTAAATATGCATTCCACATAATCACCCATTTGTGCCCTGGATGATCACTAGGTGAGGCTTTGAAAAGATTCATCTTTACCACTTCTTCCAGGTAGGATTTGTAGCGTTTATTGAATGTCTTGTTAGAGACGTAGTCGGACGACTTGTTTTGCCGTGCCAACCAATTCTCGCCCTGGAAATCGAAGAAGTGGCGAGGGATGCAGATGTAGTCGTATGGCGCTGGATCTTCGCCCTCTTCCGAACTGGCTCCATCCTGCTCATTCGTGGCACTGCTGTTCTTGTTGGGCGGGGGCGCCGGGGCAGAGGCCGTGCTTGAGCTACTGGCCTTGGAACCCCGCGCCGTCTTTTGTTTCTTGGCAGAAGGCATCTTTGGTGACGGAATTGGAAAGGATGTGGTGTGAAATATCAGCGCGAAGCTAAGGTTGATGGGTTTCCCAACGCGCAGGTGCTGGTTAATGAATGCTGGATGAAGCTGAACAAGGGCGATGATCACGCCAGGTCATATGACACAGTTATGTTTCGTCATTGCCCCTGGACACGAAGGACGCGAGTCTACCACGAACGCACGTGCATGACGTCTTCGTAGCTTCGCGACGCGACTACAGACGTTCTTGATAGCCAAAAACAAAACACAGTCCTTGTCTGCCATTGCGGTTAACATCTCCGCATTGGCTTGGGACACATCTCGCAGTGCAGAAGGCTTCAAATCACTGCAACGCATGTTCGTAGTGACTAAACTAGCAAAAATGATGCTGCAACGTGCTGAGCCAGCAAAAATGTTGTCCCGTGCCAGACTCGAACTGGCGGCCTTGGGATTTCTGCTCTACGAGCAGTCATAGCATGGAGGATATGAGACCCACGTGATAACCAACTACACCAACGAGACTTTCAGAAATTTCTGATGACGCGAACATTCGTTCGCGTTGGTGGAACTTCGTTGGTGAATTTGAGATTGCGGGGTTTATAGAGCGTTGTTTGCAACATCTCCAGCCCCTCCGACCTCGGCCCGTAAGTATCTTACATGCTGCCAAAATTTTGGGCGTTGCGTCACGCCCAACAGTCACACTCCCAGCCACCAATGCTACAAATACACCCGTAGCTTTTCTTACCTTTTCTTTTTCTGTAGTTTACTTTGAAAATGGCTTCGCGAATTGCTTCCAAGAGGTTTTGTGCCGCATTGCGTGCGCCGCGCACCAGTTACACGCCCGCGCGATTTGCTTCCGCAGCATCTGGTGTCAAGGGCTCAAGTCTGCCGCAAGATGTACTTGACTCGATTGCTGTAAGTACATGCTGGATCTAAAGTGCAACTATCTCTAATCGTTGACCTCTTCAGCGCGATTCGACTCTACCAACACCCGATCCACCTGCTAGTTCGAAGACAGCAGGCCTCGTCAATCAGCAGCTACCGTACATGGTACCGACTTATGTTCGCCCGCCACCCATGTTTGAGAAGGGCGATGGCTGCTACATGTGGGATATTGAGAACAGGAGGTATCTCGATTTTACCTCTGGTATTGCCGTCAATGCTTTGGGACATTGCGACGCTGGCGTAGCGCAAGTCATTGCAGAACAGGTAAGACGCACAGCTCCTGTGAAGGTTTATAGTCAATTGACATGAAGACAGGCTAAACAACTGATACACACCTCAAACCTCTACCACAACCCGCATACCGGTCTTCTGTCGAAACAACTTATCCAGCTCACGCATGCGACCGGAGGCTTTGCCAGCGCAACCCGTACATTCATATGCAACAGTGGCTCTGAAGCGAACGAGGCTGCCATCAAGTTCGCGCGAAAGGTTGGCAAGTCCCTATCCCCTGACAAGGACAAGCACGAGTTTGTTTCGTTCCACAACTCGTTCCATGGCCGCACCATGGGAAGTCTGAGTGCAACACCGAATCCAAAATATCAAAAGCCTTTCTCGCCAATGGTCCCAGGATTCAGGTATGGAACCTTCAATGACGTTGCTGCCATCAATGAGTTGGTCACGGAGGCGACATGCGGTGTCATTATCGAACCCATCCAGGGAGAGGGAGGTGTGAACGTTGCGACACCCGAATTTCTCGTCGCGCTCCGAAAGCGCTGCACCGAAGTGCGTGCTGTTCTGATCTTCGATGAGATCCAGTGCGGTCTAGGACGAACGGGCACCTTCTGGGCACACGGCGGCTATCCCAAGGAGTGTCATCCTGATATCTTGACTACTGCCAAGGCACTCGGAAACGGCTTCCCCATCGGTGCAACCATTGTTAATGACTTTGTGTGCGACCACATCAAGACTGGTGACCACGGTACCACATTTGGCGGCAACCCTCTCGGCTCTCGTGTTGCTTCCTATATCCTGTCCCGCCTATCCTCACCAGAGATTCTCGACTCGATACCCGCTAAAGAGCAAGCATTCCGCAAGCACTTTGATGCTCTACGGGACCGCTTCCCAGACCACATCAAGGAAGTCCGAGGCAAAGGGTTGATTCTAGGTCTTCAACTCGATGCAGACCCGACGCCCATCGTTACAGCTGCCCGTGAACGAGGCCTACTGATCATCACTTGCGGCACCAATACGCTGAGATTTGTTCCGCCGCTTGTGATCACTGAAGCAGAGATTGAGGAGGGTATGCAAATCCTGAAGCAGGCAATGGAGAGTGTGTGGGTTGAAGGCGACAGCGTGAAGCCAACCCCGGGCCAGCAGGAAATGCGATAGATGATTAGCATTAGCACGGCGTACCGGCGTTTGGTATTGTATTAGTTGATAGAGGGATCAAAAGTGTTTCGTTAGCTACGTTATGTAGCTTTGTTCTCATACCTGACTTCACTTTGACGCCTCGGCAATCCGCGCTAAGTAACGCTTCTGGTTAGCGCGAACCCCCGAAACCGTGCACTCTGCAGTTGCCTGCAGCCTCTCCAGTGATAGTGACCATCACACTCCATTGCCACAATTACCTTTTCGACCCAGGATAATATATGACCCACCCTCACTCGTTACTGCTAATGATTGATCAGTATGGAGGACCCGTTAGTGGTTAAGAGGATTAACTCCTGGGGCGGGAATGCGAGCCCGATACAGGCAGCGACACAACACCCTGCAACTAGCGCACATGTAGATGGCCAGGACGAATCCGTATCTGTACCATCACATGCATCGACCAGATTGCCGACCCCGACCGGACAGTCTACACCAATCACTTCAGCATCATCACCAAAAGACTATCCTGTCGAAGGCACAGAAACCAAACTGCAAGACCTTGAGCGCTATATCGCTCTTGGCTGTCTTCACTTCCACCAGCCACTCGGAATTGTCCAAAATCCACGGCCAGATACCGAATGGGTCGAATTCCTGCATCACGAACTTCTAGAAGAAGACAAAACCATCATTGGCAACAGAGCTTCGAGATTGCTCGGGGCCCGCTGGATTCGGCTTTTTCTGCATAATCCTACGCACGATACTAGGGCTTCTCACACTATCGTCCGGGTGTACTTACTACCAGAAGATTGGGGCCGTCGATCCATTGACCGCAACAGCAAGAGTCTAAAAGGTGCATTGCGGCAACTCCTCAAGTCTGTTGATATATCATCAAACGCATGGTACGGCGATCCTAAACAAGATGAGATATGCTACTTTGACCCCTGGGCCGATGCCGAACCCTCTTCGCTATATTACTTGTTCAACAAATTGCCATCGCCCGCACCCACCCCGGAAGAGATCAAGAACAGATATACTAGAGTCGCAGTGAGCGACCTTCTAGAGTCTGCTGCCGCATCGGGTTGGGAAGAGTACGGTGAACAAGCGCTGCCAGGGCTACGAACCAGATTATACGCCTACCAGGCTCGTTCTGCCAGTATAATGCTACAACGTGAGGCTGCACCTCAGTTACAGCTCGATCCAAGACTCGAGGTTCGCATGGCTCCTGATGGCAAGAAGTTTTACTTTGGCGCTCGAGATGGGTCCTTTCTCCAAGAGCCTCGTTACTATGAATCAAATCGAGGAGGAATTTTAGCAGAAATCATGGGCTTGGGAAAGACTGTCATCTGCTTAGCAGTGATTCTGGCAAGTAAACATCATCTGCCCCAGATACCAGCAACCTATCGTCCGCCTCCTCCGGTCCGCAACCGGGTTGGAACGCTGGCGGATATGGCAGCCTCCATCCTGGGCCGGTATTCTGTACCTACTCGGGCCTTTTTGGAACAGTCTGAGGCAAACGGTGCTGGAGACATGACCAAGTTTAGGAACGCACTTGATCGAAACATGCCTTTCTACGAGATCCCACCTGAGCTCCCTAGAATGAACCGGAACACCAAGATGCCGATGCCGCGTCAACTCGTAATTTCATCAGCTACAATCATCGTTGTGCCGCGGAACCTTTTGCATCAATGGCAATCAGAGATCAGGAAACACGTAATTTGCGGTGGTCTAAAAGTGCTCGTTGTAGACACCGTACCCAAGCGTGGGAGCAAAGCCAAAAGTACGATGTATGATGACGATACAATGCAGTTCAACAGCGAACTGCCTGTTCCTACTGAGCTTATGAAGTTCGATGTGGTTCTGTTTACTCGGAACAGATTTGAGCAAGAGATTCAGGATGGACAGGACGACCAAGGACGACGCGCGGTCCGTGGTGCAACTCGCACGTGTAATTGCTCGTACATTGGAGCAACTCGGATACCCAACTGCAACTGTATCAACAGCAATAAACTCTACGAATCGCCACTCAAGAAGATCCACTGGCTGCGAATCATCATCGACGAAGGCCATTCCTTCTCTAGTTCTGTGTCGAACGCTGTGTTGGTCGCCAAACAGATACAAGCTGAGAGACGTTGGGTTGTATCGGGCAGTAAGTAATGCAAAGAACACTGATCGCACTCACTAATCTTTGCTACAGCACCTGCAAAAAACCTAGTCGGAGTGGAAGTCGACATGGCTACGATGGAATCCGAAAGTGACACAGCGCTACAGCGCGAATTCGCTATTGAGCAAAGGAAGTCATTCAACGTCGATCCTGAAAATCTCAAGGCCGCTAAGGCTTTGGGGATGCTAGCTTCAAACTTCCTCATGGTTCGACCCTGGTGTCCTAATTCCGAAGGAAAACTTGAGTGGGAAGAATACATTTATCGCCATGAGCATGAGTACCAGAAGACCTACTCTGGATTCTCCAAATGCTTCTTGCGGGTACTCGAGGGGTTGGTTGTGAAGACACGACCAGAAGATGTGGAGAGAGATATTGTTCTACCTCCCATGCGCCATCGCGTGGTGTTTCTCAAACCGTGCTGGTACGACAAGATGACGGCCAATCTCTTCATTCAGGTTCTACGAGCGAATGCGATCACCAGCGAACGAACTGACATCGATTACCTTTTCCACAAGAACAGCGTGAAGGAACGTCACGCTCTCATTCGAAATCTGCGTCAATCTAATTTTACGTGGACTGGATTCACTTTGGCCGACGTCATCTCGACGCTTGATACAAGCAGCAAGTATCTAACCAAGGGGGATAAACACTGCTCGCTTGAAGATGCACAGTCCCTGCTGGAAAGCAGTCAAGCCATTTCCAAGTTAGCAGCTTCAGAAGGGTGGAAAGCTCTAAGTAAAGCCCATGAAGTAGGTATGGCGATTGACAACTGGCCAAAAGAGTCACGAGATGCCTTTTCGCTTGTTTACCCGGCAAAACCGATAATGGCTGGCATCACGCAACTGATTGAAGGACAACTCCATGTCGATAGCAACATACTCTCAAAAGATCCTTCCGTCGGGCTCGATACTGTGGGACGTGCAGCAAAAGCCAAGGTTGCAGCCATGGCAGAAGCGGAGAGCAAGACGAGAAACAGCAGTGAGAGAACAGTTACCGACTCTCCTTTGAAGAAAGCCGGGGTACCATCGTCGCTGGTCGACGGTCAGCAGCCATTGACGAGTCGAAGAGCTTCTGCCATGACAAGCCAAAATTCTTCTCAGCAACTACCAGGACACAAGGCTCAGGAGGTTAGTGAAGAGCAAGCGGCCCCAACATCGCCAGTTCGTTCGAAGAAGCGCAAGCTCACTTTGGAGGAAGAGATGGCGGATTTGGCCGGAAACTCACCTCTTCAGGACGCTCGCATAGTGGGTACAACCTCAGCTAAGCTGAGCTACCTACTTGATAAGGTGATGCAACATCAGGCTACGGAAAAGATCATCATCTTCTACGACGGCGACAACGCAGCATTTTACATCGCACAATGCCTTGAGGTCTTGTATGTGAATCACCGGATCTACGCGAGGACGTTAAACAATACACTGCGGTCTGAATACGTACGATTGTTCAACGAAGACCCAGATGTACGTGTCCTGTTGATCGATGTTGCTTGTGGTGCTCTTGGGCTAAACTTGAATGCGGCGAGTGTCGTTCTTATCGTAAACCCAATCAACAGACCAAACATAGAAGCACAGGCAATCAAACGAGCACATCGAATAGGGCAGACAAAAGAGGTACTTGTCGAAACCTTGGTGCTTGAGAATACGATTGAGCATGCCATCTTCAACCGTGCGAAGAAGATGTCACGAGCCGATCACCAAGAAGCAAAAGAGCTGGAAGATGACGCGGGCATCACCGAGATTATTCAGAATGCACAGATACTGTCGGCTGGTGAAGATGAAGGAGAGGGATTATCTAGCTTTGCATTGCTGCAAACTCCCCAGAAGGTGTTTGGACGACCGAACCGACACAAGTATCACCGGTTTGGCGCCACGGAGCCTAAAGCTGGGCAGAAACCAGCAAAGAAAGCAAAGACGGCGAGAGATACGAAGAAAAACGGTACAATGAAGGACGAGGCTGTCTCATCATTGGAGACGGACTCGCTTCCAGTGCGAGGAACAGCTAACGAAGCAAACGCGGCCTCTTTGAATTCAACACCCAGTATTTTTGGTAGCGGCTAAGAGGTTTGCCTCAAAAAGTTTTGTTCTATTCTTTGAGTTCTGTTTGAGATGGGTTCCCGTTCCTGATCTGCACCGGAGCATATATCCATATGCTCATCATCTGACAGTTACCTCATTCGACCTAGTTTATACCCCTGTCTTGGCGTATAGCTACTTTCAGCAAGCTCTGGTTGGCGTTGGAGTCAGGTAAACCATAGTTTAATTATCCATTGTGCTTGTTACAGTTCGCTCCGCAGTTCCGGTATGTGCGCTTGTTTGACGACCAGGGTATTTAATATCGGTCGGCAAAAGCATCCACGCGTGACTCGACCTTAATCTATCTGCGATATTGCATGACAACAGTGACTGAAGGAGGGAATCCCAAGCGCCAAAAACGAACGAGTATTAAGAGCCCTTGGTCTTACCAACAAACCAGTGCTTTTCGCAATTGAAATTCTTTGTCACCACACCATGATGCTCACCATTTTCGCACCACTTTTGCTGCTCGCGCAGGGCACATTCGCAGCGCCTGTTGAGAATGCCGCCGCAGCAGCAACAGTAGGCAAGATTCGCGGCGTTCGCGACCCAATTTACCATCTCTACCTCCAAGCCAGTCCCAAGAACGGTAAGTAAGCAACCTTTGACCTCGACTCCCTTCATTGCTCCCTTGCTACTCCGCGTTGCCCCCCCATTCCCATATCCATTACTTAGATTCGGAATCACCTAAACTGACGAGTAATACCAGCATCCACGCCTGTCCTCGGTCCCGAGACCGCAGCTGATGAATTCACCATTGGCGGAACCATTCAATCCAAGAAAACAACTAAATACCTAAACATTGCGACGGCCTCGACGAGCTACAAGCCGCTTGTTTGGGGCGACAAGGGCGACACGACAGCATGGGGACTCGAGGGCGATACGATTATCACGGTGCAAGGGAGTAGCTATGGGCGACGTAAGTTGATACCATTCCATATCTTGTTTTACCAACCAATCAGGTTTTTCAGATGGAGAGCGAAGGGGTTTTTTTTTGGAAAGGATACAGTGCTAATGCGACTTAGAGCTGAATTTCCTTGTGTGCCAGGCGACAGATGCCGGGTACTATGATTTGTATTTGCAGACGGGAAGCGATGCGCCGAGTGGGAGGTCGTGCAGCAATTACCAGACTATCCATCTGCCGTGTTTGTGTTAGATGTGTCTTGTGTAATAGTAGTAAGGGATATGGAGGCAAGAGCTTATGGAGTCAAATGAAGGGATACATGTCGTTCGGGCGTTCGAGTTGGATATTTGGGATTGCTTGTTTGCATGTTGGACTCGCGTTGGCCAATCAGAATACCCTGATCTTATGCTGGTCAGCGTGCAGTGGTATGGCAAGATGTCTTTGAATCGTGGCTGTCGCAGTGTTAACGCTAAAAAGTATAGCGCGGGGGAAGTCGGGAGGATCCACCTTGATTAGTGACATCACCGCGGTCTGAAATCTGAAGAGCATGATCAATTGATGATTAATAGCGTACCTGAAGCGGGGATAAGGACATAAGCTTTGTGATCAATACACGACACCTGTTTTCCTTTCGTTTGCAATCCTCTACTTAGCCATTGAAGCGCACTGGAAACCATGTCTTACAGCAGAGTAGGAGTCGTCACGGGCGCCAACAAGGTACGCACTCTTTCAATGTTCTTAGCAAGAATGTACTGACTAGCCAGGGCATTGGACTAGCTATTGTCCGTCAGCTTGCGCTGCAATATCCCAAGTCGCCGCTCAACAACGGACCTTTCTTGATCTACCTGACTGCTCGCGACCAGGGCCGAGGAGAAGCAGCCGTCAAGGACCTCGAGCAAGATGCACAGCTCAAGCAAGCAAAGGCTCTGAAAGCCGATGGAGGGCTGGCGGAAATCAAGTTCCATTTGTTGGATATCACGAGCAGCGACAGCATCAAGGCGCTCGCGGGCCATCTGAAGCAGGATCACAGCGACGGTATTGATTTTGTCATTAACAACGCTGGTATCGCCATGGATGGCTTTGGTACGTTATCAGTCTTCTCATGCAGTATGGTGTTAATGGGTGCTGCACAGACGCAAACGTGGTGAAAACAACACTAAACTGCAACTACTACAAAACGCTAGAAGCATGCCACGAGTTTCTCCCGCTGCTCAAGCCCACCGGACGCCTTGTAAATGTTGCATCCAGGGCCGGTCTACTCAGTAAATACTCGGAGGAAGTGCGCAGCCGGTTCCTTGCGTCCAAGACGGAAGACGACGTTACGGCCATCATGAAGGACTTTGCTGCTGCCGTGGAAGCGGGCAAGGAGAAGGAGGCTGGGTTCCCTAGCGCCGCGTATGCTGTCAGCAAGGCGGGATTGATTGGTGGCACGAGGGCGTTTGCAAAGCAGGTCAAGGACAGTGGGAAAGAAGTCCTGGTTAATGCCTGTTGTCCTGGCTATGTCAACACAGACATGACAAAGGGGAATGGAACGAAGACGCCGGATCAGGGTGCGCAGACTCCTGTTATGCTGGCACTGAGAGACATTGAGGGCAAGACGGGGGCGTTTTGGTCAGAGGAGCAGGAGATTAGTTGGGGTTGATGGTATAAACATTCCTACAGCGCGTGATGGTGGTGAAAGGGATGCAGCTTTAGCTATTACGTTGTTCTAGCTGTTTCTGCGGGTACTTGATGAATAGTCAGCTAATAAAAAATAGAGATTCCTAAAATCTTGACATCTATCTACCTACTGGCTGCAGAGTTTTTGAGATATACTCAGCGTTGATTTCTTCTTGCCATCTTCGGCACTATGCAAATAACACGTGACGGATTTTGATATGCAGCTAAAACTGCAATCCGCCAAAATCAGAAGTGCATGAGCAACAAGAATTGCCGGAACTTTTCCTGGTCAGAACATCGGGCAGATTTCCAGAGAAAAGAAAGCGTCGCGAGTCATCCCAGCGCAACGATGCGGGGGAAGAGACGCCGGGCCGCTACTGACTGGATATTGTCCTCCGTCGCAGCACTACCGACCGCATTGGGCAATAGAGAATCCCACGCTAAACCATACACGATGCAAGTAAGCAGATATTCTTCTTCAAACATGCCGTCTGATCCAGCAATAAGAATGTCTGTTTGGTACATACAGTTGTTTTGACCTGCCGCCTTGCATCACCATCTGTTACACGTCGCATTCATCGATCGCTTGTCCTTGCGGATTTCTATTGCCTTGGATACCTGGACTTGAGGATGGGCAACCACGCGCTCATATACGGTGCCTCTGGAATCTCGGGGTGGGCGATTGTCAATGCCATACTCAGCGGCTACCCGTCCAAGGATGCCTTCTCCAGGGTCACAGCCATGGTCAACCGGCCCTTGACACGGGAAATGGCGCTCTGGCCTGATGACCCCAGACTGCAAATCGTATCTGGGGTTGATCTCCTCAAAGGCAGTCAAGAGGAGCTGGAAACGCAGATCAAAGAGAAGGTTAAAGATGTTGACACGGTGACTCAAGTGTACTTTTATTGTAAGTCATGTGTTTCTGCGAGGGGGCTCCATCTAACACAATCCAGCATACAAGCAGATAGATGATCCCGAGTCGGAATGCAAGACCAACGAAGGAATGCTGGAGCGCGCCGTCACTGCAATTGACCATTTGTCTTCAAACCTCTCATACGTAGTTCTTCCCACTGGCAGCAAGATCTATGGCTGCCAAATGCTGGACAAGTTTCCATTTGCAAATGACCTCCCGTTGAAGGAGACGTTACCGCCTATCCCCGAGCCATATCTCTCGCAGCTCTTTTACTACAACCAAATTGACTGTCTGAAGCGCATATCCAAAGGAAAGAAGTGGAGCTGGTGTGAAGTGCGGCCTGACAACATTATTGGATTTGTACCGAACAACAACGCCTATTGTCTTGCGCAGACGCTGGCTTTGTATCTTTCGCTGTACCGGTTCGTTGAAGGCTCCGGCGCCAAATGTCCGTTCCCTGGAAACGACAAGTCATGGGTAAACCTGTACAACGAGGCTCCGCAGGACATGGTAGCGCACTTTTCCATCCACGCGTCACTGCATCCCGACAAGACGGCATCGCAGAGCTTCAACGTCGGCGGCCAGGAAGACAGCTGGAGCGGGAAATGGCCGATTATCTGCGACTACTTTGGCCTCAAGGGAACGGGGCCTGAAGAGGGCTCGCCTCAGCCAGGGGCGTACATTGATGCACACAAGGACCGCTGGCAAGAACTGGAGAAGAAGCACGGCCTCAAGCAGGGAAGCATTGACAGCGACATTACGCATCCAGGGTTCCAGGTAGATATCCAATTTGTCCATGTGCGCAATGGAAAGCACGGCTAACGCGCGATAGTACTTCATCATGAGCATGTTTGATTTTGACCGGCAGATGAGCATGGAGGCGTCGCACAAAGTCGGGTATACAGAGGAGATTGGCACGACCGACACATGGACGATTGCATTCGACCGGATGAGAAAGGCGAGGGTTATACCGTAGTATATATACCATGGACAGCGATATTGCGATGGGCATGCGGGGGGGAATTGGGGTTGGCGTGGCATGTGGCGGCTCCACCTTTGCGCCTTGATAGGGAGCGAAGTTAGCGGGACCCTGCCCCGATCAGCGCCTTTGCCTACAACACCTGTCTTTCTCCATGATACACTCACTCTTGCTTGAATCTTGTCGCATCCAACAAACAAACATGAACACATACGCTTCGCACTCTTTGTCTCATTGTCCCTCTCCACGACGCTAATGCAGCTTCGTACGCTTAGAATAGCAGCACCCCTGTTTCTCGCTGGCGCTATGACATGCCCAATGGTCAAACAGTTCGACACCGCGTAGCCACGCGGCGTCGGCCAATATCTGCATGGACCAGTCGACACGACGCCTGATGATTTCTCGACATAATACACACCATCATGTTGCCAAGCGTGGGAGGTCCGCGACACAGGGCCGTCCTCAGGGGCGTCGCCGTGATTGCTGTTGCGTGTCTGCGTATGTCACCATTCGCCTCCTATTCCGGCTCTCTCCTTTGCGTCGCATGATACCTTCATGATGCCGTCTCGCAGGCAACAACGGAGTCGCGATTTTTCGCTGGGTATGTTGCTAACTAGCTTGCAGTGATTCCCATTTACCTGGGCTTGCTCCATAAAAAGCCACACATGGACCGTCGCATTCCGCTGCGCATACTCCCGCTCGGCGACTCGATAACATGGGGCTGGCACCCGGAAAGCCAGCAGAACGGTACCAACGGCTATCGCGCCCAGCTCCTGCGAAGCCTCGTGCTCAAGTGGTACCCCGTCGTCGACTTTGTCGGCACACAGCACTCGGGCCTCATGTTCGACAACGACAATGAGGGACACGTGGGCGCCGTGATTCGTGACATCAGGGGCAAGATGAAGGCTGGGCTGGAAATGCGCCCCAACATTGTCTTGGTGCATGCCGGCACGAGTGACTTGGAGCATGCGGATAGTGCCACGGCGAGCGAGGTGCCCGCGCAATTAGAAGGCCTTATAGACGATGTCTTGGAGACGTGTCCGGACGCCGTGGTGCTTGTTGCGAAGATTATTCAGGCGGCGAAGCCAGGCATGCATGACAAGATCAAAGCCTTCAACCGCGCAATACCGGCCATTGTGAGGAAGAAGATGGACAACGGGTTCAAGGTTAGGGCCGTCGACCTGAGCGTCGTGGGGACGAGCGATCTGAGTGACGGCTTGCATCCGTAAGTTGTCTGCGTTGAGGCGCCATGACGTGATGCTAATGATTGCAGATCGTATGCTGGGTATGCACGCATGGGCTCCATCTGGGCCGAAGCTGTCCATGCTGCCGGCTATGCAGGCCTGGTCACCGCGCCTGTTGATCCTAAGATCAGTAATGTTTAATTCATGTAGTTTTGCCGCCATTTCTGCATGTGTCGACAGGCCAGCCAGTTTCCAGAATGCTTCACCCGAGTCATGACAAGTACAAGGCAACTCTGCCTACGATGCACAAGTGCCTCATATGGAAGAGTAGGTACGGCGAGCGCGCGGCTTCCGACTGGCCCCGTCCGTGGAATGGCTATGCGGGGTTGCTATGCGGGGCCTACACCTTATCTACACTTGATCGCGCTAAAGCATTTCCAGCCTTGCCAATTCCTGATTACAACAACGCACATAACTAATCTTCACGCAGCAATATATAAACATGCACAAACTAATGCTTAGTCTATGTCGTGGTACATTGATATTGCATAGGCACTTGACGCGCTGATTACCAATGGTGATTAAGAGACGGGCTAGCCACGTCAATTCTGCTCTGCATACTTACAGGAAAGCTGAGCCGGATATGCTTTGGCGAGAGGCTGCCGTTCATATAGAGCGGGCGGCAGCTAGCTGATCGGCACCGCCTAGTCCTACAGCGTCACTAACTCGAAGTCATCAGGACGAGTATAGTATATTACTTGGACAAGTGATCCAACTTGTGGCCAGCCAAGGCCTGCCTTCTTCGACCTTTTGTTGTCAGTTGGTGTACATTGGCCTAAGCTTCACAATGGGTATCGTAGACGAAGATCACCTTCGCCAGGCCGCGATTTGGGCGCCAGTGGCTGTATGTCATCTTGCTCGTCTTGTCGAAAAGCCAATCAGCTGACAGACTGCAGTTCGTAGCATATATCGTCTTAAACCTAATTTACAACCTCACCCTTCATCCTCTGGCCAAGTATCCCGGACCCTTGCTCTGGCGCATCTCGCCCATTCCCTCCATCATATCTCTGCTGCGCGGCCGCATTGCCTTTGAGTACAAGCTGCACCATGACAAGTACGGTCCTGTCGTGCGTGTCATGCCCAACGAGCTGTCGTTCAACACGGCCAAGGCCTGGGACGACATCTACGGGCACCGCGTCGGGCTGCCCAACATGGATAAAGACCCCATTCACGTGGGCTCCGTCGAAGCCATACCTGGCGCGACCAATTTAACCATGGCACCGGATGCGCACCATGCGCGGCAGAGGAGAGCACTGGCTCATGCCTTTTCCAAACAGGCGCTGCTGGAGCAGGAACCAATTCTCAAGGACTATGTGCGCTTGTTTGTGGAGAAGCTGCGCGAACTGGCACACAAGGGGGAGCCTGCGAATATGGTATCTTGGTTCAATTTCTGCACCTTTGACATTATTGGGGATCTGAGCTTTGGCGAGCCGTTTGGATGCTTGAGGGAAGGTATGGCTTACGCGCCTCTTGCATTAATAGTATTTGTTGAGTGCTAACAGGACTCCAGGAGAAGGATCCGAGTCAGCAAACTGGGTAGTCCTCATCTACGAGGCCATCAAATCCGGAGCTATTGAGCAGGCTACGCGGCGGTTTGCGCCCCCAGGCTCCCTGACGCAACGGCTCCTCATGTGGTGTATCCCCAGCATAGTTCGCGAGCGGCGCTTCCGGCACCTGCGCAATTCGAGGGAGAAAACCGTCAGGAGGATGAATACCAAGACGGAGCATCGCGACTTCATCTGGTATATCCTCAAGCAGCGGGAAAAGAAGAACGAAGTCAGCGACGACGAAGTCATCATGAACGCCGCCCTGTTCATCGTCGCAGGCAGTGAGACCACAGCCACGGAGCTATGTGGCCTGACAAACTACCTGCTGCGCAACCCGGAGATTCTCGCCAAGCTCAAAGACGAAATCCGCGGCGCCTGCAAGACGGAAGCCGATATCAACATGGATGTCCTGGCCAACCTGCCGTACATGAATGCCTGCATCGAAGAAGGCCTCCGCATCTTCCCTCCAGTCCCCGTCGGCCTCCTCCGCACCGTGCCCACCGGCGGCTCGACCATCGACGGCCACCTCGTCCCCGCAAACACATCCGTGTGCGTTTCATCCTGGGGCGCCTCGCACTCAGCCTCGAACTTTGCAGACCCAGACACATTTATCCCGGAGCGCTTCCTCGACACCCCCGAGTCCAGCGCGCGGTTCGGCAGCGACGTCAAGAAGGCCGCACAGCCGTTTTCCCTCGGCCCCAGGGGCTGCATCGGCCGGAACCTGACGTATGTGGAGCTCCGCCTCATTCTCGCTGCCTTTCTTTGGAACTTTGATATCGAGTTTGCCGAGCCGGGGGGCGCCAAGCTGTGGGATCCAAGCGGCGAGTTCGCGGGGCTCAAGGCGTATAATACGTGGGAGAAGAGCCCGTTGATGGTCAGACTGAGGGATGTCAGGATGACGGGTGCTTGAATGTTGTTTTGTATGTATTTGATTGATTTCGGTTTTTTATGACATGGAGTTGTCAAAACACCTTTCTTCTGAAGCCGCCAGCGCCTGGTATCATTTGAATTCCAGGGAGATGGATGGGCTGGTTATGAGAATCGCAAAAGGCAATCTGTGTATCTGTTTCGTTGTTTCTTAAGGGAAAAAGGATGTGGACATGAGCACTGGGGCAGCTTGACATAGGCTGCACGTGATTTCGCGACGACGCGACGCGGGGCTCTCTGCAGCTCCTTCCGAGTCTTGTACGTCATCGGACTTGCACCTTGGTTGCTGCCTGCAAAAAAAAACATCAACAAGCACAACCTCATCCATGTACACGTCTCATATTTCTCTCTACGCAAAACGCTCAGCAACCGCATTCACCCTCCCATTCCGTCGCCCATCTCACTCGCCCCTCACCTTACCCCGCAGCAGCAGCCATCAGCTCCGCGCCTTGCGCCCCGCGCCCCGCCTCCACGCCGCATACAACATGCCTTCGGAAGCGCAGATCGTCAAAGTGGAAGAACTCCCCGCCAGCTCGGCGAAATGGATCTCATTCCAAAAGATCTCGTGGCACGACCAGACGGGCAAGCCGCGCGTGTGGGAAGCCGCTGCGCGCAAGACACGCGGCAAAGCCGGCGTCGACGCCGTGGCCATTTCAGCTATCATCCGGCATCCCGCGCGCCCGCCTGCCACCATCATCATCCTGCAGTACCGGCCGCCCGCAGCCGCTGTCTGCGTCGAGCTTCCCGCGGGTCTCGTCGACGAGTCTGAATCTCCCTCTGACGCCAGCCTGCGCGAGTTGCATGAGGAAACGGGGTATAAGGGCCAGTTGAAATTTATCAGTCCGACAATTGTATCGGATCCTGGGATGACGACGGCGAATATGCAGCTTGCGGTTGTCGAGGTCGAGTTGAAGGAGGGCGACGAGGAACCGCAGCAGGCGCTGGATGATGGCGAGTTTATCGAGAGGGTCGTTGTGCCGCTCGATGAACTGTATGAGCGGTTGCTCAAGTATGCGGACGAGGGAAAGTCGGTGGATGCGAGGTTGTGGCATTGGGCGGCAGGGTGGCATGCGGCTAAGACGATGGTGTGAGAGTGGATGGTTTGTATCGGGTCGAGTATGTCTGTGATGATTGGGTGTAGAGTTTTATTCTGGGATGGGTTTCTGAGTACATAGTTCAATGGCTTTCGACATCTCCTCGTTGTCACTGCATTGCTCTTCGGATCTTCCATTCAGTGTTACGTCTTACAGTTGTGACTTGAAGTATTGCTCTTGCACTCCTCCCTTGTTTCTATTGCTCACCAAGAAGCAACAACCATATCACATACACGGGTATCGCAAGGTTCGGATTAGCACACTGGAATATGCAATGCATGAGAAGATTATGAATTAGATATATAGAGAATCTACGATATAGATATCCGCTCATGTCCCGCCGCCGACCTCAACCAAGATCTTAACCTGGTTATCCTTGTCGTTGATCAGGCTCTTGAAGCCCTTTTCCTCGACCTCTGTCAGCGCGATTTTCTGGGTAATCATATCCTTTGGATCCATGTCGCCCCTGCTCAGCGCATCAATCACCTCCTGGAAGTCGCCGACGGCATACGTGGCGATGCCCATGTAGCTTCGCTCCTTGAAGTTGAAGTCGTTGGTCTGGATGGTGCATGGTTTCTCCCAGATGGCAATGTTGACGATGCAGCCGCGGGGCCGGGTCGCGTGCACGGCTTGGTTGAGCGCGGCCTGGACGCCCGCACAGTCGTAGACGACGTGGACGCCTTTGCCGCCTGTGAGTTCGCGGCAGCGCTTGGGCAGGTCCTCGTGTGTGGGGTTGATGATGTAGTGTGCGCCGAATTTCCGGCCGAACTCCTGTCTCTTCTTGCTGACTTCGGAGACGATGATCTTGTCACAGCCGTTTGCTTTCAGGGCGAGGATGGTGGCGATGCCAATGGGGCCGCCGCCGAGGACGAGGGCGGCATCGCCCTTTTTGAACGGACTGACCTTGACGGCGTGCCAGCCAACCGCAAGAGGTTCGACAAGAGCACCGATTTCAAGTGGCACGTTGTCTGGGAGGCGGTACAGAGTCGAGGTTGGGACGACGATGTGCTCTGCTAGTCCACCGCCCCAGCCGGACAGACCGATGAAACCGTTAGACCAGCAGCAGTTTTGTAGTCCGTCTTCACATGCTCCGCACGTGTCGTCGTAGATGATGGGCTGGATCGCGACTCGATCGCCCGGCTTGTAGTCTGTTACGCCCTCGCCAACCTCTTCGACGGTTCCACTGAACTCGTGCCCAAAGGTAAGTGGGACTGTTTCGCCGGTGATTGGATGGGGCGTGGTCGGGCAGAGGTTTGGTCCACCTAGGTACTCAGCTGAGGGCCGCATATTCGGCATTACACGTACCTACCTAGATACTCGTGAAGGTATAAAGCTACGTCAGCCTCGTGGATCTTCTCTCAGCACCGCTGCACATACCAGATCCGCAGATTCCAACCCATGCGGGCTTCACTTTGACTTGTCCTGGCTTCACTGGAGGTATCGGGATCCTCTCGTATCGCAGGTCATTCTGACCGTGGAATCGCAGCGCATTCATGGTTCCCTCTGCCGATGCCATGGTCGATCAATTCTCTCGTAGCTATTCGTGCGGCTTGGAGGTTTGGAGTAAAGAAGTACGGTTTAGAAAGAGCTGGAGTAAAAGATAGACGACGAGACGAGCCGAACATGGCGTCCCGGGCCCCAATCGAAGCAAGCCATGCTCAAAGTTTCGCGTCCGTATGCCCGATATCCGGCAGTTTCTGGCATCCCGCGCTGTTGGAATGGGCAAAATGACCGTTTGCCACGGGCTCAGTATCACGGCATACCCGATTCGGCAAGCCTGAAGTCCATCACCCCGCATTCAGGGTGCGGGGTAGCATGGACCGTCGAAGCTGGGGCGGTCCTGAGAGGTGGCAGTTTCTCCGAATGAGATGAACATGGCGAGAAAGATGGAATAATGTCTAGTTGCGAGCGCGTCTGGGCTGATGCAGGATACGATTCGAGCTTGTGTTGCTTGCGCTGGGTAGCTGTGTGCTAGCGAACTTTTGTTTAGATGCAGCGAACCGCACAGCGGCCAAGGGCGGATCGCAAAAGCAGGCGATTGAGACTCTTGTGATATTGACTCGATTGCGGTATGTCAAGGCGCAAACACCAAAGAGCAGGCGAAAGAAAAGGACGGTGGTTGCAAGGCCAAGAATGACGTCGGCGATGCTCGGCAGTCGGAACAAGTCCGTGTCGGCCACAGGACCGATCGGAACGAGCTCGGAAAGACAATGTGGTGGTGTTGATGTGTCCATCCATCCCTCCACCTCTCTGGCCTGGCTACCCCCACGTCATGCGACCCTCTTACGGCGAAATTTTAAACAAACAAGATGAGAGCAAGACGCGCTTGGAGCTGACGTGCAGCACGACTGGCTTCACTGCGCTCCGGCAAGGCCGGCATGAGCCCACAGGTAGCGCGACCTAGACGCGGCGACGCGGGAGACTGTGGGTGTCTGGTCTTCGATGCTGCTGGCAAAACTGCGATGGAAAGGATCGAGGCAATATCATTGACGCGTCGGTGACGTTCGCAGAAAAGGGACCTGGAACTACACGAGATATCGATGCCAGACTTGTACCGCGGCCCAATCAGACTGCCCTACTCGACTCCACGGCGGGGACCGTCTAGATCCCATCCTCCACTGTATGATATCACTGGCCAGCGACAATGGGCCCGCTCGACAGCTGGCGATAGATTTTCCGGCGCTTCAAAAGCGTGCCGTTGCCGCTGACCACCAACGCTTCTGCTGGATATTTCCCTTCACCTTTTTTTTCCTCACATACCTGATACCCCCAATTCCAACATGCCTTACCCAGACACCACTGACGCTTTTGCCGTCACCGACATCAAGAACTGGAGCAACTTCACGCGCCAGGAGGTGAGTAGTCGTGGTCGCGCCGATTTTCCCACCAATGGTAGTGCTGACAGGCTGGTAGCTGCCCCTCAAGAAATTTGAGGAACACGATGTCGACATTGCCATTGACGCCTGTGGTGTTTGCGCTTCAGATATCCACACCATCACTGGCGGATGGGGAGACTCAATTCCCCTTCCCCTCTGCGTAGGCCACGAGGTCATTGGCAAGGTCATCAGGGTCGGATCAAAGGTCACCAAGGTCAAGGTTGGCGACCGTGCCGGTGTTGGTGCACAGATTGGCGCCGACCTTACCTGCGGGCAATGCAAGACGGACCAGGAAAACTACTGCCCCAACTCAGTCGACACATATGGTGCTAAGCACACTGATGGTACCGTCGCTCAGGGTGGCTATTCCAGCCATATCCGTGGCCACGAGTACTTTGTCTTCAAGATCCCAGACAACATTGAGACGTCGCTCGCCGCGCCCATGCTGTGTGCTGGTCTCACTACATACTCGCCCTTGAAGAGGCTGGGAGCTGGCCCTGGCAAGAAGATCGGTATCATTGGACTGTGAGTTTGCCCGTGTCCCAGTGTTACCTCTTGCGGCACTAATACAATCGCAGTGGAGGCCTCGGCCACTTTGGTGTCCTCTGGTCGGTTGCCATGGGCGCTGAGACATATGTCATCTCGCACTCGCCGAGAAAGAAGGAGGATGCTTTGGCCATGGGTGCCAAGGACTTCATTGTCACCAACGAGAAGGGCTGGTCAGAGCCATGGAAGTTCCACTTCGACTTCGTCATCAACACTGCCGATGCCACGGACAAGTTCGACCTCGCCGAGTACTTCTCCATCCTCAAGGTCAACGGCACCTTCCACATGGTCGGCTTCCCCGACAACCCGCTCCCCTCGATACGTGCCCAGATGTTTGCGCCCAACGGCTGCTACATTGGCGCCTCGCACATTGGCAACAGGCCCGAGATGGAGGAGATGTTCGAGCTTGCCTCCAAGCAGAACATCAAGAGCTGGGTACAAGAAATCCAGATTGGCGAGGAGGGCTGCAAGGAGGCCGTGGAGCGCGTGTACAAGAACGACAACGTCAGGTACAGGCTGACTCTGACTGGCTACGACAAGGTCTTTGGCAAGAGAGCTTAAGAGCTGCCAGCGTGGTGTGATATACCCTAGTTGTTGCTGCTGGATGAATGAATGAATAAATGAATGAAACGAATAAAATCAAACCTTGTTGATAGGTGAATTTGCCTGGCGGCCATGCTGTCCTGTGTTTGGTGTCTACCTACTGGCTGTTGCCCCGCCATGCAGCTGCGCCGCCCCACCAAAGCTCCAGCGCGTCGCGTCCAAGATTCCTGCCTCACTCTTCATCCAGCAATGCCCGTTCCATGAACACGCCACAATGCCATCAATACCCATCCACATGCCATCTCGCTCACCCAGCGCGCCGCCCACCGAGAATCCTCTTCCGCCGCTGCTCCACACGCCTTCCGGCCTTGCCCTCGTCGAGATCCAAGGCACTGTCCACTTCCCCACGCCCACAGCTTCCGGCCCGCCCTCAACCCAGATCGGCAAGCTCGTCTTCCCACACTACAACCCGGACACCAACGACCCCAGCGACACCAAATGGATGAAGCGCGTGTACCTGTATGTAGGTAAAGGGCAACGCATGACGGGCGAGTGCAAGAAGCTGGTGAATCCCATTGCGGTTATACGCAAGAAGGAGAGTAAAGATGATGGCGACGTGGAGATGGGGGGTGTGGATGGCGCTGGCGAGGGCGACACGGGCAAGGAGGAGGAGCTGGAGATTGTCGAGGTGGTGAGGTATAGGATTGTCTTTTCTGCGAGGCCCGAGCCGATTAGTGGCGTTCCCGAGGAGTCGTGATGTGTGGCGCTATAGACGCCGCCAAATCCTCACATGGCAGCTTGACAAGCAATCCCCGAACATCGACGCCGGAAAAACATGCCTATATCCCTTCAATGCTACCACGAACTTGCGACAATGGTAGCTGCCGTACCCGCGCACCCGGTTGCTCGACCCTCAGCCGTCTCCCAAAGCGATTGGCAGGTTGCGGACCTGAGCTACCCAAGTATATTGTACCAGGGTTTTGAGGCTCGCTTGCATCCACATTGCATTACTCGCTACCGCCAATACGAACACCAGCCAGTAGAGGTCGAGTGTTTTAATCAAGCAATTTAAGACTGCACAAGCATATTGCTGCACCACTCGAGTCTCGGCTCCAGCCTTGTCTGGAAGGCGCTGGGGGCACTTTATCCACTTTACGCGGCGGCCACGGTCCGACATATATTTGGCATGAACACTCTCAGTTAGCCTCACCTGGTCATTTCCCACGAGCCATGTGCGAGCTGAATTTATATAAATATCATGACGGATTGTTTGAGTCTGTTTCCAGGGTCCCAGGAGAAGCGCGTTTTGCATTTTTCTAGCCAACCATTGTCCCATCGCCATCGATCCTAGGATGTATTACTCAACAACTGCTTTGCTAGCCTTGCTAGCTGGTACTGCGTCTGCTGCTGTTGGTGACTGGCAGCAATGTACGTTTGTAAATTGGTAGTGATGCGTACACTGACTAACTTTGACAGGTGGTGGCGTGAGCTGGTCTGGTGAGACAACATGCAAATCCGGTTCTGGATGTGTCAAAATCAAGTACGGTGTCTTTAGTAAATCTTCACAAGCCAGTTCTGATGGAGATTAGTGACTACTACTCCCAATGCCAGCCTGGAGCAGCTCCTGCACCACAGCCTACTCCATCTACTTCATCTACGCCGTCTACTCCGTCTACTCCATCTACCCTGTCTACCTCGACTACCCCAAGTGCGCCAACCACCAGCAGTGTACCAGCAGGTAGCGGACCGGGAAAGACACTACAACCCGGCTACTACTGGATACGCGCCGTCGCAGCACCCAATTTCCACAAGTACATTCAGACAAAGCCACTTTACTCGACCGGCCCGGCACTTTTGGGCGACTACACAACAGCGGGTCAGCTCCAAGTCGTTGATGGCCAACTGGTACAACTCGTTTCTGCCCCTGGAGAACCTGTCAAACTTCTATATGCCAATGTTTCCGAGGAGCGCTCCATCAACAACATGTCTCTCGCCGTAAGCTTCTCCGAGACCAAGAACACATACGGCACATTTGCATGGGGTGGCGATGACCTTCAATGGAGCGTTGCGGGCGTGAACCGGCCAAACAAGAGTGCCTGGTATGTGTGCACAGGACAGAAGCTGTACATCAACTTGGGCAACTACTTGTATCAGACGCCCAGTGGCTGTGCAGATCAGACTATCCATTACTACAATGACAAGACGGCGAATGACTAGGTTGAGGTATGTTGTAGGTAGCTGGATATAGAATGAGTTGTCTTGATTAAATAATTGGATCGCTTTCAGATACTTCATCAATCACCCATGCCTAAGAGAACAAGATACAGGGACGCCCTTTGATTTCTCCTATCAAGTAGATCCTACATATCCCAGCAACAAAAGTTTCAAAGAAAAACCACTACTACCACGTGTTGAACCAGCAGCCCAGCAGTTTCATTTTTGCTCCTCTTGACTGGGACACACGACTGTATTTCCACGCCACGCCACGCCCGCCTTGTAACATGCATGCATGCATGCATGCAAGCATACTCCGCTACAAAAGTCCACGGCCCGCCCGAAAAAGAAAAAAGAAGGGGATAATAGAAGAAGCAGAGGAACGCGAGGAAACCCTCTTTTTAACAAGTAATCTGAAAGGAATTCGTAGGTCCCTTTCTCTCACACACACTTCCATTCTCCCTGTGCACTTCGGGTGTCCCCGTGCAATCCGATGCGAGATAGAGATTCACTATATATATATATATATCACATCCATAACATTAGCTTCTTTTTTTTTCCACCCACATAGCTTGTTTCTTTGCAAACTCCTTTTACATCGGTATTCTCTTCAAGCGGTGGAGAGAGAAAGAAAGAAAGAAGAAAAACTACTCACCCTGGCACGTCGGCGCCGTCGCATCAAACGTCCGGATATACGTGCTTCCGCTCCACATGGGCACGCACAGGTTCTCGGGTAACTGGCTCCGCGTGTTGACGGAGCAGAAGGTGCCCGGTGTGGGCGCGCAGTCGGTGCAGTTCCATGTTGTGAAGGAGATGGTTGCTGAGGCGGTGGTGGCGAGGAGGAGGGTGAGAGGGGCGAAGGTGTGCATGGTTTGGTTTTGGATTTGGATTTGGATTTGGATTTACTGGGGTTTCTTCAATATGGGGGATTGGTGTTTTTGCGGATTGCTGTTGTTGTTGGTGTGGGTGTATGTGTGCCAGGTAAGTAGAGTTCATACAGGCCTTTTTTATATATCGCCATAACCTCTCCTAGGCAACCAACCAACATGACTACCAAGAAATAAAAAAACCCCCTCCAAAAGAAGCTTTATGTAATGCCAATGATGACGATGATGGCTGTAAGATGTTTATTCCCACTCCATCTTCGATGTCATCATACGCTTGTTGCTGTCGTTGTTGTTGTTGTCTTGGTTTTCGTATGCTGATTTCTGCACTGCCACTTGAGTGTGTTGTTGGGCTTACTTACTTGCCCAATTACCTTACTTACATGGTCCAGAGAGACCTTGAGGGTGGCATCTGTACACTGTGTCAATGGCCCAATGTTTTCGTCATGTGTTTGCTTAGTACGCGAGGGATCTTGCTAGATGTGGCTTCCGGTCAGGTGCGCGGCTAATCGGCTTTGGGATGGGGGGTCTCGTCAGGGCGAAGCGAAAAGGAGAGGATCCTGCGACGGTCGGGTGATGGTGTGGGGGGAATTGTGAACGTAATGCGAATGTTGGTGTGGACTGGAGTTTTGGGGGCCATGGTCGGAAAACTCGGTGTGAATGGTAGTTGGGATGCTGCGAGTGCTTTTTTTCTTCCTCCTTTGCTTAGCACGTTGCTGCTCCGGTCGTATTATTCTGTCTATATTGTTTTTTTGGATAATGGAGGGTGAAGATGTTTGATTTGTGGATTAGAATTGACACAGCAAAGCAGTTCAGTTTCCACGCGAATGATCACTTAAGGCATCAGCAATGGCAATCAGAATACATTTGGATGGCAGGAATTCTTTGTTCTTGGCACTCTTCATACATAAGATGACGCACGTAAATACCCAGATCACGTTGACTAGGCAGGTCTAGAGTGACTACGTCTGCTGCCATCATGGAAAACTCCAGACACTTTCATGTCCATAAAACCTGCTTTCCTGCTTACGAAACGCTCTTAAGACGTTTACGTACTATCCAGAACCCACGTGTTGGTTTTTCTCGGTCATGTTGGTGCACATTTACCTCTTTCAGTATACAACTCGGGGGCGGTGAACTGGTTGCAATTCCAACATCCTACCTTGGCAAAATCGTCCTTAATTGGCCCAACGCGAGTTCAATTGTCTGGGGTAGGTCCCGTGTCTCGGAAGGAATGATGTGAGATTGGAGTTACGCGTATGCTGTTCGCTAGAATGCTTGGGCACTCCAATTATAGTCCAAATCCATTCCATTGGTCACCATTGGACTTTTCCGCCACCCAACGTCAGCATCTAGAACACGCTGTACGTATATCTACAGCCACTTTCGCACGGACTGTTGGAATAGCTGCATCCGAATGGAAATATCAGGACAGATTTCTTACATGACTGACCTATCAAAAGAAAATTGATTTTAATTAATCCACTTCAGTCACTTATTGTACGCCGTTAAGCCGCAATTGCTGTTATTTTCAAGGTGGCTATAGAAGGACACAGGTTTTCAAGCAAGAAAGTAGTGAGAGTGGCCCAGAAGAGCTCACAAGCATAGCCAAGGCTTGGTTTTACGTACTCAAGGCAACATGGCATTGCCTTTGATTGGGCAAATGTAGCAAGTACGGTTGAAGATCTCTTAGCAGTCAGCTCCTGAGCCAAGCTTCCGGCAATGTCGGATACTGGGTGATGAAACTAGATAAGGGCGAGCTGGACCTCGAATGAAAATATGCATTGAGTCTTCAGAATTGACAGAAAGGCTGTGTAGTGTGCCCATGTGACTGAATAGACCGCCTGTATACAGGTACTCGATATTTGTAGATGCGGTAAGTGGGTCAGACTGGCATGGATTGCTAGCTCAAGGGACACAGGTCATTGTAACCTGCAAACCACTAATTCAGAACTTTCACAATAAAGCAGACCTGAGCGATAAAGATGCAATGCAGACGATTCAGTATTGTAGGCTGCATATAAGAACTATGTTAGTGCAGAGAGCTAATGATGTCATAAGACGGGGTCGTTGGCAGGATCGTTTAAGCAGGGCTGGGTCCGTCTTACTAGCAGCAAGGACTCTACGACATGGGTTAGCATTCTTCAGTTTGAGATCTTCATTCAAGTCTCTACTTGCATCACATGGTAATTTGCACTTTGCTGGACATTGACAATTTAACAAAAAGCCGGCTTGTTTTCTGTTATCCATCCTAATTCACCACTTTCGCAACATAGGCCATCTAATGTCAATTGCCTACTAGACGACCTAGCTGCACGTTGATTGAATAAATCAAGCTTGGCAGCGCTATATAATTCCATCCTTTTGCTACTTTCTAGAAACAGCGCACCAGATATACTTACTCACATATTCATCTAATAACCTAGGTTCTCGGCTTCCGCGACTTCTTCTTCTTTGGTTCACAAGTGTAATCTGCAGCCTTACTTAGCTGCAGGAAAATTTAATATATATTCATGTTTTCTAAACAGCTACCCCGACTTTCTCAATTTAATAGATAAAATGCACTAAGTTGGACTTGAAGATTCCAGTAATAGAAATCAGACCGTATACTCATGGATTAGTACATCTCTTTCCTTTTGCTACCACAATCATAGACTAGTCATCGCTCTGGCCGTTATAATCATCATAGCAGCTGTCGTTATCGTTTTGGTCGTCTGAATAAAAAGGGAGAGACTCTGTCAGCAGCACGATGTCTAAGCGATAGTGTTAGCATTCCCGAGGTTGCAATATTTTGTTCGCATCTCAACTTACATCACACGAGTCGCAGTTAGGGCAGGTGCAATGTCCATCGAATCCAGCAGCGCAGCATGGCGGAAGGAGGTCGCGCCCGAGAAGACCATCCTCAACGAATTCAATAGTGCCGTCTGGACTGCGAACTCTGAGGGCGAGAGAGGTGGCACAGAGTGCAAAGAGGATAGCGGTGACCTTCATGGTAGCTTTATGGCAGGTATTGAAGCAAGATTGATGAGCTGTTTGGATTGAGAAGGGCTGTGTCTTTGAATCAAGGATGGAGAGCGAATACCAGCTCAATTTATAGATCTAGATCGCACCTGCATGTATAATAAGAGTCATATTCAGAGTCCAAGCTTCTGACCATTAATGCGCTAGATATCGTACTTCCTTGTAGCAATCCTCCTTAGCTTAGTTTAGCGGGCAGCTAAGCTTCGTATTGCCTTGAAAACCCCACCTATCAGTAAAGCTTGAGGTCACACCGCTTAATACACGGAAGACGGCCCTAGACTTGATAGAGCAAAAAGATCAAGCGCTATAATATGCTATTCCCATCTCCATGGCTACGATGTGTGCTATAGACCCAGGTCCAGTCAAAAGCCTGATGCTGAAAGTTGAAATCATTTGAGCTGCCTTGGAAATGCTACTCCAGCTTCTGGATTCGCTGGCTATGCCTCTATCCCATTCAAGTTGAGCTCGCCATGTGGAAAATGATGGGTGTATAGTCTTTCAGTCGAGCTGCCGAAGAATAGCAAACGTACCAAAAGCAGCAGTTCATAAGACTTGAACCAGGGAATCTGTATCTACGTGCATGTCCTTTTGGCAACTTGGATATTGAAAAGGCAAGCCGGAAGTAGCCACGAGCGCAACGAAGATAAAGAGAAGTTTATCTCTTCCAAGCCATGCACATCTATGATCCAACCAGTAGACCTACAAAACGCAGAGCTCTGAGATCCTCACGGCATCACCAAATCACCCAAAACGAAGAAAGCAAGACATAGTTTAAAAAGAAGATTCTATGAATTCTAAAAGTAAGTCGCAACGGCCTCTACCTCGCCATGTGTTGAACACGACAAAAGTACCCACAAACCACGCAGCCCGCTACGAAAACCACTCCCAGAACACACAGAACCCATCAGTTCAAAGAATAATATAATATGTAACGACCGTTTTCCCACCATCTCCAATCACATCGTTCTTGCAATTCCTATGCTGTTGCCAGCGCGCCCCCTCTTCGTCTACTTCACCCATTTGGCTATTGCCATTTGTCTTTCTCTATCAGAGCGATAGATAAAGGGGAATGGTTAGGTGCTTAAGAGCAAATAGCCTTGAAGGAGAACTTGGTGGAGACGTCCAGGCAGGCGCTGGGCGCAGACGTGATGATATCGGTTGGGGTACCCGTGCAGTCGGAGGAAGTGAAGAACTGGACTGTTTCATACAAAGAAATCTTTAGTCAGAAAATTTGTTCTGCTACTATTCGTCTTTTTTGTTTTCCTTTTCTTCGAACTCTTCGATGAGCCAGCCAGCTAGTCGGCCAGTCGGCTGGCGCCAAGGGAAGGCGAGAATAGGGGGGGAGAATGATGATGATGATGATGATGATGACAAGAATAAAAAGGGGGGCGAAAACTCACGCTGACAGTTCGCACGGTTCTTCTCGAGGAAGAAAACGCGAGCGCTCTGCTGAGGCAGAAACTTGCAGTCATTGCTGTTGATGTTCTGCTGCTGCGACGCCGGGGGCGAGCAGTTGGTGTTGGAGTACGTCTCGACTGCCAACGCAAAAGAGAATCAGATGTCAGTCCCAGAAATCCTTTTTGCTTTTACCTATTCAACTGAAGAGGGGAGGCATATGGACGCAAACATACACGAAGCAACGTTCTCGAGCTGGATCTGCGCAGCAGCAGAGGAAGCCATGAGGGCGAGGGCAGCGACGGCGGCGGAGAATTGCATTTTGAAAGATTTTGGAAGTTGGCGAGGGAAGAAAGAGTCTCGTGTATGGATAGTAGTGATTGTAGCTGAAGAATTGATTGAAGAACTCTGTGGTTGATTCCATTGCTGTCTCCAGCAACCCCCCTTTTATACATCTCATCTCTCGAATGTTTGGTCGTACAATGCCCCCCCTCGCTTGTGTATGCCTCCAGAGCAGTTCTCCGGTCAAAAACTACCGTGGCGTGATGCAGTGTGCGTGTGTGTAGAATACGAAGCTGAGTTCTCGTCACATCCTATGGGAACGAATCGGTTCGGCGGATCACACTCAACAACACCAATGCCTCACTGCAGGATAGCAGTCACATAGGCGCAGGGGCCGTTGGGAATGGGGGTTTCTCCGCGCACCTGACGCCGTGGCTTTGACGTTGTAAGCGAACTTTTTGCCAATTCGAGCAACTGAAGAGCGAGTGTGATGGGTGCTGGTCTAAGATTACGACTACCTGTAAACGTAGACGAATACGAGAGTGGGTGGGATTGGATGTGAAGAAAAAGGAGAGTTGCCAGGCCACCACAGTAGGCTTTGTCCCGCAGGTGGAAGTTGCCTTGTGAGGAAAATGTGAAGATGTTGTGGCTGAGAGGCGTCGCCGGTAAGCCAGGTCCTCCGTGGCGATGACGGCGTTCCAACATCTATAGCAAGGGAGGTAAGTATGAATGTGATGTGAAAAATTCTTTTCTGGTTGCTTATCCCACCACGGCCAGTGGCATCGTGATCTCGTCAACATTAGTTGTCTCACTATAATGCATGGACATAGTCGAGACTTACCAGCAATGTCACAAACTGAGAGAATGCCCGTTTTGGACATCGAAACATGAGCATGCAGTCTCTATATGGGGCTGACTAGCGACGGCGGATGCGGATGCAGTGCCATGTGGCCTAGTAAGACACATGGGGCATAGACATCGTGCCGTGTTGGTGTGGGATCTGACAGCAAGCCAATACGCGTGTACCAATAAGACGGGAACGTCCGGCTGATGGGCCTGGCCCGAAGGCTTTTGCAAATAGTTGTTGGATTTAATACTGAAGGGAGAGAACGTGAGCAGACGCTCACACTCAATCTCACCATAGACCCCCTGCAGGAGCCTCTGAACCCTCTTTTGAGTCTTCCCGTGATTTCCCAAAGTCGTATCTAAGTCGTGAATCTTCAGTAAACGTCATGTCACGTAAAATAAAAAGCAGCCATGATTCGCCATTAATCACCGCGGGGTAGTGGCCCAACGAAAACTATGAAGACATGCGGCCCTGCATTTGAGCACCACCTAGTTGTGATCGTTCATGTTATGCAAGCTGATATCCTGGCTGCTGGTAACACGTCGCTCATCGTCCTCGCCATTGGCCAACGCATCAGTCGTGGGAGTATTCAGCGCGTGCCAATTGGGTGAACCAGCGCCACCATCTGACGGGATGACGTTGCCATGTTGGTCGACCTCCTGTAATACTCATTAGTCACATGGATGAGCCTAGAGTGGTGTTTCAGTCGCGACTTACCACACCCTTGGCAGCCATGCGCACTTGCTGCGGGTTGGCTGTGCCGTGCACAACCGCCTCACGTGCCTTCTCCATCACTTTCTGTTTCCGGCTCTCTCCGCGGACCCTTTCGAGGCGCTCGAAATAGCCTTCGTCGACGGGCGTAACGTATTTTCCACAGAAAACGCCCACTTCGAACTTTTGCGTGGCTGGATCACGAGGAGACAGACGTGCGCATGCACTTTCCAGATCCTCGAGCTTTTGATAGACGACATCGTCGGCACCAAGGTGCTTGGCAATGGCTGCTGTGTCACGGTGGTGAGCAATAAGCTCCGAGGAGGACGCCAGATCGATACCGTAGATGTGAGCATTGGTAATGGGTGGCGCGCATGAAGTGAAGTAGACCTTCTTAGCGCCAGCTTCGCGCGCCATGAGGACAATTTCGCGGGACGTTGTGCCTGAAGTCTTATGTTAGTATTGATGAGGCTAGGGGAAAGCTGACAAGGTAGTTATGAGGTAATTCACGCAGTTTCATCTTCCAAGTCGAACCTGGAAAGTTGCGCAAACTACTCTTGGCCACCCCACAACTGGCAGAGTTCCACATACCACGAACAATCGAGTCGTCGACCAGCAAAACAGTTTTGCCTTCGAACTTCTTCTTCATCGGATTCAGCTTAGCCCGAACACCCTTTTGACGTAGTTTTTGCGATGGCATGATGAATGTGCGGAAGATGTAACGGTTCTTGACAAAGCCCTGTACATAGGGCTTCTCGAGGGCCTCAGCAACGCACAGAGCCGATGTAATCGCTGTCTCCGGAATCGGCATCACCACGTCCACCGCAGCCATCTTCTCAGGCCCCAGCTGCTTTTTGATGGTCTCGGCAAGTGTAAAGCCCATGTTACGTCGGCTCTCATCCACGTCAATGCCGTCAATGACGGAGTCGGGTCGGGCAAAGTAAACGTATTCGAAAATGTCCGGGGTATATGCTTCTTGCTTGGCAACCTGCCTAAAGACGGGCTCCTTGCCCTTCTCGATGATGACAGCTTGGCCAGGTAGAATGTCTTGGAAGTCCTTGTAGCCGCATTGAACCAGTGCCACACTCTCGGAAGCCATCATGTAATCCATTCCATGGCCATCTTGCGCTTTTCGAGATCCAAGGACCATGGGTCGGATACCATATGGGTCGCGGAATCCAATCAGACCAAACCCTGAGAAACGTCAGTATTCAAGACCGCATTTGCTCAGAGTTCCGTTTACATACCAGCCAGCATAGCGGTACATGCCCATCCACCAGTGCAAAGCTTGTACATCCTCTCCAATGCCGCGAAGCAGTCATCAGCGTTGATACGTGCCTTGCCCGTCTCGTTGAGCTCATCCGCGAAGATATTCAGCATCAGCTCGCTATCGCTCTCCGTGTTGATGTGTCTATGAGCCTCGTGGTCCAGGCGCTGGCGCAGCGCAGGGGCATTGATGAGGTTGCCATTGTGAGTCATACAGATGCCGTACGGGCTGTTTACGTAGAAGGGCTGAGCCTCAGAGTTTGCGCTGCTGCCGGCAGTGGGGTATCGTAGGTGGCCGAGACCCATGAATCCCGGGAGATCGGAAACGCGAGCGCCGTCCTGGAAAACCTTGGAGGCCATACCGTTGCCCTTGCATTGGTGGAAACGACCACCGGCGCTGCAGCTGACTATTCCAGCAGCGTCTTGGCCGCGGTGTTGGAGGAGATAGAGGGCATCGTGGACCTCAACCGAAGCCGATTGCGACTTGGGGTCGCCGTGGATGACTGCAATGATACCGCACATTTTGACGTGATAGTGAGATGTGAGATTATTCGAGGTCGGCTCTCACAGTTATATGTAGGCTAAGACGCGTCAGTTGGGGCAACCCTGCGGGAAACTCGGAAAACAGCAAAGGTGGGGTCGTCTCTCAGCAAGTCCTGGTGCGCTCATGGGTAATCGCAAGTCTAACATCTTTTATAATAATGACGAGATCATCATAGTGACAGGGGCAGTGGGTGAGAAGGATATCGCAGCAACGTACCCTGGGTATCTTCGCACACGGCTGCTCTCGAGCTCACTTGTCGAATAGTTGCTCCAGAAGGGGAATTTGGTGGTATAGGATGTGTGGCGGCCGGTCAGACGCGTCGAGCGAGCAACTTTTCTGTCCAGCAAGGATCCGTTGATTTGGGCTGTAGTATCAATGGGGGCGTCTTTTTCGTCTGCGAAATGTCGTCGCGGGGCTCTTGTCCCGTGGGATTCTGGCGATGGCTGGCAAGCTCATGGTTATTGGAAAGTCAGAGCGGGAGCGCTCTAGTGGGGAAGGGGGTAGCATGATAAACAATTTTTTTTTCGCTCGCTCGCCGCACTTGCGCTGGCACTTCCGTGTTTTCGGCCTTGGCGCAAACCGCTTGCCCAGAACCCCACACTTTGCTTCTGCACGGGGTCACCGCGCACACCAAACCACCAAGAGGCAAGAAGCGCAGCAGGAAAGGAGCAAAGTCCGCAGATCACGATACTCGTCCTGTTTTTGCAGTATTCTATCCGCAAATATCCATGGGATGATTCATTTTCGGCAACATGACCGCTCGCGCTCGGTCACACCGCGGCCTCCATAAGCTAATACGACGTATTACCAGGACTTCCTAGCACACGAGTAGAAAAAATGAGCACTATTCCTTTGAGATATGCGGGGGTGGATATATTACAGCCATAGCTCACGACAGCTCCTTCAGCCTAAAACAAACATAACTATGCAGCCTATCATTTAGATCGCCCTTTTCCGTAGCCCTCAAATCCGCAATGCCAGGCCAAGTCAGACCAATGAAATCTAGCCCGTTGCTCTGAAGTTTACGACAATATGCGTTCCTGACAATGGCAGAGCATCAGTAAAGCAGTTCATGCTTAAAAGAGCTGGAAGAGCTGGGATACTTACGTGTAAAATTCACACAAGAAGCCCGGATCCGGCCCAATCGACGATGCGTTCCCGCTCAGCTGTGTGCAGTCAATGTCCGCGCCCCCGGGCTTGGTCAGCTTGTGTTCACAGTGGCCGCCCCAGGCAATGTCTTCGCAGATGTAGACCTGGTTGACATTAGTTTGTATACAAGAGTGTGCAGCACGCGGCAGCGTATGTGCTCTGCCAAAAGCTGTCATGAGGATAATCGTACACCAGCGTATTTCTCGTCTGGCACAGCAGGGTCCGACTTGGCCGGCCAAGCTGATGAGACGGAGCTCGTGGAGATCATTGTAGAAGCATGGGGCCAGGTGAAAGATGGAGCGGTCACATCCATGACCGTGTCCAGTTCAGCTCGGGCGAGTGCAGAGCCAGCCTGTGGTATGCGTGCTGCGAGGGTGACAGACGCAAAGGGCACGACAAAAAGGGTAGAAAGAAACATGTTGAGCAGATGGATAGGTGTGCATGCGCAGGAAAACATGGCATATATCCAAGCTCCTTATACGTTGCCACGGGGCAACTCTTATATCCTGCCAGTACCAAATGTATTCTAGCCAATATCCATCACTGGTACCGTGTAATACTAATTACAAGAGTAATCAACCCGCATGCCCCGAATCGTGGTACGCGACCGTCAATGTTGTGCTACCAGACACCGACCACGGGTCGCACCAATTACACACTTGTCGCGACCATGCTAGACGCAGGTACCCATTTCCCTATTACATCCAGGTGTGGAAACATAGTCTTGAATGGTGTGCTCCAGTGTAAGTGTGATGGCGAGACGTCCCACGCATATATGCTCAAGACAGGCACAAAGAACATATAGAGGTCCCAGCTCAATCCAGTAACGTGGTATCTATCGGCTCCTCAACAAGTCAAAATACGACCGAGCGCCGCAGCACTGAGCTCAGACGCTCATCCAATGTATCGCGTTCAGGCACAACACCGGTTCATGCGTGGTCTAGGGAAGTTTCCTCGGGCTCGGCCTTGATATGGGAGATGTGACTCGGCGGCAGCGCCCAAGTCCGATTAAGATTCTAAAAGCGACTATTCTAAGGTGCTGACTTTTCCGACATTTCCGGTCTATCAGGTTCGTAGTTTGTTTCGCCTAGCGATTCCGATGGCCCAGATACTGAGACTGTAGCTGGCGCAGGGAAACTCGAAGTACGGGATGCTGCAGCATTCAGTCTTTGATTCAATGCCTCTAGAGCGAGTGCTCTTCTCCTCTCCGCCTCGGCACGTGTTCCTCCTCCTCGGCCACCTCGGCTGTTGGGGTTCATGATGCTTGGGAGGCCACCTTCGGCACGGGCGCTCGCCTGCTCGTTGCCTGCATCAATGTCGTGGTCGGAAAAGGGCGTGCACACCTTGAGGGATACCAGCATGTTGTAGACTCCATCTGCAAAGGCGCCAATGGGGGTTTGTAGTGGCTCGGGAAAGAAATGAGCAAAGCTGAAGGTGTCGGAAGCATCTCCACGAATGACGGAGCCGTCTCCAGTGGCCGTGGACGAGAGCGAGGGGCTGATGCGATAGAAGCGAAGGTAGATCCATGCAGTCATGAAGCCAAAGTAGGCAAGGAACATGGCCGTCTCGGTGCCCAAGATTGTGCCGGAGATGGTATTCGCAAGCAAGAATATGGCGGGGAAATGCTTGACGCGCATGCGAATGAGGCCCTTTGCAATGGCTACGGTATGCTCGGGCACGAGCTGCTTAAAGGAAACGAGGAAGCCGGCTTGGATAGCGATACCGCCGGAGATGGTGGTGTTCCTGGGCTGGGTTAGTACCATGTGTGGAGAGAAAAACAAAGCATGCGTACACCATGGAGCCTTTGCCCACGACAAGATATCCGACGGCATAGAGCAGGTAGGACAAGATGTTTGGGATCATGGCGACAAACAGCATAAACTTTGTGAATTCATGCGACCCCCATGCGCGCTCGAGGTAGCGACCGCCATAGAAGACGGTCAGGCCGGTTATGATGAGGCCGAGGAGATTCTGCTCGACGACGGTTGCCAGCGCAAAGACCCAGGGATACCAGGGCACCGAGCGGCGCGGGACTATGGCCAGCCACGGGACGCCGTTGCCGACGCCGATAATGGGCTTCTCGACCTTTTCGACCCAATTGGCGTTTGGGCGCAGGGCGAAGTTGAGCAGGGTGCAGAAGACGAGGGTGGCAAGTATGCCGCGCGTGAGGGGCGGGAGGTTGATTCGGGCCATGGCGCAGGCGGAACGGTGCGGTGGTGGAGAGAGATGCGACGGGCGGCCACGGGAGGGAGGGCTCAGCCCGGGCGGGCGGGGGATGGGATGGGGTGACTGTGGTGGTGGCGGCGGGGGTGGTGAGATTAAGCAGCTGTGGCGGTGGTGGAGGTGGAGCAGTAGTAATAGTGGCGGCGGTAGTGGAAGTCGTGGCGGTAGTGGTAGTAGCAGTAGCAGTAGTGATGGAAGCAGAGTAGTGGTAGTGGTGGTGCTGGCGCGGTGGCTGGCAGGGATTGGCGGCGCTCGGACGAAGATCGTGTGGGGACTAGCTAGGCTCCCTCCGCCGGCCTGTGTGTGTGGCATCGAGTAGTTCGCAGAGCCAGAGACATTGCCATTATTACTTCGTCGTCGCTTTCGTCGCCCAACCCTCTCCACCCCCACAACGCCCTGCCCGCCCATCCCGCTCGCACAATCCCCAACACCCCCCCCCCCCGCTCGACTCATAGCTGAGGCGCATGCAGCGCTCGCAGAATGCGCCATGGCGGAGACACTCAGTAGCAACGCGATGAACTATCTCGGTACCCTTCCCCGGCCGCCCGCTCCTCTTGGATTGGCCTGCATCTCTGACGCGTGGTCTAGTATGGCGATACCTCCAGGAAGCCGGCTTTGGTAATGCTGCCCTCCACCTCTCGCGATGCTGGATCCGCGACCCGGACACGCTTCCCTTTGCCGGCAACATCGAGCCGCACGCGCTCGTCCGCCTCGTCCAGGACGGCATGTGCTTCGACCAGCTGCGCGCCGAGGCCTGCAATGTACGTCGCATGCGCTGCCTCTGCCCGCCGCCTGGGCTAACGATTACAGACGGAGCCGCGATACAGGTTTGGCCCCGACCACGGCCGCCCCTACACGCGCAACGGCAGTCTCTTGACCCTCGACAAGGGCATTCCCGCCCACGAGCTCGCCACCGAGGCCAACGGCGCCGTCCAGGAGCCCCCGCCCAAGAAGTCGCTCAAGCGCAAGAAGACCAAGCCCACGAATGGCGTCGAGCCGCGCCACGAGCCCCAGGTCAACGGCGATGCCATGGACGTCGAGCACAACGGCGCGACCAACGTCACCAACAGCGTCAGGGCCGACTCGGAGCCCGTCGTCTCCGAGACAGAGTCGCTCACCGTCGCCGAGATACCGCTGTCGACGCTGAGCATAGGCCAGGATGCCGAGATCCAGACTGATGCCATTGCCGTCGCCGATCTCGCCCCGGGCACCGTCTTCGTCCCGCGCCAGTCGAATCCCGAAAAGGTCGTCGAGCACACGCTGTGGGGCCCAATCGAGTCTCCCGTGCTGCTCGCAGCTGGAAAGTCGCTGCTCCAGGTCCATGTCGTCAGCAAAGGCTCCGCCCAGGAACCAACGCCGCCTATCCACACGCTCGACATGTCGCTGCCCGTCGAAAACTTTGACATTACCGCTCTTTGCTGGCACTCCGAGGACGAGCTAACCGTTTCCGCGCGCGAGCAGTGTTTCAACGAAGTAGGCGAGAAGATGATGATGGACAAGCTCATCAAGCTGACCGAGGGCGGCACCGCCTCGAGCGTAATCTCCTCAACCGCAGGCCTGATCAACACGCTTCGCTGGAACCCGGAGCGCAAGCTTCTGCTCTCCATTTCGACCGACGGAGAAAAGGGCTCCATCAAGGTGTGGAAGAACGACAGCGACTCGATTCCCGCATGGACCGAGTTCACCGACACGGCCATCCTTGATGCGCAGTGGATTAGCGACTCGGCCTTTGTCGTTTGCGGCATCAAGCTCTTCAAGATATACGAAGTGGCCGACTCGCTGACGATCCAGCGGACACTGGAAACACAGATCCAGTGGGAAACAGTCAAGCACGACGCTGCTTCTGGGATTATTGCTGTGCTGGGTATCGAAGACCAGAAGAACTTCCTTGGCATTCTTCATCCCAACGACTCGATCCAGCTGCAGACGCACGAGTATCCCGACGAATATGCCACCGACCTTGGATTCCGCGTGAACCCAGCCACCAAGCAGCTTACAAACGGTTCGTCTCTGCCTTCAGTGCTGCTTGCAACAAGCTCCATGTCTGGCGCGGCGCGAATATGGGATGCAAATGAGCCATTCAAGTGCGTCAAACGCCTCTCTACCGCGGACGGGACCCAGGCCTTCAAGATTGCTTTCTCGCCAGACGGGCTGCTTTTGGCCGCTGCAGGCCCTGATGCAGTCACGATATGGGACGTGGAGAAGAGAGACATCCCTGCCGCCACTTGGCGTGCCAGTGACTGGTCCAGCGACAAATGGAACCCCGGAATAGATGGCGAGTTCAGCCTTGGGTGGGATCCAGACAGCTCGAGATTATCCATTGCTCTTGGAAACCAGGTATGTTGGGCGGCCCCAGCTGACGGTGCTTATGCGCTAACACGACGGTGTAGATTGCGATTATCACGGTGCCTAGGTAGCCCCAAGGACCCACAATATGGATAACATCACCTGTATCGCCCAACAGCGAACCGCCTGTCGACTTGCGGCACATGGACACTAGGGTCTCGATAGGCCCTCGGCCAGGTGTACATGGCGGGGGAAAAAGAAAAGAGACACTGAACCCATTATTCAGGCCACTGCGGGGGATGCCTCTGGCACTGGTGCAGAGTCGCAAGGAGCACTCGGCGGGGCATAGTGTGGAGTCCGGGGTGGCGCCTCTGTCGGGATGTGGAGTCCTTCGTCTTGTGATAGGCTAAACGCAAAAGCCTAGCCATCTACCGTGCGACAACCCGATGTTCACCAGGCCCGCAAATGCCGTGCCCACCAACCTTGGGCCCATTGCTTCGGCACTTGTACGATGCAGACGACGGCGCAGTGATAAGCATGGGCCTGGGCTGGCTACAAAAGTGCTCAGCTTTGTTCGTTTCCACTCTTATGCCATTTACGTCTCCGATATCCCTTTGTCGCGTCTGTTGTATACTACACGATTCATAGCTGGAGCTTTGAGTAGAATTTTGGATATAGGTCGCACGGCCGCCCTAATTGCTCACCATCTCTCTTTTTCTGCCTTCTTTCAACCATGTCAGCGGTACCCAGCCTTCCCACTGATGCGCCCGAGATGCACGCGGCCGCCGTTAGCAACCCTGTCGCAGCGAAGACACCTTTCAAGCTCAACGATGCACCTGTGGAGAACTTGCGGCGGCTCAAAGTCATCGTCATTGGTGCTGGCTATTCGGGCATCTACTGCGGCATCCGCATACCTGAGCGTTTGCGGAATGTTGACTTGGTCATCTACGAGAAGAATGCTGGTGTCGGCGGGACTTGGTATGAAAACAGGTAATTCAACACTTCAGCACATCTGCCACCATGGGGACCACACGCATTGCTTCAAGCTTTGGGCCATGACTCACAAAATCTATCGTGGACTGCATAGCACTGAATGGACTCGGGTAGAGACCCGAGGCACCCACCCCCCCTGCATTATTACTAACGCAAAAACAGATATCTGGGCTGCGCGTGTGACATACCTTGTAAGGACATGCTTTTGCAACGAGATAACTCATTACTAATCTTCGTCAGCACACTCGTACCAGTATACTTTCCAACCAAACCCCTACTGGTCGTCACTGTATGCGCCAGCGGCCGAGATCCAGTCATATCTCCAAGACGTGGCGCAAAAGTATTCCGCCGATCGCTTCATCAAACTCCGCCACCAGGTCGAAGCTTGCCACTGGAACGACAAGACTGCCAAGTGGACAGTTGCAGTCAAGAATTTGGCAACGGGAGAGACGTTCCAGGACCAAGCAGATGTGGTCATCTCTGCAAGGGGAAATCTAAACAACCCCTCATGGCCTGAGATAGATGGCCTGAGCACTTTCAAAGGCGAAGTCATGCACTCGGCAACCTGGAATCAAGAGTGCGAACCTCCTCTAGACTGTATCGGCTGCGCACCTCGATTGACACAACCTCCAGTTACGACTTTGAGAATAAGCGGGTAGGTGTCATCGGCTCAGGCTCCTCCTCGATCCAAATTGTACCGTCGCTCCAGCGTATGCCGGGTACCCATGTCAGCACATTTGTGCGGAGTAAGACGTGGATTGCTGCGCCTTTCAGCCAGAGACTCTGGGACAAGTACGAGTTCCAGGGGTCGACCGTCCCTGCAGAGATGCGTGATCGCTTTGCCAACGATCCCGAGTTCTACCACAAGTTCAGACTCTCAGTCGAAGAAGACGGAAACGCGATCCATGATGTCACCATCAAAGGAACTGCCCTTCAACTGGGGTCCAAAGACATGTTCGAAAAAAACATGAAAGAGCGACTCCAGAGCCGGCCGGACATCTTCGAGACGCTCCTCCCTTCGTTCTCGCCGGGATGCCGCCGCTTGACACCTGGACCGGGGTATCTTGAGGCTTTGCTACAGCCCAATGTTGACTTTGTCACATCGCCCATTATTCGCATCTCCGAATCGGCCATCCACACTGCCGATGGCAAGACGTACGAGATAGACGCCCTCGTCTGCGCAACCGGCTTCAAAACATCTGCTCCGCCACCGTTCCCTTTGACTGGCAGCAATGGGCTTGCGTTGACGGAAAAGTGGGAAGAGCGTGCAGTGAACTACCTGTCCCATTCGGTCGCTGGGTTTCCCAACCTCTTCACCATGCTCGGCCCCAACGGGGCGATTGGGACCGGTAGCCTGACAAATATGATAGAAACCGTGGGCGACTACATCATCAAAGCCATCCGAAAGATACAAAAAGAAAACATTGCCTCGATGGTGGTCAAAGAAGCGCGCGAAAAGGACTTTACCGAGTACGTAGACACGTATTTTGAGAATACAGTCTTTGCCGAAGACTGCAGAAGCTGGTACAAGCACAAGGGTACGGGCGCGATTGTGGGTCTCTGGCCAGGAAGCACGCTGCACTGTGCTGAGGTGATGCGCAGTCCGCGATGGGAGGACTACGACTATGTCTACCTGGACGAGCTGGAGAATGATGACGACGCCGAAAACAAGCTCAATGGCGCGGGTAAGAGTGCGAATAGGCTGGCTTGGCTGGGGAATGGCTGGAGCATTCTTCAGCAAGAGGAACGAGACCTGGCCTGGTACCTGTATCCGGAGTTTCTGGACAAGCCTCTTGCGCCGCACCCGGAGAAGAAGGGCGAGTATGCCATTCGTCCATTCTCGCATTGAACAGGATAGACGGCGTTGATGGCTGGTAGTCTTTTGCAACACACTGCAAGTGGTAGGGAAAACGTTCGTCGTGCGTGACGTGCATGTATGTAGATAGTCGCGTGGTGGGTCCGCCGCTGCTCGATGCGTTGGTGGGCATGTGAAAGCGTGTGCGTGCAGCTTCCCCCGGCTTGCGTTTTGTGGGGTAGCCGAGGCACAGGCTCACATGTCGCCAGCCGCATATGCGCCGCAACCACACCAGCGCCTTTCACGAGACTGCAACCTTGCAGCTCTCGCTATTCCGTATTCCCGCAACACACCGGCTTCACCGCGTCTCTGCCCAACTCGATCCTTTCATCTTCCACGCAACCAGCCACGCGGCTCCTTGCGTATACAACTGACCCCGTGCTGAACTCCCCGCCACGAGCGCGTCACTCGTGCGTGCGCAACGGCGACTGAGCTTGGGATACCGCCAATGCCTCCCCCACGATAGCCATGGCCGTCTTTTCAAAACCCATCTCCTCGCATCGCCTGAGCAAGGACTCTGCCAAGGCCATCGTAGCGGACCTCACACGCCTCTACCTGCAGCACCGCACCAGCATATCGCGCGCCGTCTACCTCACCTTGTTCGTCGCCCTGATAAACCGCATCCGCAATGCCATTGCCGAGCAGAAAGCTGCTGCGCTCCGGCGGGCCTCCTCCAAGGCTTCATCCAACAAGACGACCGGGGGCGAAGGCGAGGCCACCGGCAGGAAGAAAGTCGAGCTGAACCGCGACTTCTTTAAGAATCTGCTGCGGCTGCTGAGGATATGTATTCCCGGGTGGAAGAGCAAGGAGTTCAGGCTCGTGATCGGGCATAGTGTGTTTTTGGTGCTGCGCACGATGATCAGTTTGTATGTGGCCGAGTTGGATGGTCGACTCGTGAGTGCGCTTGTGAGAGGAAAAGGGAGGGAGTTCCTGATGGGCTTGGTGTGGTGGATGGGCGTTGCTATACCGGCGACTTTTACGAACAGCATGGTATGTGGCACAACAGGGTGCTTGGGCGCCTGCTAACAGAACAACAGCTGTCATACCATCAGTGCAAGCTCTCGCTTCAGTATCGAACCCGCCTCACAAACTATATCCATTCAAAGTACCTTTCGCAAATGACGTTTTATACGCTCAGCGCCCTCGACGACCGCATCGCAAATGCCGATCAGCTCATCACCGTCGATGTAGCCAAGTTCTCGAATTCCCTCGCAGAGCTGTACTCGAACCTTGCGAAACCCGTACTCGATATCATAATCTACAACTACTCGCTGTCACGGAGCGTGGGTGGCGAAGGCCTGTTCTTCATGTCGCTGTTGGTGCAGATATCCGCAAATGTCATGAGGGCACTGACTCCGCCGTTTGGTAAGTATGTGGCGGACGAGGCAAGATTAGAGGGAGAGTTTAGGTTTCAGCATTCGAGGCTCATTGACTGGAGCGAAGAGGTGGCGCTCTATGCTGGCCATGAGGCTGAGAAGGACACGCTTGACAAGGGGTACTTTACACTGATCAAGCACGTCAATAGGATACTGAGACGCAGGTTCTACCATGAAATCATGGAGGACTTTGTCATCAAGTACTTTTGGGGTGCTTTGGGCCTGCTGCTGTGCAGTGTGCCTGTTTTCTTTAAGGTGCCTGGAACAGGCGGGATGAGTATGGGGGACCGCACCGAGAGTACGTATTACTGTCACATGCCTGTTTCTGAGCACTTGAGGTTTTTGGTGCTGACAATTATCACAGACTTCGTGACGAATCGCCGCATGCTTCTCATGTCTAGTGATGCTTTCGGTCGCGTCATGTTTTCCTACAAAGAAATCACCGAACTGGCAGGTTACACCTCGCGCGTCTCGACACTGCTCGATGTCATCGACGACATTCAGGCCGGCCACTTTGAAAAGAAGCTCGTTTCCTCGGCCGACACTGAGGAAAATGCTGCAGTCCTGCGTGGCCGTGGCACTGTAACCGAGGGCGAGGACATTGAGTTCGTCGACGTACCGATCGTCTCTCCCAACGGCGATGTTCTAGTGCGTAAACTATCCTTCCACGTGAGACCCGGAGACCATCTCCTCATTGTTGGACCCAACGGCTGCGGCAAGAGTAGTTTGTTCCGTATCCTAGGTGGACTATGGCCTGTCTACGGAGGCAAGGTTCGGAAACCGCCGTTTGAAGACATCTTCTACATTCCACAACGACCGTATCTATCCCGCGGCACCCTCCGCCAGCAAATCATCTACCCGGACTCCCTGCACGACATGCACTCCAAATCCATTACCGACAATGATCTCCTCAGCGTCCTCGCCACGCTCAACCTTGAATCCCTGGTCGACCGCCCCGGCGGCTTTGACGCAGAGGCTCAGTGGGAAGACGTGCTTTCTGGCGGCTTGCAGCAGCGCGTCGCCATGGCTAGGTTGTTCTACCACAAACCGCGGTACGCGATATTGGACGAGTGCACGAGTAGTGTGACGCTCGAGGTGGAAAGAATCATGTATGAGGAAGCAAAGAAACTGGGTATCACGCTCATGACTGTGTCGCATAGACGCAGTCTGTGGAAGTATCATTGCCGCATTCTGCAATTTGATGGCCAGGGAGGCTTTTACTTTGGTGGCTTGGATGCTGAGAGGAGAGCGGTGCTTGAAGAGTAAGTCATTCCCCTTCCCCCGTTATCGCTTTTTCCGTTTCTTTTGTTATCTTTCTTCTTTTCGTCTTCTTGATTAGTTTTGCTTTTTTCATTTGTACCTTGCATATGCATGCGGGCTGACACGTGGACAGTGAGAAGGAAGATATCGATCTGCAGCTTAGGGCTGTCCCGGATATCGAGCAGAGGATCAAGGAGCTGGAGGCTTCGTGATTGAGTTGGTAGACTTGATGTGTTGGCGATGCGGGTAGTGGTGGGGGGGTCAATGATTGTTATGTGATTGAATACGGGGGGCCGGATGTATACAAATGTAAACATAGAAGACATTTACATATCATGTTGCCGGAATACAGTAGGCTATGTCCACCAGCAGATCCTGCCTGTGGTTATACTTTTTTGCACGTGTCTCGCTAGTGACTCTAGGTTCTACACTTTTTCCCAACTTGCCCCATGTAGTGCATATACATTCTTCAAGACCATGGCACTGATGTATTAAGCATGGCTTGACAGACAGAAGAGAGCACAATGCGAGGGAGAAGATGCGCTCATTAGGACTAGCGCCGGGTGTGACCGCCCAGCTCGAGCCATCACCAATAAGCCCACGGGCGTGCCAAGACAATGCCTCCGCGGTCTCATGGCTGCTCTATTCCCCTCGCTCCATTCCAACCCTTTTATCTTCTAAGCACAACACATCCGCCACCAGCGCATGCTACATGTCGCGACTGCACTGTTTCCGAGTTGCTTCTTGTGCGTCTCTGCATTTCGCTTCTCCTTGATTTACAACACCCGGTTTTTCTAAAGTCAATTGACCGTAATTGTACTTTGCATTGCCCGCACCAAACCTCCGACGCGTCGTCGCTGCTCCGTACCCGCAATACATTCACGCCTGCTTCTATACGTACACCCGAAAGTACTTCTGCCTAGCATTTCGTAGCTATGGCTACAATAAAAGTCGGCCAAACGGTCGAGACCACCAGTGAGCAGCAGGGTATCGTTCGATATGTGGGACCTATCCACGTATCCGACGGTATCTTCGTGGGCATAGAGCTTACTACTCCCACCGGCAAGAACGACGGGTCCGTACGTGGAGAGCGCTACTTCACATGTCCACCTGGCCATGGCTTGTTCATCCGCGATTCGAGTATCACAGCTATATTATCACAACCAGCTCCACCACCACCTTCTACCCCGAAATCCGCCGCTCCAAAACCAAAAGCTCCAGCAACAACACCCAGAGCTAGACCTTCAAGTGTCATTGCTGCCAGACCCAGTGCTGCTCCCACCAGGCCAGCTGCACCAACCAAGCGACAGTCGGTTGCTGGCCTTCCCTCCCAGTCCGCCCTTCGTGGGCCAACCCGCAAAGCTAGCGTCGCCAGTATTTCCAGCAATCCTCCCGCCGAGAGTTCCCGCGCCGCACAAGCACCTCCCCGGCCAAGTCTCGCCTCATCGGTCAACAGCAATTCGGCAAAAACCGCTCGAGATAACAATATTGAGACACTACAGACAAAGATTCGGCATTTGGAGAAACAACATGCGGAGGATCAGGAAAGACTCCGAGAGTTTGCGCAAATCAGAGACGAGAGGGATCGATTTAATGGCATCATACAGAAGATCCAGGCCAAGTGCCAATCTCAATACAGTGAAATGGTGGAATTGAAAGAGAAGCTGAAAACTCTGCAGCAGGAGAATGAGACTCTTACCAAGACACACCAAGATCACGAAGTAGATCTGGAAGATGCGCTGGTCGACAAGGAAATGGCAGAGGAGAGGGCGGACCAGGCAGAGGCAGAGCTGGAATCGTTGCGCAAGCGGGTAGAAGAGCAGAGCCTCGAGCTTGACATTCTTCGAGAAGAAGCCGAGCTCTTCACCACAGAGATGAGTGAAGAGCAGAAGCAAGAGGCCGGCTACTACCGTTTGCAGCACGAGAACGATCGTTTGAGGAATGCGCTCATTACTCTCAAGGAAATGACAGAAGAGAGAGAGCAGGACCAGAAAGTAAGAATATCCGGGCTGGAGGCTGATCTCTCTCAGCTCGAACACCTGGAGCGGGAAAACGCCTCTCTCCAAGAGCGTGTCGCACAATCCGACTCCCTCATTGAACACTTGAAGCAGCAACTTGACGCTGCTAATGAATGGGAAGACATGGTGGGCGAACTGAGCCACCAAAACCAGAACCTGCAGGATAGGATCGCGGAGCAAGAGATGGTTGTACAGGATCTCGAAAACCTTCGGGAGCTCAATGACGAGCTTGAGGCTCAGCACCTTGAGCAAGAGGAGGATATGCTCGAAGAGCTTGAGCTTAAGAACAGCGAGCTTGCAGAACAGACACGGCAAATTGCCGAGCAGGCCGCCATCATTGCCGACAACGAAGAACTCATCACCAAGTTCCGGGACCTCGTCATGGATCTACAGGCAAGAATGGCAGATGCCGAATCCTCCAAGACTATGACAGAAGCTCAAGTCAAGGACGCCACCGGACGATTCAACGAGGTTATGGATTTGAACCGACAACTCCGTGCTGCTACCGTCCTGTCTACTACACGTGAGATTGAGGCTTCGTTGATTTCCCTCAAAGCCGATCAGCTTGCTGAAAAACTCGAGATTTGGAACGAGACGGAATCCAAGGAGTTCACTCGCAGCGAGTCTCTTCAGGCCTATCTTACTGCGGAGAGGATTGTTGGCAAGTCCGAATTGCTCATGAACGTACTAAGGAGCACAACCCGTCAGATGAGCAATGGTGGCCGACTGGATGACGCTTTGCCTAGGCTTGTTTGCAGCCAGTCCATCAGCCATCTCGAGGTTCTCAAGGATGGCAGCAACCGCCTTTGGACCGCCATTCGTAGCCTGACGCTGGCTGAGTTTGCAAACATTGGGCCAACTTACCAAGAGCTGGTTACTGTGGAGCAAGTTCTCGATCAAGGCCTCAATGCTTTGAAAGCCGATACAGTCAACTTTGACGACTTTGCTGGGTCTCTTCTGCGCTCTACCAAGACTCAAGATGCCATCTTATCAAGCCACCAGGATATTCTTGCCGAGCGACCAGAAGGCGAGCTGATATCTAGGATTACCTCCATCCATGCTCGCCTCGATTACATCGCCTCTATGTATGACCTGGCGACTTTTACTCTCCAGAAGATTCCTGAAAACATACTCGAAGAGTGTGAATACACTCCTGACCATTTCAAGACACCAATAGACACTACACAGGGTGCAATCACAGCTGCGTCTAAGTTGCTGCGAGTTGTAGAAGCGCTGGCTAAAGACAACATGTATCCCCGTCTTCCAGAAGGCCAGGACGATGCCATTCGCTTCGACGAGGGGTTAGCACAGGCTGCGGATGGAATTGCTGCCTTTACCCGAGGTCTCGTTGATGAGGTTGCAAAGTGTATCAGTCTCTCAGACCCAGAGTCGCTGACTGAAGGCGAAATCGCCGCGATGAAGGCCTCTATAGATGATCTGGATTCGAAGCAGCGCTCCATCTTCGTGTCAGCGGGCTTGAACAATCTCACATCCAGCTTGCGCCACTGGACTGACCATGCTTCGATACTTTCAAACAACATTGAGATCGAGCATGGACCTACGCCGTGGTCTCAGAAGGCCAAGGAGGTCGAGGCTGCCCGCAAGAAAGATGACGAGGCTGTGCGTCAATTGCAGGCCCTCACAGCGGAGCACCGTGCTACTGTGCTCAAGATTCACGAGCGTGAGCAGATCATTGCTACAAAGGAACTTGAGATTGAGCACCTATCGGCTAAGATCCGAGATGCTGCTTCTAAGACTGAGGGTGTTGAAGCTCTACAAGAGGAGCTCGCCCAACGTCACGAGCAGATCATGGAGCTTGAGGAGCAGAACAGAGCCCAGGCGATGGACCTGGAGGCTCTGAAGGAGCGTCTGGCCAATGTTGACGAGTCTAGACGAAACGACCCTGAGCTGACCACGGAGAACACCACTGCGCCGATTGAGCAACCCCAGCAAGCCGCCGACCCCCGGAGCGTTCCAGGAGGACTCAAGACGTTCATCGACGCTCTTCAAAACGAGAACCATTGGCTGCGCGAGCGCCAGCACAAGGAAGCATTCGACCGCAACTTCAGGGAAATATTTAGCACCATGGACCACTCTCGACATGCCGCGCAGATGCCATCAATGTCCAGACTTGACGCACTCGAGCTGGCCTGGCTTACCGATGACGACTCTGAAGGCGTGGAAGCATCCTCGCGAACATCCAGTCCTATTCCAGGCGACTCGAACTTGGCGTACCACATTCCCCATGCACATGCCTATGGCCGCCCTAAGATGTCGGCTCTCGAACTCACGCATATCAGCCTCGGCTGGGAAGAGCGTGCGCACAGCCATAAGCTGGCTTTGGAGCAGGCCGAGGAGGAGCTCATGCTCATGTCTATGATTCAGGAAGATGATGATGATTTATCCTTTATTGCTCCGTAGAATTGCTGCAAACACAGGTTTGGAAAATTCATGTCGCATCTGGGGCATCGTGGAGGTTTGATGGGTTTGTCTGCTTGCTGAGATCGAGTTGTAGTCGACAGTTTGCATGGAGATTATTGAATCACGTTTGGGCATAAAGGCGTTTGGACACATATACACACACCCTCTCTCTCTCTTCATATGTGCATATAGAGAGAGGGCACGAGAAAAGCATTTGGCTGCCTTATTTGCGGCAAACGGCGTTTTTGTCTTTATGTTCTGGTTCTTCTGCATTCTATATATCTATATTCTTTTTTTTTCCTGCGCTGCGCACGAGAGATACCCATGGATTGCATTCCTTTTCCGTTTGCAATTCTCACAAATTAATAGCATAGCCAGATTCTTTTGTTTTGTTTTTCTTCTTCCCAAAAAAAATGAAGATGAATGATGGTATTGATTATTCTTTTCTCGAAATTCTGTTTGCTTGTTGTTATTGACACATGTGCTCGTTCGTATGCATATGTATATATATATATCCAACTTTTCGATTTTTTTTATCCTTCCTTCCTTCCTTGAACTTTTTTCTTTTTCATTGAACGCATTTCGTGGAAAGATGAGAAGAGAAGAACGATACCAAAACAGACAAACGTACACAGCCTAATCCACAGTCCCCCACTGCGGTGGCGGCGCACCATTAGCACCAGCACCGCCCTCAATTTGCCTAACCTCCCTCTGCCTCTTGACATTCCTCTCGTAAAACTCCTCCTTCTCCTTGAGCATCTTGCGCTCGACATTAGCTCTATGCTCGACCTCCTGTTTGCGCTGCTCAATCATCATCTGCTCAGCATTCATCGCATCGCGCATCTTCTGGTCCTCGAGCTCCTGGCGCCGCACCGCCGCATCGCGCTCCTGCTCAACCAGCAGTGCATGCCACGAGGCCTTTTCGGCGCGGCGGATGCGCTCGGCCTCGCGCAAGCGCTGGACTTCGAATTCGTGTTTCTGCTGCTCGAGCGCCGTGTAGTGTTTTGTGGCTTTGGTCTGCAGCGCGAGCTCCGCGTCAAGGGCTTCGGATTTGCGGCGCAAGGCGTCCTTGTGGCTTGTTTCGTCCATGGAGCGCGAGTGCTCGAATTTCTCTTTAGAATGCCGCATGTACAGGTCGTGCTCTTTTTGCTGGTCTACGAGCTTCGCGATGGCGGGCGGGATCCCTGTTGCGCCGACGGGTTGGAGCGCCGATGACGAGTAGTACATGGGTATGCAGGATTTGTCGCGGAGGAGGTCGAGGAGAGCGCTGCGGATGGGGATGCGTGATGGCGCAGGCAGCACCTCGACGTATGAGTAGGGCGAGTAGTGGAGGCCAGAAGATGCGTCATGGTATATGTGCGCTTTGTCGTTGATGTCCTGCCATATATCTGTTTCCAGCAGCGCTTCTGTAACGGGGAGCGCGCTATAGGCATTGTCGAGCGCGAGGAGGATACACGACTTCTCGTTGCGGGCACGGAATTTTGCGTTTGCGCCGTTGGAAAGGAGAAGCCGGATTACCTGGCGGAGGCGAGAGCGCTGAACGGGAGAGTTGACGGTAGCATTGAGGCAGAGTTCTCCGAGGGCATTTCGGCCGCCATGGAGTCGAGATGGGTAGTTTGGATCGTGGCCGTAGTCAATCAGGACCTTCACGGCCTCCACGTTCAATTCGCGAGCTGACTCATGTATGCTACCGTCGTTTCCTGGGGTATGCGGGGCTAGCGCTTTCGCAACGGTTTCCCCGGATAACGTGCCACTAGCATAGAACAGTGCCGATTTATTCCACGTATCTCGAGCGTCGATGTCCGAGCCCCGCTCTAGCAATGAACTGACTATGGCATGGCGACCCTCACGCGCGGCGAGCATTAGGGCCGTCGTTTCCGAGCAAGGCGATATATAGCTCACGGATGCACCGGATGCGAGCAGGGCGGATATGGCAGCATCCGAGACGCGCTTCTGTGGTTGAGCTAGCGCCCAGTAAAGCGCGGGGACTGATTCCGGATCCGCATTTGGATGGAGTCTTACGGACACTGTGGCATCTGCATCAAGGCCATGATTGAGTAGCAGCTTGATGAGAGCGTCACTGCGCGGGTAGGCCGTCATGGCGGTAATCAGAATCGGAGTCTTGTTATGTCCGACCGCAAGGTCATCAACGGAGCATCCATGATCGAAGCACGATTGTATTGCCGGGACGACTACATCATCCTCCAAATTAGAGCTTAACAATGCTGGGACAATGATGTTGAATTTGGGATTGTTAAGCATGAGCTTTTCGAAGATGGCGGGGCTATGCTTTTGTGCTGCAAAAACAAAGCAGGCGCCATCTGCCGTGTTGACATCGGCACGGTAGGAAAGTAAGCGGTCGAGCAGGAGCTCGGTGCTGTTGCCGCCGGGCTCCTTACTAAGGACAGCACGCAGGGCGGCGTCGATGGCGAGTTGATCGACGCCCCGGTTGAGTAGTTCATCCGATATTTTGTCAATGCTGTCATAGTTCTCGGTAAGAGAAAGGCTGTTGTCAGTAAATAGTGTCCGAAATGCTCTGGTAAGGCTGGGTTGTGATGCTGGGTGTTTTCCACTGAGAAGTAATGCTGTTAGCGAGCAGTCTCCCGAAGCTACTGCAATAGTTAGAGCCTCGCCATTGTTGTGACTCACAGAAGCGCCTTGCCCTAACAATAGCTTAGTACTAGTTGTGTCCTTGGTCGCAACCGCGTGTCGGGTTTCAGCGGCAAGGGCTTGGTCCAAAGAGTCTTGTGGTACTCCAAGCTTCAAAAGCGCGTCTAGGATTGGTGCCTTCTTCTGCGGATCTTCCAAAGCAGCGGCATGAGCGAAAGCGGTACTGAGAAGTCCAGGACTTGCAGTAAGAAGTCGTTGAACAATGTCGATGTTGCTCGGGCCACCATTGATAGCAATCTGTAAGGCTTGTCCAGCCGGCTCATCTTTGATGCCGTAGCTCAGCAACAACTCGATGATCTCAAGGGTTTTTTCATGTCTTCCAGTTTTTGGATCGAATGCAAGAGGGAGAGCTGTCGAAGTCGACGAAGCTGTGGGCCTTGCATTGCAGAGCAGACGCAAAAGAGACACGTCGACTTGGGCAACGGCCAAGGAAAATACTTTGCCGTTTTCATAGTCGACGCTTGCACCCTTGCGAACCAGATCCGTGATCAAGGCCAAATCCCGCTCAGAAGAGGTGTCTGCAATTGCGTCGACTAGAGCTTGATCTACACCCGGGCCACGTGCTCCATGTTCAAGTAACAAGCGGGAGATGTTACGTCGCTCAGATGCACTGAATCCGTTTTGGAGGAGCTCGAAGAGTTTCGACAAGGATTCCGGCGATGGACGAGTACTGAGGAGCAACTGCAGGCTTTTAAGATCCTTGTTCAAGACAGCGGCATGAAGTGCACCGCCGTCGTTGGAGTCGACTGGCGCGTCAGCCCCAAGAAGAAGCTCGATCAGCTGGTAATCTCTTTCTTTGGTGGACTGGGTAAGCAGCGGTCCAAGCGGTGAGCCTTTGACGCCTTTCTGTATCAGTCCATTGACTACACAGTATCTGTCGGAGTAGGGTGCATTGCGTGGTATCGAAGCCAGTGCAGCGACCGCGTGTTGCTGTGCCACTGGGGTCTGGAGAATAGCATGCACCAAAACCCAGTTTGAATTTTCCAGGGCCTCTCTCAGACATTCCGCTTCATTCGTTGCTGTTGAAACGCCATAACTAATCATCATTCTGGCCCCGGCTGTGTCATTGCCACGTACAACGCAGATGAGAAAGTCAGACAAACCCCGGCTGTCTGGGGGAAGGCCACAGCAGAAGAGAAGTGGGAGGAAATGCAGAGTTGCCTGGCGTGTCGGCAATCTCATAGTGGTGTCGAGTGCATGTTGCAGATTGGCGGGGGTGAGGCGAGTAGGGCCTGCAACCAGAGCAACCGCGAGCTTGTAAAGGTGCCTTCCGATGGCCATGTTGAGAGCGCTCGCGGAATCAAAGTTTGGATCAGCGCCATATGCTATTAATAGTGATATGACGGCATCAGAAGTCTGCTGTACTGCAGCAGGCAGACAGGATGATATGATGTTGTTGTGGAGAGGCTTCGGTGCTCGCAACAGGAGCCGAACAAGATTCAAGTCGTTTGAACGCACTGCATTGGCCAGTGAATTGGGAAAGTTGTTAAGGTCGGCGCCGTGCCGCAGCAGCTCTGATATGCATGGCTGGTCATTCGCAGTGAGTGCCGCTTTGAGTGCCTCGTCCAATGTCGTCTGGTCAGCACCGGAGCTGGCGAGGATGCTGACACCGTCGGCCTTTCGCAGGCTCGCGGCCTGCTGCAAGACTGTGCTCCGACGGCGCAACGAGGTGTTGGCTTGGGCCCCGGATTTCTTCTTCTTGTCGAGGGTTTCGATGATGTTGACTTTGGCACCGAGGTTGAGAAAGGCTTGAATCAAGCCGGGCCCGGTCGAAACATCACGGATGACGGCGGACAGGGTCTGATCAAGCTCGTCCTGGGAGAATTGGATGGCGTCGTGGGCTTTGTCCTTGTCCTTTGAGCTTTTGAAGATGCTCTTCAGCACGCTCTTGGTCTCCGGGTTCTTTGCTCGGCGTTCCAGGAGAATGCTTCGTGCGCGTGCATGGTCGTCCTCGCTAGCCACGACGGCTGGCTGCGTGGGGGCGGGAAGGACAGGCTGACGGGAATCAAGCGGAATGACACCTGCAGCTCTGATGAGCTCTTGCAGGCCGACTCTTTGCTCCATGGTATCAATCCAAACGCTAGCAAGAGTGTGGTGAGCACGGCTAGCATGAAAAGGCGGGCGGGCGTGCCTCTAAAGGCATACGTCTATTCGGCGCTGGCTGTCGTATACGCGTCAAGCTTGAGGCGGAGCTGCAGAAGTGCCAAGGCACACCGCTGGCCGCCACGCTCCGGCCCAAATGGCGATGCAAGGACCCGAGTGGTCCGCAGCACCGGCTCTGCTGGCGCCTGTACCTGAGGCTTTTCAGCGCATGTTCCTTTTGTGCGCCGCCGGTCAGTGGCAGGTGGTGACGCGGAGGGTCGGAGGCCGCCTAGTCTGCATTGGGGCCGCACGTGACCCCGCCATGCTTCGCCAAGGAGGGCTTAGCCTGGACATTTCGGGCACCGGCGCACTAGGCTCCTTTGGGCTGCCGCTAAGCCCCCGCGAGCCTAGAGCCAATCGCACCTAGGACGTCTCAGAATTATTGAACCTTAAGCCTAACCTTGTCAAACCTTCTTTTGCTTGTTGTGTCTTGACGTTTTCCACCCCCCACGGAGCCCACACGGGTGCACAGCCGGATCTACAGCGCACTCGACATCGCCAAGTGTAAACCAGCGCATGTGCCAATCGCCATGCCATGCTACATCGCTGCAACTGCTTCGTCAACGCAACTTGGGCCTTGAGGCAAGACAACCCCTGACACCTGGTGAGCCTCTAGCGATCGATGGTTGGGCTTTCACACGCGACTTCACAAATCTTGGGCATAACCAAGTACCCGGTCTTGCACAACATGGAAATAGCAGCATAATGCCTGTCAATTGCAGCCGAGCATGTAAGCGAAGGTCGATGGCGACTGTTTCAGCCTGCTCTGGACTCCAAGGACCATACACCATGTCTCCCGTACTTCGGTCCGCCATCTTGCCTTGCGTTTGAGGATCGTAGCAGACACTGCAGGTATTCAGGCACCGTTTCAGCACCGCCATCAGCATCTACAAAGTTCCGCAGACGCTTGCTCGAATTGGAAATCCCTACGAAATTCTGCAGGTAGTCGGGCGCCGTTTCAACCCCGTCGCCAATGTTTACAAACTTTCTTCCCGGCTAAGAATCCCTGCAGCTCTCTGCCACCGCTTAGACAGAATCGCCGTGTGCTGATGAGTAGATGCTCAAGCAAGCCTGAGAGACACTGCGACCTTGGACTTGAGCGCCGCCGAATACGAGACGCATTCAAAATCACCGCGGCAAAAGCAAGTTTGCATTGCGCTGATTCTCCTGCCAATCTCTACCCCGGATCTTCTTCAACGTTTTTCAGCAGCCCGACCCGTTACGATAAGCCCTGCGCGAATCTTACGTGTCTGTGCGGCACCTGTCAATGCGTCGCCCTTGAGGACGGGAACTCTTGTTTCAACGACCGTTTGAAGATCTTAAGACAGTAACATATTCTCCTATTGCCAGCACAAATGCCGGGCTCGTCTACGAGCATTGCATCTGCGAACCGAGGGCCCGACCTGCGATACCCTCCAGACATGTCAAAATCTCCTTTATTAACTCGCCTGAGCCCCTGTAAATAAGCCAGAAAAGGACCGTTCGCGGCCGACAACAAGATATATAAGATTGGACGTGTTCGCCAAAGACGAACAAGATCATCTTCAAATCTCATCTCATCTTCATACCATCGACACACACTGTCTCCTTTATCTTTCGCTCTCTTCAGCTCCGGTAGCTCCATCTTAGCTTTTCGACTTGTTGTTTTTCAGACACATTCATTGTCAGATACCCGTCAAGATGCGCACTTCTTCCGTCCTTCTCGCAGCATTGTCAATGACTTCTTGCGTCGTTGCATCTCCCTTTCGCATTCGAGACCCTGCTCCGCAAGGCCTTGAATTCCGTCGAGATGTTGTCAGCCACTCGGCTCGGTCCGCCTCGAAACAAAATGATAATGGCTGCGACTCTGGGTCTGATGCTTGGCCTCCCCGCGGGGATGGAAAGCGATTTGCTGCGTGGTGCGATATGTCAAACGCCAAGCTACCCTCTTCGGCTCTCAACGCCCCAGCATCAGGCGAGAAAGTGTTCCTCATTGCGCTCGGCAAGGGAACTCAGAACTACACATGCGCCGACACAACCTCTGCGCCAGTCGCCGATGGTGCCCTCGCCAAGCTCTACGACGTCAGCTGTATCGTTGCTAGCAACCCCAGCATCAAAACTTCTTCTCTCCCTGCCAACATTCCATCCATTGGCACACATTTCTTCCACGACCTCAAGACACCTGAATTTACGCTTTCCAACATCGGCGTCACCATGCTGCAGAAGGTCCAGGATACCCCTGCCCCGAACCCAGATCAAGATGTCAAGTGGCTGAGGCTCCAGACCGAGGCTACTGGCACCACCACCCAAATCAAGGAGGTCTACCGTGTGCAGACCTCGGGTGGAGTCGCGCCAAAGACTTGTGCCGGCAAGGTTCCAGGACAGGTTTTCACCGTCGCGTATGAGGCTCAGTACTGGATGTTTGCCTAAGGGGGACTTGATGTACCATGTACGAGCAAAAGAAACCCTCCTCCAGAGGAGTTTGTCAGGCTAAGTGATTAAAAAGAACGACGGGGTTCTCGGCTTTGGATTCCGATCTCCCACAAAGTCCTCTTTTCTCTCTTATCTGAAGTTTTTTTTTCTCTTTCGCTCAGACACAAACATCATTCCAGTCCATCCGCGGTGGCATCAGTGAAGTTGTAGGAAAAGGCAAATCTTTTTGTTTCATTTTATATATCCATTTTCTTTTCGCTCGTTTTGCTGTTACCATATTGTACATGGCACAGCTTCAAAGTAGGAAATCATACGCCTTATCTACCACCAACTTTCTCCTCTATGATTAGTTTTGCATCAAGTATGCAGTGTGCAGTCTAAATCGTCAACAACTATCTTAGAGTTAAGCTTTCCACAAGGCTTCCCAACACATTGATATTAGCCCAACACAAGTCCCGATCCGCATAAACTGACGTCCAGATGCCAAGAAGTGTCGTTGCAATGACAAGCGTTTGGAACCCGGGTGTGGCTGGCCCAAACTCCACATTGTGTCCCGCCACGCGGCGATTATGCGCGTCTTAACACCGCCATGGTGTCTTGAAACGAAACGACGTCTTGGTTTGCGCTGGAGCGTTTTTTGTGGGGGTGAACAATGGATGTGTCGTGGTATGTGTTTTTCCGGAATATGGCGTCACGCGTGCTGCAGCTGAAGTGTTGGCAAACTGTGCTTTTTTACTTGGTACGTACATGAAGACGATCTGGACAACTGGATTCTCGGGCTGAAGATATGCACGATATTGTGGCCAATCGAACGTCATGTTGGGCACACGCGGGGTTACTAATACTTGATGGATATTTTGCACGACACATTTTAGCCAAGTACACACAAATTGCATTATTTGCAGGTCGCTTCTCGCGAGAAAAGAAAAAAGGGACCAAAGTATTTACATGGAACCGCGTAATCATCGTCATCATCATACGGGGGGAAAAGAAGAACAGAGTGTTACCACTAATTTGCAACAAAGCTGGTCTCCTCTTCAAAAAAAAGGATGTTACAGCAGCATCTAGGCCTTTGACCACGAAAAGTCAACAAGCACACCGTTGTGGTCACTCAGGATCTCGCCCTTGTCGGACAAAAACATGTTGCCCGCGTAGGCGAACTTGGTGGCGCTCAGCTTGACAGACGACGAGCCGCGGTACCAGACCTTGTCGACAATCTCGCAGTCGTTGGTGGTAGAGGGGTTCTGGCATAGGAGTGCGTCGGCGCCCTTGGCGGGTGGCACGCCCTTCTTGATGAGCTCGACCCAGACATCGGTCATGCCGTTCTCGTCCTTGAAGACGGCGGGGATGTCGTCGGTGCGCGTGTAGCGCGAGTTGGAGTCGCCGAAGACGAGGACTGGGTTGCCGGCTGAGTTGGCCTTGATGTAGTCGGAGACCTGGCGGAGGTTGGCGGCCCTGGCCTTGTTGTCGGCGGCAGTGGTGCTGTTTGGTTTGTTAGTTGCTCGGTTGGAACACACATGAAGATAGGAGACTTACCCAGCATCGGCGTGCAAGTTGTACGCGTCGATGATGACGCCGGGAGCAAACTGAACCTTCATGTAGGTGAAGCCCTTGGGGGTGAGGCAGTCGGCACCGCTGTTGGAAGATATGTCGTCAGTAATCGAGTCTCTGGCAAAATTCGATGGGGGTAACGTACTCGAAAGTGCTGCAAGTGTTCCACTTGATCCTCTTGAAATCAGTGTATGGGTAGTTGCTCAGGCTGTTCAAGCCGCTACCAAAGGGCACGCCGCCGCTCGTAGGCGTGCGGTATGGGTGCTTGTCGTTTGCGTAGAGGGTAGCATGGTAGTTGAAGTCCTCCTGGACGTGGATGAGCGAGATGTCGTACTTGGTGAACAGCTGTCCAATGCGAGCAGTGTTTTCCGTCTTGTCGCCGGGCACGTCGTTCCCGTTGAGAATCTCAGGGAGTCCGGCGACGTTGAACGTCAGGACATTGAATGTTCCCGAGTTCTGAGCGATGCTCAGAGGGACCAGAGAGGCGAGGGCCAAGGCCGAGGTAAAGAAGGTATGCATTTTCTAGAGTGTTGCGGGCGTGTTGAGTCTGCCGTGCAGTCAAGCCTCCATGGCTGCTGGTATAGGCCTACTCTTATACTTCGACCAAGCTCCACGATGTCTGGCAATATAGTAGCCTCGCGGGCGGGTCCCAGGTAAGGTCAGGCGCCTCGAAGCGTCATAGCAAATGGTAGGTGGAGAGCGTGGCATGTGCGTTTTCCGCTGCACCACGTCGATGAAATATTCCAGGCATTATCGGCGGAGCAGTACGTTTGTAGTATGGACCAATAGCTGAGGCCGCTCCTTCGCGGTTAGCGTGCCCGAAGTTAATGCGAAATCAGCCGGCATCCCAGTACACGTGTGGTGGGAATGCAACATTGATGGCAGAACAAGAAGGAGAAGGAGTCGCGATCTCCAGGCACCTAGACGTTTTGAGCGGGCAACATATGCGCCATGGTGATAGCATTTATTTCCAATTGCCTGCTGAGGGAGGTCACAGCTTGGCAGCGCCTCCTCCCACCCTGACCCATAATCCATCGGCCTGCACCACCGCCTTGCCTTGTCGATCCCTCATGACGGCCCTTATCCGCATCTTGTTTCCCTTATCCTCCAGCACTTCGGTCTCGATGCCGACAATTCCTGGGCAGAGCACGGGCGCTAGAACCTTGGTATCCATGCTGGCCGTGACCAAACGGCCCTTGAGCACCTCGTGCGCCGGCTTGCCGTCCTTGAGCTGCAGCCGCCATTGGTCTTCGCCGACTTTCATAAAGGGAAGGCCGTGGTCGAGCACCATGTTCGCAACGAGAATGTAGCACATGGCCTCGTCCATGAGCGTGAAGAGGGCGCCGCCGTGGCAGATGCCCGGAAACCCATTTAGCCCGGTGCCGAACTTGACCAGGGAGAGCGACTTGGTGACTTTTGCGCCCGCCGCGGGTTGCTTGTACACCTCGACCCAGTGCTGCACGCCATAGTTCGCGCGCATTGTATCGCGACAGAATCGGTCCGTATCTTCGCCAGGCTCGGACCCTCTTTCCCGGCTGCAGGCTATCCATTCGGGCGAGGTAAGGTACGGTGTAGCCCATGTCAAGGGCGCGAAAACGTCGACATAGTTTGATGAGGTTGTCATGGTGAGCTAGTTGGTAGTGAATGCGCCGCAAACCACACGGCAAGGCTGGGCACCCAATTTATTCATCTTCGCCGCATTGATGGGATTAGTATTCAATCGTCAATCAGGCTGCCGCGCCTATTTTTGTTGCCGCTATGAATTGCTTATGGAAGCAAAGTGTTGACTGATCAACCAGCGCAGGTTGCAACAAAAGGAATCTTGCCTCTTTGACAGACGCCACGCCCGGCCGCGACACGGCGACCTCTGCACAACCGACGATCATCTTTTCCGGCTTTGTTTGACTCGTGTGGCGTGGATTGTCTAGTAGAAGCGCGATAGGCCAAGAGCGCGGATTGAAAATAAGACAAGTGCACGTACAAGAGTGAGATTGATGGAATGAGCGCGGAGCCTTGGCGCCCTTAGCGTGCTTTGTTACCTCTAAACTATGTAACAAGTCCCCCCCCACCGCTATCAAGTTCCACATCATCATCTCTTTTAGGATTTGCGTGATTTCAGCCACGCGCCTCGGCATTGCGACTGGCTTGTATCCGTGGAAATTGCCACACCAATCGCCCAATCGGGGTGCTGAGTTGCCAATTATGTTTACTTAGTACTTTGCTTGCTTATGCACTGACCTACTTATTGATTCCCAGCCATGCTTAGTAAAACAAAAAAAGATGAAGACGGCTGCTATCTCGGCATTATGTCACTCACTGCTACCTCGATCTAGTATCCTGTGTATGCGGGTATTTTTAAGCGTCTCGGCCCGTGTGTCTCGTACGTGTGTGCCGCTACGCCGTGAGCTAATGCCTAGATTACACATGTGCAGAGGCTAAAATTCCTTCTAGAAGCAAATTCTCCCTACGTATTAACGCTTGGATAATCACTGTTATGCATGGAGACTTAACTTACATAACCCCTGTTACAACTGTTGCATGGTAGCTAGCGCACTACAATTAGAAAACCATAATTTGAAAGCGGAAATCAACCACTCTATAGTGCGTCTACTGATATTATTAGTAATACAGAGCGGGTTACAGCAGGGGAGATAGTCTAGAAACTTTACAAAGATCCTTGAATTAATTTCAACGTCAGGAAAAATATTCATTCGTACCGGCGAGCCACTCTTCAATCTTTGTGACATCTTTGAAGCCGTTCAGGGAATTTACTTCCTTGGTAATCTCTTCCTCCTCGTCTGAATCATCCATCATAAACCATTCATGCTTGAAGATCGCCTTTTCTTGTGGTGCGCACCCATCAGGACGCAACCAGCTGAAAATGGTGCGCGTCGCATTCTCTGAAACACCTTCTTTTTCACGATTCAAACCTTCCCACACAATAGGAACTGTGCATTGAACTTGGGGTTTGCTCGAATGATCATAAGTTTGGCGGGAGCATTGCAATAAGGATGGTGACTCTGATTCTCCCTTTGCGCAGTTCCAGACGAACGCTTGGTGTTGAAGTTCATGGCCTTCACAATCTTGGTGGACCTGTACTTCGAGATCAACATCATTCTTGGGGGTTGTTCCAAAAGGCTTCCATTGGCAAATCGGGACTCGAGTGTGGTTTCTCGACTGATACAAGAAAAGTAGACGACATTCGTCGGCGCGCTGTATATATCCATCAACCACAAACGGCCTAGACACAGGCTGCTGTATGAACGATTGGATTGTTTTTGTCCACGCCGCGCATTCAAGATCGATTGGTATTTGTCCATATTTTATATGCTGCAGGAGTTCTTGTTGGAGACCGAGGATGGTACTGCCCAGCCACATGCACGCAACCTCGGGTCTTCTCTCCATACACATGCGCCCAAGAATCGACGGGTTTTCGCCTGCCAATGATTTGATAGCAGCGAGCGTTCCTTGAAACCAGGGTGTTATCGCGTTGCATTCTATGCTGTGTTCATAAAAGACGCTGAGCAGTAGAGGACGTATGCCGTTGATTTTGCAGCTTAATGTGAGAAGTCTGTCAAGGTGTTGCCCTCCAGGTATAGCCGGGGGTAATGATAAGTCCGTGTGATTATCGATCAGGCCCTCACTTGATTCTTTCTGTGTGCCGATATTAGGACATGGCAATTGCAGTGTTTTATGGCCCATATACGGGAGCAGGAGGACGGCAGCTAAGGCGGCATGGCTTTGATCGATGATGTTGTGACGTTTACAAAATGTATTCAGAAAGCCGAGGGCTTCTGAGAATGTAGATGCAGGGCCTTGACAAAGCGAGACAGTCAGCTCTGGGTACAGTAGAAATTGTGGGTTTGATTCGACACGAAGCGACCACGGTGACGAAAAGGAGGATCGACTATTGGCTTGCCAGCCCTGGCCTTTTGCCAAAACGGCAGCCCACCATCGAGCTTCTTTTGGGCTCGCAGGGCCAATATCCACAACTATGGAAGGCTGCGAACTATCAGATTTTATCGTTGTGTCGTAGTGCTTTGCCAGGCTGTCGGTATAGGTGAGAGAGCAAGGTGGCGGCATAATTTCCGCCCAACGAGCCGATAGGATGTAAGCCCACGCCAACACGAGGATCACCAAATAGTCGTTTTGTGAAACAAACCACGAAGTGGAATAGAAATCAGTATGAGCCAGATCGGAGATAGAAAGCAGAATCGGGTCCTTCCGCGCGACCTCGAGCTGCACCCGGCGCCGGAAAGAAGGAATGCCGCGGGCGCATTTTGCTGCTGAAGATGCCCAAACAGAGGACCCTGAGGCGGTTAACCTGTCAGAGAATTGTTCCAGCTCAAGGTTCTGTGGGAAGGCCGGTAAGAGAGGAAATGTGTCTGTCGTGAAAAAGCATTGAGGAGGAAGCTTCGTATTTTGAATCACAAGAGAATGAAGTTGAGCCCAGGATTCAAAGCCAGCCGCATAGATGCGTCGAAATTGCTCTTCACTTATTCGAACTTGATCATCCATCATTTTGAATGAGAAATGAGGTTGAAAGAGCATTGATGTGCATCAGGGAGGAAGCCTGCTTAGATATTGCAAGGTCTAGGCGTACTTACTGGTAAGTAGGCTAGGCTAATACTTACGGGAACCCCACAAAACAACTGGCATCTTGCCTGATCAAGCGCGCCTCTTCCCGCTCAAACCCCACAACATTTGCCTTATAATTTCTTTAAACGTTTTATCTCCCGTGCATCTATCATGGAGCACGCGTTTGGATGGTCGCGACACCACAAGCAAAGCATATATTCATTCCCGGCGTCTTCATGCCCGCCTGCTTGGCAAACCTTGAATTTCCTTCGACAGCCAGAAGCTTCGCATGTATGATAGTTGTGCTCGTTGTTGGCATGGTCGCATACTTTACACACCCCTGTCCTTCCAGAACTCGCTGACATTTTCTTGGTGTCTCTTGCGTCTATGTTAGTCTACATGGTTCCCCATTATGCATGAGTTGTAAAAGCTTACATTTAATGCTGCAGGTAGAGATGGTGTGTTTTTGCGTTACTTAGAGCACTTGTAGCTGTAAAAAAAGTGGCAGTTATTTCCTGTGTGGTCGCTGGCGGGAATCGCTGGATAGCTCATGTTGGAGTGCCCGAAGCCTCATTAAATACCGAAACGCCTCGTTCGATGCAAGACGCAAGCCATGTCTGTCTGTACGTATGGTGATTCAAACTATGCTCAGCTGATCTTGAGATAAGCGTGCTGTGCTGCATGTCTTGGCTCATCGTGTTGTTCCACAATACTGCCATAGCATACATGCATTCACCAGAGTCGTAACCGGGTTTCAAACTTTCAACGCTCGAAAGAGGCAATAGCGGGGGCATGGCTTGCCAAGGATTTTGCCCTGTGCTGTTTCTGTATACATGCATAGTTGTTTCATTCAGAAGAGTTAGTCACATTCTTTTGGTCAGCCCACATATGCAGCACTGTCATGGGATTGGCTAACTATGTAGCCCTAGTACTTCACGATCTCAGCTCGGCAACTATTGTTCAGCGCCCATGGGGAACGCCACCCATATCCACATACTGTTGGTGTGAGCAGTTGATTCAATGGCCGTGCAGCTGATCAATCGCTGACTCATAATGGATACTACTTTCAGAGTGCCACTCTTTAAATGCCTAAATTTCCTACTATTTAGAATTATTCTACTCAATGGCCTTGAACAGATTTATAGTAGCGTGCTTTAATGAAAGGTTTACTGTTACTATCTTTTTCTTGAGAAAAGTCGTTATTTTACGTAGCGTTACTATAACGTGGTTCATAAGCGAGCGGACACCCCAAGCGAGCGGACACCTCCCCACCAGCGCGTTAACTTCAACACGTTATCACAGCCTTTTATCACAGTCAATAAACTATTGCAATATACTAAATTAATTATTAGAATCGCTATTATTACTTGCACTATCTATCTTAACTGCGCAGGTGCGAGCGTTGTGTCTAATCTGCTTGCAACGCCCGCACCGCCGCTCTCCTCGCACCCTCTTCGACGCACTCTCACCATCACCACGACTGCTACCCGCCTGTTCAGCTAATACTTCTTGTACTTCGCCTATAGTAAGAGTCTCTTCTGTCCGTACGTATCACCGCTTGCGGCTTTTACGCTTATTTGACTCGTCAAGAGCCGCTCAAAGCGTACCCATTTCCTCCATCATAAGCGTCATTTTATGTGCCATTTGCTGGGCCCCCTTACTCAGCTACGCGATCTGCTTAGTAAGTGAATTGGCAGAAGATCCACGGCGTTTTCTCACGCTCTCTTGAATGAGACTAATTTGAGACTCAACTTCGCGCGCGTTGCGTGGTGTCTGCGCCTGCCAGGCAGCTACCCGTCGTGGTGATTGACGAGGTGTCTGCACCACTACATCAAGCTTAGATAGCACAGCCTGTGGGTCGTGTGGGACTAGACCAGCACCTCTGAAGCCAGCTTGGATATTCTCCTTCGTGATAGACTGCTCAAAAGCAGCCTTAAAGGCTAGTAGGAAGGTTTCCTTGCTAATATAGTGGGTGCGGTTGCGTGCCAAGCCTAAAACAGCGTCGCCATACTTGCGCTTCAACGGCGAGAAGCAGGCGACGTCAAGGGGCTGCAATAGGTGAGACGAGTGTGGAGGCATGCAGAGAAGAATAATATTCTTCTCCTTGCAAAGATCTTGAAAATCGATAGAGCAGTGGCTCTCATGGCCGTTGATAATAAGCAGTCGATACCCACCCACAGTATGCCTCTTTGTATAGGTATCAAAGTGCTCTAACTAGGCAAGACCAAGCTAATTATTCGTCTAGCCATTAGCACTAACTTCAAGAACCTAGTTAGTAGGCAAATCCTTAAACTAGACGTTAATAAGCACCTTGCTCGCAAAGACAACGAAGGGTGGTATCTAGCGACCTAACGCGCCCACGCCTTAGATTACAGTAACCCACTCACGGTTGCCTGGCTGTATCCGCTTCTTTTTCCTATATCCTTCTAATACTGTAATTAATAACTATAATAAAATCTTGCCTATTATAAAGCTAGTTTCGTTAAAGTTATAGATATCGTTGTCTACAATACCCCACTTCTGCTTTGTCGCCTAGACTAAGTCGAACCAGCGCTAGATAGCCACTAGGTCCTCGCAGGCGGCTCGCTGGTGATTATAGGGACGGCTCTAGCGCGTACGGAGCTCAGCAGTCCGCCTAACAAAGTTATCAACCCAGTTCTTGCCAACAGGGTTGCCACCACGCTCCTCTAACAGTTTATCAGCCATTGCTCGAACCTCAGCCTTTGTAGGCGCAAATCCTCGCGCAGACTCTTCAAGAATACGCCTAACAATAGCCTCCTCTTCTAGCTTATTCAAGCGCTTTGAATTTGGTTCGCAGTCGCGTCGAGAGTGTCTTCTAGCGCGTTGGTAAAATAAAGTTATTTAAGGGACGCTATAGATCTTAGCAGCACGTTTAACACTCTTTACACGTTAGGAATTAATATCAGAAATAGCAAGTTAGATATTAGCTTTAGAAAAAGTTTGTTGAATCTGATGTGGTTGAGACATAACGCGTTGTAGTCTGAACGTCGACGCGCTGGTGGGGAGGTGTCCGCTCGCTTGGGGTGTCCGCTCGCTTATGAACCACGTTATAGAAAACAATAATAACTATAGTATTAGCATTATTAGCGACCTGAAATACAAGACGGAATGCTCACAGAGGATTAAGTCACAAACACGCTTGTGTTTAGCATACTCCAATCTATCATTAGCGTGGTTAGATTATTTTTCCATTCTAGTGAATAAAAAGATGTGGTGCAAAAAGGCTAACCTTCTTCACCATGCAGAAGGTCAAGTAGATATATCCCGACAAAAGACATTATAATTTCAAGCATATATGCCAATAGCCCCACTTATCATAATACAGCTGATAAGTTTTGAATAATATAGAATTTGCTTGTTTCGTGTTATTTCATTATAGCTCCAGATAGCAGTGTAGCTTGCTAGGGACACAACGAATACGAGCTCCTTCGTGGCTGATGGGGTTTGGACTGCGCAGCTGTACTATCTTGGCGCATCAATTTTGCGTTATTTAAATCTTCAGTTTCTCAGTCTCGGCGCATCGGCATACTATATCGAAGCTTTCAATCTTATACTATGTACGCGCATACCGTTTTGAATAGTGAACTATCTAGATAAATCCTATGTCTACATCCCGCTCTTCACCATCATCAATTATTGTCTGTAGCCTTGTATCGCGGCTACCACCTATTAATTCTCGCTACATGGAGACCACGCGCCTATGGGCGGACCTAGACACGATTCAAGACCGCATATGTGCTGTTAGTGCCACAAAGGAGGACACTTAGAGGATTAGAGAAAGAAGGTACCGGTTGAACTGCGAACTGCAGGTGCACGAAGCGCTTACAGAACCAAAGAACTGGCTACATGAGTCAAGCCGCT